TTCGATTTTGGGTCCAAACGTTTCGAACATAAATGCTACGATTGTGCTTGAATTTTCGATGTTCGCCTGTAATCTGGGTCCGGGACTACCAACACACAATATATTTCGTTTCAGTTCCTCGACATTTCTTTTGCAGAATTTCTTTGTATTTTTAGGCAATCTCTCCAAAAGTTCAATTTTTTAATGGCTCTAATAAATTTTTACCCTTTCCTGAGGACCGTCAAAAATTATTACCAAAGGCATTTATTTTGTTGATTCGACGTCCATAAGTATTTTATGGCTTTATTTTTTCGAAAATTCTTGCTGCATATGTTTTCAGAATGTCTAAAATGAAATGTGAGAAATTTTGAGATAACTTCAAAGTTTGAATTTGAGTACGAATATTTCGAAAACTAATCGCTGCTTCGATGTTTGGATTATTTTTCCTGATAGACTCACCATTCCCGTGTTAACTCGATTTTTTTCATAATTTTTGGCCACCCAATTTTTCCGGAGTTGAGCTAGATAAATCTTTAACAATTATATCACGATTGCTCCGGCATTTTCGATGTTTGCCTCAATTTTGATCCGGATCGTTAACACACAATGGTTTTTGACACTTTTCTGAGCATCGTCGAAAATTTTCAAGGAATTTTCTATGTTGATTTCGACCTCCAAAAGGTTTTTACGGCTTTATTTATTCGAAAATTCGTACAATTTTTCAAGAATCGTCAAAGTAAAATGTGAGAAATTTTGAGATGTTTTAAAAATTCGACTTTGAACCCGAATATCTAGAAAACGAGTCGCTGTATCCACTTTGGAATATTTTCCCTGATAGACTTATCACTCCATCGAAAATCCGATTTTCTTCAGAATTTTTTCAATTTTTTCGGAGTTGTGGTAAATAAATCTTTAACAAAAATATTATCACTATTAACACTATGTTTTTTGTTTCAGTTCGTCAAAATCGATCTGATAGAAATTTTTGCTAATTTTTAGTTCTCTAAAAGTTCAATTATTTATGAAATTTTTGATTTTTTTTTAGCACCGCCAAAATTTACCAAAATAATTTATTTTGCTGATTTCGACATCCCTAAGTTTCAAGAGTTTAATTTTTCGAAAATACCTGCAGCGCTTCCCCAATTGCCATAATGAAGTTTGATAAATTTTGAGATAATTCAAAATTTCGATTTTGGGTCCAAACGTTTCGAAAATAAATGCTACGATTGTGCTTGAATTTTCGATGTTCGCCTGTAATCTTCGTTCGGGACTACCAACACACTGTATTTTTCGTTTCAGTTCCTGGACATATCTCTTGCAGAATTTTTTTGTATTTTAGGCAATTTCTCCAAGAGTTAAATTTTTAATGGCTCTAATAAATTTTTACCTTTTACTGAAGACTGTCAAAAATTACCAAAAGCATTTATTTTGTTGATTCGACGTCCATAAGTATTTTAAGGCTTTGTTTCGCCGTACTTTGTGAAAATTTCCCCAAAATTTAAATATCATCGAGTAAACGAATCACGAAACCCGATAAATTAAAACTGAAGTTTTCGGTACTTTTTGGAAAAATATCCACTTTCGTTCGTGTTCACAGTATCAACACAACACATTTTCACTAATATTTATTAATAATAAATTAGAAATTCGCGAAAATAAGTCAAAGCGGAGCTTTGTTGTTGCTGCCATCAGACCGAAATCTAAACAAAACACAAGGGGCCGAAAAATGTGACCTTTGCTCAGGTAGCTCACGTGACAGTGACGTCATCGTACGTCACGATGAGATTGCAAAAATTATTTTTCATATTTCGGCCGGGAAATTGCACATTTTCGGGGTTAATTTAATAATATTTAAACAAATTGCTTTGTTTTTAGGAACTTTGTGTTTTTAAAAAAACTGTGTTCGATTTAATTATCATATATTAATACGTATCGTATTTAAATGTTATAAATAATGTTAATTATATTTAAATATTACTTAATTATGTCGTGAAAATTTATAGCTTTGATCAACCACCTTCAATCGTTTTGAAAATTTCCCCAAAATTTAAACTTTGTCGAGTAAACGAATCACGGAAATTGCTCTACTTTTACGCCAAAAGGACGCGACGATCTTGTCGCCATCAAACATTAATTAAAACTGAACACAAAGGACCGAAAAACGTGACCTTTGGACAGGTAGCTCACGTGACAGTGACGTCATCGCACGTCACGATGAGATGGCAAAAATTATTTTTCATATTTTGGCCGGGAAATTAAAACATTTTCAGGATTAACTTAACAATATTTAAACAAATTGCTTTGTTTTTAATACCATCGTCTTTTTAGTAAAACGGTTTTCGGTTTGATTATCATATATTAATAGTTACTTACCGTATTTGGACATAATAAATAATATTAATTATGTCTAAATTTTATCTAATTATATCGTGAAAATGTATAGCTTTGACCGATCAACTTCAACCGTTTCGAGATTTTTTCCAAAATTTAAACATTGTCGAATAAACGAATCATGGAACCCGATAAATTAAAACTCAAGTCGTACTTACCCCGTTTCCAGTCCTTTTCGGAAAAATATCCATTTTCTTTCATGTTCACAGCACCAACAACACATTTTCACTAATATTTATTAATAATAAATTAGAAATCCGCAAACCGAGCCCTACTTGTAAGCCAAACCGAAGCTCCAATGTTGCTGCCATCAGACCGAAATCTAAACTGAACACTAGGGGCCGAAAAATGCGACCTTTGAACAGGTAGCTCACGTGACAGTGACGTCATCGTACGTCACGATGAGGTTGCAAAAATTATCTTTCTTATTTTGACCGGGAAATTGCACATTTTCGGGGTTAACTTAATAATATTTAAACAAATTGCTCTGTTTTTAGTAACTTTGCGTTTTGAAGAAAACGGTATTCGATTTAATCATCATACATTAATACTTATCGTATTTACACATAATAAATAAAATTAATTATGTTTAAATATTATTTAATTATATCGTGAAAATGTATAGCTTTGAAAATTTCCCCAAAATTTAAACTTTGTCGAGTAAACGAATCACGGAACCTGATAAATTAAAACTGAAGTCGTACTTCCCCGTTTTCGGTCCTTTTCGGAAAAATATCTACTTTCGTTCGTGTTCACAGTACTAACACAACACACTTTCACAAATATTTATTAATAATAAATCAGAAATTCGCGAAAAGAAGTCTACATTTTTCTGTTGATTTCGACTTAATGTTCTTTAATGAAAATAATAATCATCAAACGATATTATAATATTTCATATTAACTGTGCAGACGGAACGAACGACCATGATATTTACTTACCTTCTCCCATTGTTATTGAATAGTTCTCTAAAAATAATTTTACTGGTGTTCATTTATTTGTTTAGAAAGCCTAAAATTTTAAAAATAACATCTTTATGACCACAACAGAGGTACAAATTTACTTCAACGTGATGAAGTGATAATAATTAACCAAACGGAAAAGTAGGTTTGTGTTTTACATAAATCACACACTACAGACCTAAAATTTATTATCCAGCTTCGTTTCCCCCTAATTCGCTCTTGTACTTTTTTTCACATGATTGTTCGCACGTTTTCGCAAACGTAGTTTATTTATCTTACTGTGATTTATTTTACTTCGAAACGAACTGTAAAACTGAGTTCCTAGTGTTGTTAAATTATTTCGGCTGTCGTCGATGCTTTGTAACGAAGATAAATTCCGCTCCAAGACAACGAAGTAAAAACCCAAAGCGAACGAGAAAAATCTTAATAACACACTTCGCATGATGATTACGCGCAGCAGCTGCCCCTAAGCAAACAATTGTCTAATCATTCCTGGCTTACCCCACAATTACCCCTCAAAAATCTCCCTTAATCAGCCCCATTGTTTCTCGACACGTGTAATCGGCACCATCGTGGCCATTTCCATGGCCACCATAATCCGAGGACCTTATCCGTCTGACGAAATAAATAATTAAGCGAACGCAAAATGCAAATTTTGATTAGGTAATTTACTCCTGGAATTGCCCCTTTGATTTGTTACGTAACATACTTTCGATCAGCGATCTAATTTTGCCTTTTAATTTCCATCTTTTGAAAATATTAACGAGCTTGCTTCTTTCTTTCGGGCAAGCTATTAAGCGACTTTTTATCAGAATTAATTGTGCGATAAGAATTTGTCATTCGATGGCAGCTGCGACGCAAATTGGTACCGACTGACGGATCTGAGGGCATGTTTGGGAATTTTAAGGGTTGCTCTCCCGCAGGGGCGGCTTTATTGACCTCGGGTGGCTTTTACGTTTGAAGGATAAGAAATGGAGGATCGATGTGGGTGTTTGAAGATGTTTCTGTGTAGAAGTGGATGTTTTTAATATCGAGCCAACACTTTAGTACGCTTCAAACTTTACTATTACTCACACCGGGATACGTAATACAATATTCTAATACTCTTCCTGCAAAAATCGCAACTGCCTAAGCAGCTAAGTGTTAGAACTTAATAAACCCGCTCCTAAAATTAAATTCGCCTGCGAGCTCCCCTAAGAAACTATGTTTAATTACTGATGAATACAACCAAAACCGTGGGAATAAACTTCAGCTAACTAAAGCCAAAATTAACTTCATAAACTGTAATTAGCTTTTATTCGCAATGTTCGAAGCTAGATTATCAGAAACGTGTTTTAATAGCAGCTACAATTTCAAAACTTGCTAGGGATGATCCTGAAATCGAAAAATTGTCGCCCTTCTATCGATTCGAGTGTTTAAACTTTAACCCCAAGTAATTACGAATGAAATAAAGCTCGTAACGAATTTAAGGGTGTTTTGCGAGGAGTTATTATCCTCAGAACGGCTTTAATTCTATACATTAACTGCTGTACTGATCCTTATTAAAGCTTCGTTTACGGTTTTTTAAACTGCTGAAGGCGTTTTGCTAAATTCCCTCGAATTCGGGTATTAAAAATGTATACGTAATAAGGCGCAACTTGTCATTAAATCGAGCTTTTACTCCGTAGGGGAAGTCAGCAACGACAGTGAAGTGTGCGGGAACGGGAAATTCCTGTGCGAAAACTCCACCGAGTGTCTTCTGATAAATAAATACTGCGACGGAAACAGAGATTGTCCTGATGGTAGCGATGAAGACGAAGTCAAGTGCAGTAAGTAATTTTTTAATTTTTAATTAAATAATTAAAAAAAATGTACAGGGGACAAAGAAGACGACAAATTTTGGGACCACATGTTCCAAAAAAGACCCTGGGCTGAAAACGACCACCACCCAAAAATATGCAGTAAGTTTTCAGCCAGTAGTTTTGAAAATTTTCACCAACTATATATTTTCTATAGACTTTTCATACAACGGCAGCTGCATGTGCAGAAAACGCGACTTATTTTGTGGCCAACAGGGACTAAAAATAATACCCGAAGACCTACCAGACGAAGATATAGACTTATTGTAAGCCACTTTATCTATAGTTCGTTCCTTCAATTGATGCACTATTTTTTCAGAGACCTTGAGGTGAACGAGTTCGGCTACCTTAGCCGCGACCTCCTCAAGCCGGTCCCCCCCAACGTCGCCAAAATGTAAGTCCGCACTATTATTATCAATGGAAATTTTTCCCGCGTCTCCCCTAGCCGCGCTCGATTAATTATCGCCCGTTAATTAATATTAAATGTTATTTATGGAAAAGCGTGCACTCCATAAAATTTCAATAGGAAATTGAAACCGCCACCGCTCGATCCATCACTGTCGAAAAAACGAAACGTCCGAAGATAGTCAGTCCAAGGACTTTTCAAAAGTGATAAGGAGCAAAGGCGGTCTTTGTTTAATAAATGATCTACCTGAAGCATTATTTTAATATTCTAATGGATTGCTTCGAGTGTTCTTGCATAAATTCCTTTTAAAATATTACCTGTCACGACGCAGGGACGGGATTAATCAAAATTATCACAACTTGTTGGTCAATTTGGGGCTGCTGTGTCAATTAGGAGTTTCGGCGTGGTCGCACTAGATAAAGACTAGCGAATGATTTCGTAGTCGTTTAATTAAATCACTATTCGTGTTCATGTTGATGTTAATTTGCTTATTTTTAATTATACGTCGCCGGCATTTCTTATTCAGGTGCGTCTCTTTGTTTCCTCTCCAGGGTTGTTTGTTATTTATCGCGCTTGCAAAAACTGTTTTCTTACACAGACAGTTCGCAGAACGGATGAAAAAGTTATTTGTAACTCGATTTTCTTGCTGCTGTTGTTTATTCGCTCATCTTGTAAGTTGGGTTAATGTGGCGCAAACTTTGAGGTCGCAGAATATAGTAGCCGTTTTATCTTTATTGAAAGCGAAAAAAATATTTAAATAAAAAATTATGAACTGCGAATATTGAAATAATATTTGAGCTAAATGGTTCATACAAAGTGACGCTATTGTTTGAGTCATCAGATTTTATACCAATATACGTGCACTGGTTTGCGGAGGACGCCGGGGCTTGAAAATTTTAGAATACAGTAATGTTGCGTCCGCCTGTATTTAATAATGATAAAATAATAATTGTCATAATAACATCGACTTACTCACAATAAAAAATATAAAAAAATAAAATTTAAATATAGAAATGTCGAAAAACTGGAAATTCAAATAACCGAAAAGACGATTAATCGAAAAACTGAGAAATGGAGAAATGGAAATCGAAAATTTGAAAAAATCGTGAAATCAGGACATCAAAAAAAAAAGAAATAAATAAAAAAGATCGATAAGTCGAGAAATGTAAAAATCGAAAAATTGAAGATATCGAAATAGCTAAAAATCGAAAAATGGGAAAATTCAAAATTGAAAAATCTCAGAACTAACAGAGAAATCGAAAAATCCAAAAATTTAGAAACGCCAAAAATTAAAAAATTGAAAAATCAAAATATCGAAAGGTTGAGAAACCGAAACAACAAAAAAGTGAAAAATCTATAATTTAAAAATAGGACAAATTGAAATTTTAAGAATTCGAGCAATCAAAACGTGAACAAATCGAAAAATCAAAAAACTTTAAATCGTAATACATATTGAAAAATCCCAAAATTGAAAAATCCCAAAACTTAAATATCGAAAAATTGGAAATGCGAAAAATCGAAAAGTCAAAAAATGAAAAAAATCGATAAATCCAGAAATTGAGGAGTCGAAAAATCCAAAAATTTAGAAACTCCAAAAATTGAAAAATTTAAATACGTACATCCCAAAACTGAACAGTTGAAAATTTGAAAAATCGAAAAATCGAAAGGATAAATTATCGAAAATGTGAGAAACCGAAAAGTCGAAATCGAAAAATTCAAACATCGCGAAATCGAAACATCAAAATCGGTAAGTCGAGAAGTCGAAAAATCCAAAAATGGGAAAATTGAAAATGGAAAGATATAAACGTAAAAAACCCTATAAATCGAAAACTGAATAATCAAAATATTGAAAAACTGAAAAAATAATTCCGAGAAATTGTAAAACTTTAATAGACACCGAAAAATCGGAAAATTAAAAAGTCGATTCATCCAGAAATTGAGAAAACGAAAAATCCAAAAATTTAGAAACGCCAAAATTTAAAAAAATTGAAAAATCAAAAAAATCTAAAAAGAGACGACAGAAAATCGAAAGATTGAGAAATCGAAACAACAAAAAAGTTAAAAATCTAAAATTTAAAAATTCCAAAAATTGAAATTTTAAGAAATCGAGCAATCAAAACATCAACAAATCGAAAAATCAAAAACTGAAAAATCGAACAGTGTAAGATTTAAAAATTCGCAAAATTTTGAAAAATCGAATAAGTACAAATAAAAAAAAACGCAAAGTCGAAAAATCTAAAAATTTTAAAATCGAAACGTATTGATTGAAAAATCCTAAAATTGAAAAATTTCAAAACTTAAACATTGAAAATTTGAGAAATCGAAAAATTGGAAAGGCGAAAAATCGAAAAGTCAAAAAATTAAAAATTATTGATTAATCCAGAAATTGAGAAATCGAAAAATTTTAAAATTTAGAAACGCCAAAAATGGAAGAATTTAAATACAAACATAAATCCCAAAACTGAAAAGTTGAAAATTTGGAAAATCGAAACATCGAAAGGATAAATTATCGAAAAAGTGAAAAATCGAGAAGTCGAAATCGAAATACAGAAATGTCGCAAAACTGGAAATTCGAATAATCGAAAAGGCGAATAATCGAAAAACTGAGAAATTGAGAAATGGAAATCGAAAATTTGAAAAAATCGCGAAATCAGAACATCGAAAAAAAAGAAATAAATAAAAAAGATCGATAAGTCGAGAAATGTAAAAATCGAAAAATTGAGATATCGAAATAGCTAAAAATCGAAAAATGAGAAAATTCAAAATTGAAAAATCTTAAAACTAACAGAGAAACCGAAAAATCCGAAAATTAAAAAATCGATTAATCCAAAAATTGAGAAAACGAAAAATCCAAAAATTTAGAAACGCCAAAAATTAAAAAATTGAAAAATCAAAAAATTTAAAAAGAGACGGCAGAAAATCGAAAAGTTGAGAAATCGAAACAAAAAAGTGAAAAATCGAAAATTTAAAAATTCGAAAAACTGAAATTTTAAGAAATCGAGCAATCAAAACATCAACAGATCGAAAAATTAAAAACTGAAAAATCGAACAGTGTAAGATTTAAAAATTCGCAATATTTTGAAAAATCGAATAAGTACAAATAAAAAAAACCACAAAGTCGAAAAATCTATAAATTTTAAAACCGAAAAAAAATCCCAAAATTAAAAAATTTCAAAACTTAAACATTGAAAATTTGAGAAATCGAAAAACTGAAAAATCGAAAAATCGGAAAGGCGAAAAATCGAAAAGTCGAAAAATAAAAAAAAATCGATAAATTAAGAAATTGAAAAATCTAAAAATCCAAAAATTTAGGAACTCCAAAAATTGAAAAATTTAAATACATAAATCCCAAAACTGAAAAGTTGAAAATTTGGAAAATCGAAAAATTGAAAGATAAATTATCGAAAAATTGAGAAATCGTGAAATCGAAATCGAAAAATTGAAACATCGCGAAATCGAAACATCAAAAGCGGTAAGTCGAGAAGTCGAAAAATGGGAAAATTTAAAATGGAAAGATTTAAACGTAAAAAATCGTATAAATCGAAAACTGAATAATCAAAATATTGAAAAACTGAAAAATTAACTCCGAAAAATTGAAAAATCGAAAAATCGAAAAATGAGAAGGCAAAAAGTTGAAAGATTGAGAAAGCGAAGTAACAAAAAAATTTAAAAATTCGAAAAATTGAAAATGCAAAATGTCGAACAATGTAAACGCCAACAGATTGAAAAATCAAAAAACTAAAAAATTAAAAAATGTAAGATTTAAAAAGTCACAATTTTGAAAAATCGAATAAGTAAAAAATAAAAAAAAACACAAAGTCGAAAAATCTAAAAATTTAAACATCGAAAGACATTGAAAAATCCCAAAACTGAAAAATTCCAAAACTTAAACATTAAAAGTTTGAGAAATCGAAAAATTGAGAAATCGAGAAATCGGAAAGACGAAAAATTGAAAAGTCGAAAAATTAAACAATCGATTAATCGAGAAATTCAGAAATCGGAAAATCCAAAAATTTAGATACACCAAAAACTGAAAATTTGGAAAATCGAAAAATTGAAAAGATGAATTATCGAAAAACTGAGAAATCGAGAAATCGAAATCGAAAAATTGAAAAATAGCGAAATCGAAAGGTTAGAAGTTGTAAAACCGAAAATTGAGATATCGAAATAGCCAAAGATCGAAAAAATGGGAAAATTCAAAATTGGAAGATTTAAACCCGATAAATCGAAAATTGAAAAATCGAAATATCGAAAAACTGAAAAATTAATTCCGAAAAATTGAAAAACTGGAAAATCTAAAAACGAAAAACCGAGAAATCGAGAGAAAACCGTTAAATCGAAAAATAGAAAAACTGAAAAATTAATTCTGAATAATTGAAACATGAAAAATGTAAAAACGAGAAAGCAAAAATCGAAAGACCGAGAAATCGAAACAATAAAAAAGTAAAAAAATCTAAAATTCAAAAAATAGAGCAATCAAAACTTCAACAGATCGAAAAGTCAAAAAACTGAAAAATCGAAAAACGTAAGATTTAAAAAGTCGCCATATATTGATAAAATCGAATAAGTAAAAAATCAAAAACACGAAAAGTCGAAAAATTAAAAAATTTAAAAATCAAAGCAAGGAAACTTTAATCGTGCATGTTTAATTGATCCGATTGACGAGTCGCCACTGGTTGGACATACTCAATTAAACAAATTCCCACCGAGATAATTTTATGTCTGTCGAGGAGATAGAGATGTTTGCTTATTTCACAATAACGTTGTCTACTTGAATGCAATTCTTAAGGACGTTTCTTGTTTATAATAGTCATTCTTTTGGAGATAAGAACAAGATGATGATTTCAGTGTCTTGATAACGTAAGTGGATGAGATTATTATCTAGTCTAACCACTCGATTAAAGGTGCTTTCAAGTTTTATGCAACTATAATTAGCCAAATAGTGATTAGTGATACTGACAACTTCAGTACCTAACAATAGCCACAATTAGGAAAACCAGATAATTTCTTTATTTGATATCTGTAACGAAGTTTGCAATGTTATCACTATTGCATCCATGAGTGATTATTGATTAATATAGATTGATGAGGATGTATTTTGGTTTCAACAAGATGGTGACCCGTCTCACTACGCTCTTGATGTTGACACTATCCCGAATAAAAGATTGGCAGATGAGACATATTAATTAATAACAAATATTTGACGTTATAAGATAAAAGTTTCAATGTTGCCAAAAAGAGATTTTGTTTAAGTTTCCCCATGAGGGATATATCTGATTAAAAACGGAACATTCCGGAAAGCAGTGAAAGGGAAGAGAAAATGAAGCAATTACTCAAATAGGTTTTAGCACGATAACAGGTAAGTTATGAAGTCGGGAAAGTTCCTAGGCCCGATATTTCACACGAAACGCGTATCCTTGTAAAATGAGCTTTCACGTGTCTTTTCATTTAAACAATACAGAGTAATTTTCTCATTTAGCGTATTCAAGTCAGTTTCTATTTTTATAGTTAAAGGTTATTTAGCCTAATCTCTATCAATTTATCGGCACAAAGTGTCGACCTTTTTTCTTTTTGTTAGACAACATAATTGCCAAGCAGACGGAATTTGTGTTGCCTACACACATAATTGCTTTTTAAATATTTGAATCCATATTTCTATTATGATTTGGCGGCGGAAAATATCGATGTGAAAAACCTATCGCATACATGCTTTCCTCCTGGAAATTTTCTTCTTTTGATTTGTGTTGTAGTTAAAATTGACTTTAAAACTTGTTTACTTCGTTTGCTTTGTATATTGCGTTTTTTTCATTTCTCGGAAAAAACGGATTAAGTTTTTTAACGTTAACAAAACGCACGCTTTTTTCTAAAAATGGAAAATTTAAACCGCTTCTGGCAGTGCGGTTATTTAACACACATGCACAATTTTACAGTGTTACGACCAGGTTAATTTATGTCGTTTCTGCGAAAATAGATAACGAAAATAAAGTGTACTTAGTGGAGTTCAGCAGAAGCGTCTTGTGTATTTTTTTATCAGAGATGACGAAATTATTCTGACGTAAATATTGTACTAGTCAAAACAATCGTGGATAACGAGATAAATTATCAAAATGATGCAACAGTCGGTAAATCACAAGTCTGTAAACTATTTCTACTAACCTAGTTTGCAACATAATTATTTTCACAATAAACAATGGTATTGATTTTTTAATCCGTTTGTGCTATATATCACAACAAATGTTCACCTGTACGGTACAGGGCATTAGGAATAAAAGAAAACAAAACTAGAGACCTCACTCTCATGGATTAAATTATCAAGTACTAACAGATTTAAAATTACCACTCGAACAGTCTGATCACGTTGATCCAGATATATTTATCGATTTAAATATTCTATATTTATTTTGGTAATAAAATAATCACGGTGATAACATGTGAAAGCATGTAACTCTTAGATAAATACTAAGTTAGTCATTACGAAGTGGTGCCGAAACAATGCATCGTAGTCTAATTAGACAAGATTAGATAAAGTTGATGGTCGGTACTCGATGGCTTCCTGTTTTAATATTTGGCCAGGTAGTGGATAAGTATTTCGCAAAGATACCGATTTCGATGTTATCCGATTTTTGTCAGACAAGAAATTTAACAGATCGATCAATTGACCTTAGTTTATTTGTAGCTGCACTCGTGATTTTTGCACAATGCATTATGATTTCATTTGATAACTGTTTATATATAATTGTTCCCAAAAACGTCGCTAAAAGTTGACTATTTGTCGACAACGAAGAAGGACCAGCATCTGCATAACGCACTCTATTGTTATTTTTTTTTTATACAAAAATTTTTTAAATTCAAATTTATTAACAGCAGCATTTCGTTGGAAAAATTGCCAGTTGAATTGAAAACTATGCTTCTTGTTAGAGCTAGATTAGGTGGACCTGTTTTAAAACTACTGCCTTGTTAAAATTCATATCAAACCAATTACACCTCCAACTTTCTTCAAATTGAAAAAGTTCGCATTGTACTCCAGTTCTACGACCCCGACCTTTGAACTTGTCCAAACTGTTTAATTGACTTTTTACGCAAGTTTTTGTTTGGTGCACGATCAGAATTAAACTTGTACGTCTGCCAGCCAGATCGATCAACTTGTTTTCATTAATTAATAAAACAACTTACGCATCAAAAACAGTTTTAATGGAATCTCTGAGTTGAGTGGGTTTTAATTAAATTCTTTATGTTTGCAACTAATCGCCAGCGATAACGGTCGAGTTACGTACAAAAGACATTTCGTTGTACTTATTTACACTTTGACTGGTTTGAAAAAGTTTATTTATTTACATGGTTGCACATAAATTTGTACAAGGTTTTTAGATAAGTAAGTAAGCATTTTTGTAGTTGCAATGAAATACTTCTGTTTGAAATGTGGTTATGCTACAGAAAACCAAAAATGGCCTCAGGTTGTCACAGTTTCAACAGGTGTAGTGCATTTTTTAGTATCATAATAGTATTTATAATGATAGTTTTTAGTCTGGCTTTTGGGATTCTCTGGTGGGATCCATTTCGGGTGGCCTAGTCCATCTATACCCAAACTATTATCCAACGATTTTCCCGTTAAAGTCACCCCAGAAGATGCTTCATTCATAACAACGTCCGCATTGTTGTCACAAATTATCGGTAACGTTGCTTCGTCAATTCTGATCGATACTGCCGGAAGAAAGATCGCTCTTCTTTCATCAGCACCTCTTTTCTTAGTTTCGCTACTTCTAATCCACTTTTCTTCTAAATCAATAGCATTTTTGTATGCAGCAAGAATCATTGGTGGTATAGGTGAAGGACTCATGACCATAATGTCTACAGTATATATATCAGAAATCTCAGAACCAAGAATAAGAGGTGTTTTGGTCACATTCTTAAAAGCGTTCTTTTGTTCAGGCGTTCTTTTTATAAACGTAGTCGGTTTTTACTTTTCCATAGAAACAGCAAGTCTGATGTCAATGCCCTCCTCTATCCTCTTTCTCTCACTCTTTGTCTTTGCACCAGAAAGCCCCTACTTTCTACTGATGACGAAACAAACAGAACGCGCTTACAGTTCTTTGAAGAAACTACGCTGGACTGACAATGTCCATGAAGAACTTGTACTTCTACAAGCTCATGTTGATCGTCAACTGTGCGCAAACGCTCGACTAAAAGATCTAGTTCTAATCAAGTCGAACAGAAGAGCTTTAGTCATCTTATTGGTCACAACATCAGCAGAAATCTTCTCAGGAGTTCCAACCCTGACGATCTACGCTCAACCGTTCTTTTCTCAAGCGGTACCAAACATCCCTCAACAATGGACTGCAGTTTTCACACAACTACTCAGACTGGTTTCTATATTCGCAGGAGCTGCTATTGTCGACACTCTAGGAAGAAAAATTTTGCTCCTGGTTGCAACCGGCGGTTGCTGTCTTACTGCAACGTCCCTTTCTGGATTCTTCTTTCTCAAAGACCATTCTTCTCTAGATCTTGACCAATTCAACTGGTTGCCTCTAGTCGATATCGTCGTTATGGAAATCACGTTCATGTTGGGTTTTGGCGTCGCTGGTTTTTGCCTAATGGGAGAGCTGTTTTCTACTAGCATTAAAGCAAAGGCCGTTTGTGTTATCAGTGTGATGGGTGCGGTTTTAATTTTTGTGAATACGGCGCTGTTTCAATTTTTGAGTGGTAGTTATGGTTTGGGAGTACCGTTGGCGATTTTTGCGGCGGCGGACGTTTTGGCGTTTGTTTTTTGTTGGAGGCGGCTGCCAGAAACCAAAAGGAAGAGTCTTGAGGAAATTCGGCAGAAGTTGGGAAGGAAGAGAGTTCGGAAAACGGAAGATGTGTCTTAAATTTGATTATAACGTGTTTACTTTTTGTTATCTTTGTGTTGTAGATTTTATTGCGTTATTTTTTGTTTACGATTTGTTAACCTTATTGTTTGAAAGTTTGGCGTTATCGAGCTGGCGACGTTGTAAATTATTTAATCGTAAATAATATGTGTTTTCCATGCGTTTTTCTTTGTTATGCAATTTATAAGATTTATTGTGGTGAAATTTTAATTTATTTTGATTTTATAACACTAATCCATTTCTAGAAACTTTGTTATGTAGAGTTAATTTTAGGTCGAAATAAATCTACACATATTAAGAAAAAAAGGCAAAACAATGCCTGGCACAAACAATCAAGGAAGATTAATAAACTACAAATACAGGATTAAGTTATTTTATAAAATTTACACAGTATATACTATGCAAATTTTTTTCTTTTTTCAAATAATAGAAAAAAGTTGTTAGACTCTCGGCTACGCTTCGAACTCGACAACTTTATACATACTTCAATTTTAAAATGTGGCAAAAGTTCTTAGAACGAGTGTTCAATTGAAAAAGTCATCAAGTAGAAGAAAACACGGCGAAATCTGTATGTGACAGAGTTAATTTTAAGTCGAAATAAGTCTACACATATTAAGAATAAAAAAGCAAATTGTAGCCCCGCCCACCCGCCCTATCTCAATTGTGATGATTTTTTTTTATTCGTCGTGAGCCAAGAAGGCGGAGCTTAACTGCAAAATCCGTATTTCCTTACAAAAATTTACCATTTTAAACGTATTTTAAGTTATTAAGAATAAAAAATCATCACAATTGAGATAGGGTGGGTGGGCGGGGTTTAATATTTTGCCTTTTTTTTTTTTCTTAATGTATATAGTATTCTTTTAACACGATACTCAAAAACTTGTTTTTTATTTCTTGTAAAGAAATAAGCATTTTGCAGTTAAGCTCCACCCCCTTCGTTCACGGCGATTAAAAAAAAATTATCACAATTGAGATAGGGCGGGTGGGCGGGCTTATATTTTGTTTTTTTGTTTTAATATGATTGTCTGGACTTCTTTCCACAATATATTACTCTTAAAACATGTTTAAAATGGAAAATTTGTATAAGGAAATATCGATTTTGCAATTAGGCTCCGCCCCATAATTCATAAACCACAAGTACAGGAGTAAGTTATTTTATAAAATATGAATAGCATTTACCACGCAATGATATTTTCTTTTTTTACACATTAAAAAAAATTGTTCAACTCTCGGCTACGCCTCGAGGAGTAAACTGACGTGACTAAGTGCTTTATTAGTTATTACTATTAGAAATGTTGGAAAAAAGTACCGTTATCCTTCCACTGAAAATCAAAGCGCCAGCCGAGGATTCTTCGTATTGTCTGTTTTTTTCTTAGTTTTAATTAAGATTTTTTTTGACATTTATGATAATTGAAACTTTGTATTTTCGGGTTTTTCACATAAATAAATAATAAAAAAAAAACACTAATGCAATTTTAATTTTGAAATGTACACAACATTAGTTTCCTCTTACATCTTTTCTTTAAACATCGTCTTATCGATTCCTGAATTAGTTTTTTTTATTCATAAAATGCCGATCGTTTTTATGGAAACTATGTAATTGGTAATTTTTTTGGAATTTTAAAAAACAATGCCTAGGACAAACAAACAATCAAGGAAGATTCATAAACCACAAATACAGGATTAAGTTATTTTATAAAATTTAAACAGTATATACTATGCAAATTTTTTTCTTTCCTCAAATATTAGAAACAAAATTTCTTAGAACGAGTGTTCAAATGAAAAAGTCATCAAGTAGAAGAAAACACGGCGAAATCTGCATGTGACAGAGTTAATTTAAGTCGAAATAAGTCTACACATTTTAAGAATAAAAAAGCAAAACGTAGCCCCGCCCACCCGCCCTATCTCAATTGTGATGATTTTTTTTTATTCGTCGTGAGCCAAGAAGGCGGAACTTAACTGCAAAATCCATATTTCCTTACAAAAATTTACCATTTTAAACGTGTTGTAAGTTTCTAAAAAAAAATCATCACAAACGAGATAGGGTGGGTGGACGGGGTTTAATATTTTGCCTTTTTTTCTTAATATGCATAGTATTCTTTGAACAACACGATACTCAAAAACATGTTTTCAATTTCTTGTAAAGAAATAATTATTTTGCAGCTAAGCTCCGCCCACTTGGTTCACGGCGAATAAAAAAAATCATTACAATTGAGATCGGGCGGGGGGCGGGCTTGCATTTTGTTGTTTTGTTTTAATATGTGTGGATATCTTCTCACAACGTAAAACTTAAAACATGTTTAAAATGGAAAATTTGTATAAGGAAATATCGATTTAGCAATTAGGCTCCGCCCCATAATTGCAAAATCCATGTTTCCTTGCAAAAATTGCATTTGACAGAGTTAATTTTAAGTCGAAATAAATCTACACATAATATTAAGAAAAAAATATATCAATAAGGATTTTGCAATTAAATTCCGCTCCTTTGGCTCTCGACGATCAAAATAAAATCATTACAATTGAGATAGGGCGGGTGGGCGGGGCTTATATTTTGCCCTTCTTCATAATATACGTAGTCGTCTTTTCAGAACAAGAAACTTAAAGCATGTTTAAAATGGTAAATTCTTGTAGACAAATATGTATCTTGCAATTAAGCCCCTCCCCTCGATTTGACAACGAATGAAAAGTTCATCACAGTTGACAATTGAGATCGGAGCGAGTATGTGTGGGGCCTAATGTTTGGATTTTTTTTTTTTAATATACATAGTAGGTATTCTTCGAACAACACGATATTCAAAACCATGTTTTTTCTTTCTCGTAGACAAATAAGGATTTTACAATTAAGCACTGCCCCCGTGGCTCACGCCCAATAAAGAATAATCCTCACAATTGAGAGAGGGCGGGTGGGCGGGGCTACATTTTGCCTTTTTCTCTTAATATGTGTAGACTTATTTCGACAACAAAAAACTTAAAACATGTCTAAAATGGTACATTTTTGTAGTAATCAACTTAAATCCTCCACTTTTCTTCTACAATCCCTTTAAATACGGCAAAAGTTCAACATCAAAGTTTTTCCAGCTCTGAAAGCAACGTCAACAAGAACAGCAACTTCCACGGGAACTTCAAAATTAACATCAAGTTTATAAATCCCACTTAAAACTTTGAAATCTTGCAGACGTTTTGAAGTTATTGTAAGCCTGGTAACTTTTTAATCAAAGTGTATCTGTTTATCAACCCCAAAAAATTGATTAAGCCATTTCAAAATTTTGCCGAATAAATCTTTATACTTTTAATTTATCATTGCATTCATTTTTTTTAGATTTGCTTATACAGGGTGACTCAAAAAAATTAATGATTCAGTCGATTTATTATTATTATTTATTTATACACTTGATAATGTGCTGTAAATATATTTTACAATGTCCGTACTTGTGCAGACTGACCGTTTGTTGACACAAAATTGGTCACTTCGGGGAGGTCCACTGATTTATGACTTGCAGCCAGGCAGTCACCTGCACAAAGAGCTGCCGCCTGAGTTTTGTTTGCAGTATTGTTTCTCATTCTTGTTTTATTTTTTTATCGTTCAATAAAGCATACCCCCAAAATTTGGTTTTGATTTGGTTTTTCATGGTTTTTGTGATTTAGTTTTTTTTTAATTTATTGATCCGTTTTTAGTTGATATTTTTATTTTTTCTTGTAATTTGTTTATTAATGCGACTACATATTTTTATTTATTGCAGGCATATTAATCACCACATTTTCACTTCGTTTTCCTAAAATCCTTAAAGTTGACTTTTCGAATTTTCCGCTTATTTATAACGTTATGTCAAGGCATAATTGTGTCTTACATGTCGCCAACTTAAACATAATAATTGTTTCTAAGAAATTTTTTCAAATACTACGAGTATAAGTACATATGTTTGAATTATTTATAGGCCACTGACTTTATATTTTGTCGTCAAGCAAACGTCACCATTGTGTAACTACTCCGTTTATTTTGAGATCAACCTTTAAAATTATCTAACCTTCACCACGGCAAGCCAGACACTTGCTGCTTAAATTCCCGAAAAAATGCAGTTTAATTGAATTTATCCCTGATAAAATATGAAAACCCCCATAGATGAAAATAAAACATGGCCCCAATACGTGGCCACCCTCACAGGTATGTCTAAAATTATCACGTTCTACTAACTCCTGATAGCTTTAATTTCCATGTTTTGTGCTGGTATTCACTTCGCATGGCCGAGCCCTTCCCTACCCCGACTATTATCAGAAGAATACCCCTTCAATATAACCACAGAAGAAGCGTCCTATATCACAATAATAGGACCTTTCGGTGATATTTTCGGCGACATCTTATCAGCTGTGATAGTAGATCTCGTAGGCCGTAAAATCACAATCCTTTTGATAAGCGTCCCCCAACTACTTTCTTTCATATGCATCTACTTATCGTCATTCTCCAAAATTCTTCTCTACGTTGCAAGATTCAGTGGCGGCGTTGCGGAAGGGGCTTGCTTCACGATTCTCCCAATCTACATCTGCGAGATCTCCGAACCCAAAATCAGAGGTCTTTTAGGAGCCTCGTTTTCCCTGATAATGATGTTCGGGATTTTCACCGTCAATGTAGTCGGGAGTTACACCAGTCTCTACACCACTGCTCTAGTTTCCCTAGCTTTCGTCCTACTCTTCATAGTGACATTTCTACCCCAACCCGAAAGCCCCTACTACCTCCTCATGAAGAACAAACCCGAAGAAGCGAGACGCTCTTTAAAGAAACTACGACATAGGGAAACCGTCGATGAAGAGTTGGCCACACTGACAAAAGACGTGCGGCGGCAAATGTCAGAACGAGGCACCTTTAAAGATTTAGTCGCCATTAAATCAAACAAGATGGCGTCAATCGTAATGGTTATTCTGCGAATTCTGCAACAATATAGCGGTTTCGGGTCGTTTTCGTTCTACGCTCAATTGTTATTCAAAGAAGCCACCGACGCCATTCCGCAACATCTAGCGGCCATTTTGATGATCACCATTCAAGCTACGGTCACTACGATTCCGACTTTTATTGTGGATATAGTGGGACGGAAGCCGCTAATTATGACTTCGATTGGGGGCTGCTGTGTGACGTTGTTCTTCAACGGGGTGTTTTTTATTTTAAGGGATAGTGGGGTTGTTGACGTTTCGCATTTGACGGTGCTGCCTTTAGTGGGTTTGCTCGTTTTTATTGTTTTTTTCGCGACGGGGTTGGGGAGTGTTGTTAATTTGGTGTCGGGGGAGTTGTTTCCGGCTACTATTAAAGCTAAAGCGTTGTGTGTTATGAATGTGGTTTTTGCTGTGAGTATGTTGACGAGTACGAAGTTTTATCAGTATACAGCGGATAATTATAGTTTGGCGATTCCGTTTATGGTTTTTGGGGTTTTTCAGTTTGTTGGGTTTATACTGTGTTGGAGGTTTGTACCTGAGACTAGGAATAAGACTTTGGAGCAGATACAGCAAGAACTGAAGGGGAATGTTCGGTAATAAAGATTTTTTAGAAGTTGTACTTTTTACTTTAAAACTAACAAGTTTGTAACTATTGTTGTAATTAGTACTGGTAGATAATAGAGACGTGACAAATACAAGTAGTGACCGGGTGAGCATTTGTTGCGATATAAGAAACGAAAAAGTTCTAATTTTACATAATTATGTACCAAAAACAAAAAATTCTAAGCTAAGGAAGTATATATGTCGATTTTTATTAGACAGATAATCTCCGAAACTACTGGATCGATTGTTTTAAAATTATAGATGTATGTTAATAATATCAAGTAGATGGAAAAAACGCTAACCAAAATGTGTCTAATCTTCCCATCAACACTTTGATAACGTCATCTCAAAATTTGTGTATTAAACATTATTTAAATTTTATAAAATAATATACTCCTATACTTGTGGTTAATTAATCCGCCTTGACTTTTTACCCTAAGAAAGTTAGAAAATATCAATTTCCGATTTTAAATAATTTGTGGATCCATGGAAGTGTATAATTTGTGAGATTTTAAAATATTTAATAAAACTCTCTGCGAACATAACGAAATATTTGAACAGATCACAGACCATATGGAACAGTTCAAATTCCAAAATTACAAAACATCAATTCAACATAAATTGCAAAAAAATTATCTCAGTATTGTTTGATACTTATTAATTGTTCTAAATATAGCTCACTCTCGCAATTGTTGATATTTCGAAACTCCTTTTTGCCCCAGTTCGGGTTTCCACAATATCCTTCACTCACGATAACGATCTTATCCATATTAAATCGACTGTACTTATGCACCTTGAAACCAGCGCCACATCAGATACCTACGAAATAATTTCCGCAGATAGCTTCTAACGATCAGTCTGATCATGCGAAAATTGTTAAGTCTTTAATTTCAACAACCACCATGGAGACCGAACCCAAAAAGTGGCCCCAGTTCCTCGTAGTAACCATTGGTAAGTCCCAACAATTTTGTTTTTTTTTGGTCAGTTGGTACTTTCTTCAGCAACCTTGGCTGTCTTTATTACTGGGTTCCACACTGGATGGCCTGCACCATCTCTCCCTAAACTCCTATCAGATGAGTACCCGTTCGACGTCAGTAATGAAGAAGCCTCCTACGTGACAATAGTTGGAAGTTGCGGTACTTTCTTTGGAAGTTTCGTTGGAAACATCTTCTTGGACACAATCGGGCGCCAAAAGACGATTTTGTTGATCGCTTTGCCCCAACTTCTTTCGTTTGTGGGGTTTTCGTTGTCGCATCTAGTCATGGAACTGCTGTACGTTGGTAGATTTATGGGTGGGATTGGTGAAGGTATGAGTCTCGCTATAGTACTACTTTACATAGGAGAAATCGCGGAGCCGTCAGTACGGGGTACTTTGGCCACTTTTGTCTCCATTGCGTTGTACTTGGGGGTACTCGCTGTTAACATCATCGGGTCGTACCTATCCATCCGAGACACCGCTCTCGTTTGCATCGCCTTCCCCATAATCTTCTTCCTCCTCTTCTTCAAAATGCCCGAAAGCCCGTACTACCTCATCATGAAAAACCAGGAAGCAGAAGCCGAACGCGCCCTAAAATTTCTCCTTCACAAGTCAGACGTGAGTAACGAACTCTTCGCTCTAAAAGGAGACGTCAAGCGCCAGATGTCCGAACGTGGTACTTTCAAAGATATATTCGTCATAGAATCAAATAGACGAGCGTTCCTTGTGACTGTAGGTGCCCGATTCTTCCAAGTCGCCACAGGGGTGAACTCCTTCAACCTCTACCTCCAACTCCTCCTCAAACAAGCCACTCACGCTCTTGACCCCCACACCTCCTCCACCATAGTACTCCTCATCCAGTTAGTCATGACGATCCTGTCCATGTTCATCGTCGACAAGTGGGGCCGCAAACCCCTCCTTCTCGCCTCCAGTGGAGGCTGCTTCCTCAATTTGTTTCTTCAAACGATTTTCTTCGGCTTGAAGGAGCACACAGCCGTGAACGTGGAGGTTGCCGATTGGTTCCCGCTCGTGATGATTTTTTTGCATATATTTTTGTACTCGTTAGGGCTGGGGGTGGTGGTGAGCGTGCTGACGAGCGAGATGTTTTCTGCTAGTATTAAGTCGAAGCTGATTTGCTTGGTGAATGCGTTCTACGCGTTGTGTACGTTGTTCTGGACGAAGTACTACCAGTTGACGGACGACGGGTACGGATTGACGGTACCTTTTGCGAGTTTCGGGTTCCTGACTCTTTTGGGGGTGCTGTTTGTGTGGTTCTTGGTTATAGAGACCAAGGGGAAGTCGCTGGAGCAGATCCAGCAGGAGTTGAAGGGGGAGCGGAAGTCGGTCGTGTGATATGTGTTTAAGTGGACGTTCGACTGTGTTATTATTATTATTATTGTAAATAAATTATTTTTTGATTTGTGTTTCTGTAATTACAATATATGAGAAAAGATCTGTGTCAATTTTGTTTATTAAAAAAAAATTAGGAAAATCGGGTCAGATTGACGTTATTCGGAAAAACTAATTTTATCGCTACTAGATAAACATGATGTAACGTAGTGTAAAAATAAAATCGATAATGATGATATCGTAAGACCGAGATAATCAAAATCACGAAGTGGAACATCAGTGTGTCAAAATAAAACACAAATACTTATGATAATGTAAAATTTGCACTCAATACAAGTGGTCGAAAATTGTCGCAAAAAAGTGTAAGGTCATACAAATTGCACGAACTTTGACTGAAAATTGTTGTATTTTTGCGGTAATTTTGAAACACCCTGTATATTTTTATAGATAAATTTTTCGGACCACGGTTTCTCGATGAGTTGCATAGACTGGTTTATTTATGTAATTCCTGAATTAGTGTTGATATTCCACGAAAATTAAAAACATCTTACTTGTACTCATTTATACAGGATGATCACCAAGCGCGCGATTAAATTCTTCTTAGGCTTTACAACTACATTTTGTTTTATTTATTTTTATTTTATTCAATATTAGAGTTTTAAAAATTTTTACTCTTCTTTAAAATTTGTCTACAGTCAGTTAAAACACAATATTCGCCATCAACATCTCCTGTATCTCCTCCCACGAGCTCCCCTTCGTCTCAGGAACAACAAACCAAATAAACAAAATCCCCACCATAGTCAAAACCGCAAAAGTCAGAAACGGTACCACCAATCCAAACTCGTCAGCCGTAAATTGGTAGTACTTGGTACACACTAAAGTCACCAACGCATAAAACGCGTTCACCAAACAAATCAGCTTCGGTTTAACAATTGCTGGAAACATCTCGCTCGTTAACACACTCACCACCACCCCCAACCCCAACGAATACAAAAATATATGCAAGAACATCATCACGAGGGGAAACCAATCGACTGCTGACACGTCCACGGTAGTACGTTCTTTCAAAATGAAGAAAACCGATTGGATGGTTAAGTTGAGGAAGCAGCCAATAGTGGAGACGAGAAGGAGGGGCTTGCGGCCCCACTTGTCGATAACGAAGGAGGAGCAAACAGTCACGACCAATTGGGTGAAGAGAACGATCGTAGCACCTACATCTGGATCCACAATTCGAGTGGCTTGTTTTAGAAGAAGTTGAAAGTAGAGATTGAAGGAAGCTACTCCTGTTGCTAGTTGGAAGAAGCGGAGTCCTACTATTGTGAAGAAAGCTCTTCTGTTTGAAGTGAAGATACGTCTGACGGTAGTACCTTCACACATGTAGTGACCAGCGTCTACTTTTACGTGCACGAGTTCTTCCAGTACGGTTGAGGTTCTCCGCAGGAATTTCAACGCACGTTCTGCTTTTTTGTCTTCGTCTTTCATTAAAAGATAGAACGGACTTTCGGGCATCTTGTAGAATAGTACTACGAAAAGTAGTGGAAAGGCAGCTAACATGAGAGCTGTGTCTCGTATAGATAAGTACGATCCGACTATGTTCACGATTAGTACTCCGGAGTACCACGCGACTAAAACAAGTGTAGCCATACTCCCTCTAACGGCGTGTTCTGCTATCTCTCCAATGTAGAACAAGATAACTGTGGCGGTCATTCCCTCACCCACTCCACCCATAAATCTACCAAGGTACAGTAGTTCGACAAGGTGGTACGAAAAACCAATACACAGAAACGATACCAGTTGGGGCAAGGCTATTAATAACAAGGTTTTTCGACGTCCGATTTTGTCCATGAAGACGTTTCCCACGAAGCTTCCGAAGAAATTCCCCAGACTCCCGATTATGACAATATAGGAAGCTTCTTCATTCGTGATGTCAAAAGGGTACTCGTTGGACAATAATTTTGGAAGAGATGGCGCCGGCCATCCTGTATGTAACCCAGCAGTGAAGACAACGATGGACGCTTGAGGAGAAATTCTGTTAATTTCCACTACTTGTAACAAATTTTTGACTTACCACTGATGACAACGAGGAATTGTGGCCATTTTTTGCTATCAGAATTCATATCGGAATGAACACAGTTTTAATATTCATTAATTTCATTGGTTGAGTATGACTCGATGAAAGCAAGTGCGTTTTTTTTTTTTAGTGGGGGGCTTCGCACAAATGTCTATTTTTAAATTTCTGGTAATCCCGTTGTACTGGAAATTCGCCAGATTAACATAACACAGTCACAATTTGTAAAAATATTTTAATACTCCATATACATATTTACACAACATTCTTGAAACTAAATCACTGTATTTTCTGTCCTTCTCCCTCTCCCCTTCAACTTCTGCTGTATCTCCTCCAACGACTTCCCCTTCGTCTCCGGGACAACAAACCAAATAAACAAAACTCCAACGAACGTCAAAACCGCGAAACTCAAAAACGGTACCACCAATCCGAACTCGTCAGCCGTAAACTGGTAGTACTTCGTATACACTAAAGTCAACAGCGCGTAACACGCGTTCACCAAACAAATCAACTTAGCTTTAATACTGGCTGAGAACATCTCGCTCGTTAGCACGCTCACTACCACCCCCAACCCTATCGAGTACAAAAATATATGCAAGAACATCATCACGAGCGGAAACCAATCGACGACTGACACGTCCACGGCGGTGCGTTCTTTCAAAATGAAGAAAACCGATTGGACGGCCAAGTTGATGAAGCAGCCAGTGCTGGAGAAGAGGAGGAGGGGCTTGCGCCCCCACTTGTCGATGATGAAGGTGGAGCATACCGTCATGATGAGTTGGATGAGGAGGACGATTGTGGAACCTACGTCCGGGTCTAGAGTGTGCGTGGCCTCTTTTAGAAGGAGTTGAAGGTAGAGATTGAAGGACGCTACTCCTGTGGCTAGTTGGAAGAAGCGGGCGCCCACTGTTACGAAGAAAGCTCGCCTATTTGAGTCTATAGTGAATATATCTTTGAAAGTACCCCTTTCGGACATCTGGCGATTAACATCGAGTTTCAACTTCGTGAGTTCTTGGGTTACGTTGGACTGTCGTCGTAGGAACTTCAAAGCACGTTCGGCTTGTTCTTCGTCGTTGTTCATTAAGAGGTAGTAGGGACTTTCGGGCATTTTGTAGAAGAGTAGTACGAAAAGTACTGGAAGCGCTATGAATGTGATAGCTGTGTCACGTATGGATAAGTACGACCCAACTATATTGACAAACAGGACTCCTGAGTACCACGTGATTGACACTAGTGTAGCTAAAGTACCGCGAATTGTAGGTTCCGCTATTTCTCCAATGTAGAGAAGGATGACCGTGATGGTCATCCCTTCCCCTATTCCACCCATAAATCTACCAACATACAAAAGTTCCATGACTTGGTACGACAAAATTATACATAAAAGAGATACCAATTGGGGCAAGGCGATCATCAAAATGGTTTTTCGACGCCCGATTTTATCCAAAAAGATGTTTCCAACGAAGCTTCCGAAGAAATTCCCCAGACTCCCGATTATGGTAATATAGGAAGCTTCTTCATTCGTGACGTCAAAGGGGTACTCATCTGATAATAATTTCGGAAGAGAGGGTGCCGGCCATCCTGTGTGTAAGCCAGTAGTGAAGACGGCGATGGTTGCTTGAAAACAAAAAGTACCCTATTAATTTAGAGTTGGTACTACGTTTTGACTTACCAGTGATGACAACGAGAAATTGTGGCCATTTTTTGCTTTCAGAATTCATGTTTAACGTCAAAATTGGGTTGGCGACTGTGTGTTCACATGGTGAGACTGTGTGAACAGTTATCTCCGGTCAATGTTATCTGGAGTTAGTGTGTGAAATGTTGGTTCAAGGTGAACGAGCACAAGTTTATTTATTATTTGTTAATTATTATATATTTGATTATCACTCGATAGTGCGTGTAGTTGAGTAAATTTTAGTTTTTTTGTAAGAGACTTCACAGCTTCGGTGTTTGAATATTTATTTTTAACTTTTTCGTAGATTTCGTCATTCTGGAAATTCGCCAGAGCGCTGCGCTCAAAAGTAACTAAGTAAACTTCACATAAATTAATTCTTTATTTACATAAATATAACAAAGCACTTATGCCTTCACCATCATGCTACTCCTACTCTTCCTCCCCTTTAACTGCTGCTGTATCTCCTCCAAACTCTTCCCTTTCGTCTCCGGTATAAACAAGTACAAAAACACGCACCCTCCCAGCGAAATCAACCCGAAACTCGCATATGGTACCGTCAACCCAAACGCATCAGCGGTGGCTTGGTAGAACTTGGTCGTACTCATCATCCCCAACGCAAAAATGATGTTCACCAAGCAAACACACTTCGCCTTAATACTGGCCGAAAAGATCTCGCTGTTGAGGATATTCACCACCACGCCTAATCCCGTTGAGAAAAGTACCACGAAGAGAATCATCATTACCAGAGGGAACCAATTGAGTACCGACACATCGACGGTTGTGTGCTCCTTCAAACCAAAGTACACCGCTTGGATTAACAAATTCAAACAACAACCCCCTGTCGAGAAAAGTAGCAGCGGTTTTCGGCCAGATTTGTCTACAAAGAAGGTTGAAAGTACCGCCATTATTAGTTGGATGAAGAGGAGAATTGTGGATCCGATTTGTGGTGAAAGGGCGTCTGTGGCTTCACCTAGGAGCAGCTGAATGTAGAGACCGAAAGCCGAAACTCCGGTCCATTGTTGCACCACGCGAGTACCGATCATGAGAAGGAAGGCTTTCCTGTTGGAGTCTATGGTGAAGATGTCTTTGAAAGTACCGCTTTCGGACATCTGGCGATTGACGTCTTTAATCAACAAGGTTAACTCTTGTCCAACGCTGGCTTTTCGTCGTAGAAACTTCAGAGCGGCTTCGGCTTCGTCTTGTTTGTTCATCATGAGGAGGTAGTACGGGCTTTCGGGCATTTTCCAAAACAGCAAAATGAAGAGCGCTGGAAAGACTAGGAACGTAGTGGCTGTGATTTTTATACTCAAGTACGACCCAACTACGTTCGCGTAGACGATTCCGAACATGCACGTGACTGATATAAGAGTACCTAAAGTACCCCGAATACTGGGTTCTGCGATTTCCGCTATATATATTGGAATTATGGTGAAAGTCATGCCTTCGGCAACCCCTCCGACGAACCTTGCGATATAAAGCAACTCCATCAACTGGTACGACAAGATAATCAGCAAAAACGAAACCAACTGAGGTACTGCAATCGCCAGAATTGTCTTTTTGCGTCCGATTTTGTCCAGGAGGGTCGTACCTAACAAGCCACCACACAAATTTCCCAAGTGGCCGATTATGGTGACGTAGGAGGCTTCATCGTTGGATATGTCGTACGGGTACTCGTCTGATAGTAGTTTAGGGAGGGAAGGTGCCGGCCAGCCCGTGTGTAATCCAGTCGTAAAGACCGCTAAAGACGCTAAACGTACGAATTAGTCTAAATTCAAGCCAAATTTTTTCCTTACCCAAAGTAGCAGCTAGAAATTGAGGCCATTTTTTGCCTTCGGCTTCGCTGACTGGCAAAATCGACGGAGTTTTCATTTTTGCTGCTTCATGCTAGAGTGCTGTTTAAGAAGTGATTTTTTAGCGTCATTGTTTAAGCTTGAGGTTATCTTAGGTCGTTGTTATCTTCGTTTGTTTATTTTGCATTTACGCCAAATTAATTTTTTGTCAAAGGATTACAGGGAGGTCAATCTTTGGTTAAAAAGATGGTCTTCTATTCATTTTTTGTTTATTTTATAGTTTAATTTAGATTAAGACAATCCTTTGAAAGAATGGAAAGTACTATAATCCCGTGTCTTACGTGGTGGGAACTGCTCCACGTTTGTTTAAGCTGCCACGAAAAAATCTTTGTTTCAGTGATTAGTTAGACTGTTGGGTTACCTTGATTGTGTTAGATCGTTTTTCTCATTTTACATTTAGAAGTTACAGTTTTAAGTTCTACATCACATTTTTTATTTTCTTCCTTTTGCACCTCCTTTTAAGCTCTGCTGAATTTCCTCCAAAGTTTTCCCTTTAGTCTCAGGCACAAGATAATAGAAGAACAACATTGCGACAAACGTCAAGGCTACGAAACTTGAAAAAGGTACGGTCAATCCAAACCCATCAGCCGTCACTTGGTAGTACTTAGTAACTGCCAAAGTCATCAAAGAGAACGACCCGTTCACCATACAAACCAGTTTCGCTTTAATGCTGGCAGAAAACATTTCACCTGTCAAGACACCAACGACTGATCCCAAACCTAACGAATACACACAAATGAGTACCATCATCATCATCAACGGGAACCAATCAACTACTGAAGTATCAACACTAGTCTGTTCTTTAAGTATGAAGAAAATCATTTGGAGTACTAAATTGACAAAGCAGCCTATAGTAGAGAAGAAAAGAAGAGGTTTGCGACCCCATCTATCCACAAGGAAGACATTTAACACTGTCACGCCGAGTTGAATTAGAAGAACAATGGAAGCACCGACGTGTGGTTCTATACTTTGAGTAGCGTCTTTTAGGAGAATCTGGATGTAGAAGTTCATTGCGGCAACTCCAGTGGTTAACTGGAAGAATCTGGCACCTACTGTTATAATGAAAGCCCTTCTGTTAGAGTCGATAGTGAAGATGTCTTTAAAAGTACCAGTTTCGGACATCTGGCGATTGACATCTAGTTTTAGCTTAGTCAGATCGTCGTGCACGTTTGATTTTCTTAGCAAGAACTTTAAGACGTGTTCGGCTTCTTCATCTTTTTTCTTCATGAGGAGGTAGTACGGGCTTTCGGGCATCCTCCAGAACAGTACGATGAAAAGTACCGGAAACGCGATGAAAATTGAAGCGGTGGTTCTGATGGTTAAGTACGACCCTACGACGTTCGCGAAGAGTATACTGGAGTACGACGCGATTGCGGTCATTATGCCCAAAATTCCTCTGACGGAAGGTTCTGCTATTTCGGCCAAATAAATTACTATGATGGTATTAACCATTCCTTCTGCTAATCCTCCTACAAATCGACCCACATACAAGAGTTCCATGACTTGGTACGATAATATAATTAACAAAAAATTGGTCTAAAGAGTTTAGACAGTACTTCCCTCGCTGTCGGAAACTTGACGACTGCATGCCTATTGTGTTTTTTTTCTCATTACATTTTTGTAGTGGGAATTTAAAAAAAAATTGCGATGACGTCATCAACATTTTTGCAAGGACACGTATATCAGTTGGGATAGATGTAGTGTAATACTAAGAATAAAATTATTATATTCTCAAATTTTCGGGAAAATGAATTGGGTCGTTTGAATATTGATTTGTAATAATCAATAAAATAACGAAACAATTTACTCACGTATACCTACGTATCAGAGGCAACTGAAAATCGTGTATGTATAAACATTGTTAATTTAAGATGACAGGCGTAACAGCATACGTGAGAGCCAAACAGAGAAACTGTAAACAAAACGACCGTCGGTTTTATTGCTTCGACTTCCGCTTATTATATAAAACATTGGGTTTTATTTTAATTCTTGACGGTGAAATTCACAATTGGTTGATTATAAACATGTCTATTTCACATTCGCGGAATCAAGTGAACGCATAAAACAAATGCAGGTCTGTAATGTTAAAGTCGATGTAAATAAGCGTGCTACCCTTATGTTTCAACCGAGTTTTTCCTTTAACAAATTTTGTGTCTACCAAATTGGGTTGGTTGGGGTGTAATACTAATAATAAGTGTTGCCTTTAATTTAATCAATAAAATAAATTGACTTCATTAATTTTTTTGAACCACCTCTTAAGAAAATCTAAAAAATTTGAATGGAATGATAAATCACAAGTACAAACTCATCGTATTTTTTGCATTTTAGATAGGATTTATTCAGCAAAATTTAAGGGTGACGTCATCAATTTTTTTAGGAGGGATGAACAAATACATTTTGAACAAAAGTTTACCATGCTTATAATAACTTTAAAATATTCCCAAGATTTCAAAGCATTCGGTTTTGTAATTCCTGATTAAATCGATAAAATAAATTCACGCCTTCATTAATTTTTTTGAGTCACCCTGCATATGCAAATCCAAAAATATGAATGGAATGATAAATCACAAGTACAGACTCATCATATTTTGTACATTTTAGATACGATTTATTCGGAAAACTTTTGAGCTGACGTCATCAGTTTTTTGTAGAAGATAACCAAATATATTTTGACTAAAAATTTATTATGCTCTTTATAACCTTAAAACATCTGCAAGATTTCAAAGCATTCGGTTTTGTAGTTCCTGATTAAATCAATAAAATAAATTTACGCATTCATTAATTTTTTTGAGTCACTCTGTATATGCAAATCCAAAAAATATGAATGGAGTGATAAATGACAAGTACAGGCTCATCATATTTTGTACATTTTAGATATGATTTATTCGGCAAACTTTCGAGCTGACGTCATCAAGTTTTTGGAGGGGATAAGCAAATATATTTTGACTAAACATTTATTATACTCTTTATGACCTTAAAACATCTGCAAGATTTCAGAGCATTCGGTTTTGTAGTTCCTGATTAAATCAATAAAATATATTTACGCATTCATTAATTTTTTTGAGTCACCCTGTATATGCAAATCCAAAAAATATTAATGGAGTGATAGTTCACAAGTACAGACTCATCATATTTTGTACATTTTAGATATGATTTATTCCACAAACTTTTGAGCTGACGTCATCAAGTTTTTGGAGGGGATAAGCAAATATTTTTTGACTAAAGATTTATGATGCTCTTTATAGCCTTAAAACATCTGCAACATTTCAAAGCATTCTGGTTAGCAGATTAAAAATTAAATTTCAAAATGTTGTTTTATAATTTTGATTTTTTTTCCAAAAATCTGGACGTTTCGGGTGAAAAGTCGATTCAGAGTTGTAAACTACATGTGTAGGACTATGTTATTTTATACAATTGAAAACCCATTTACTATGTACAATTTTGAAGTGACGTCATCGCTTTAGTGGTGGGGATGATTCGACAAATTTTGGTTAGCGTTTTACCATCTACATGATATTCTTAATATAAGTACAAAATTTCACAACAATCGGTCGAGTACTTTCGGAGATTATCTGTCTAATAAAAATCCGTGACAACAGACGGACAGACGGACAGACGGACGGACAGACGGACAGACGGACAGACGGACAGACGGACAGACGGACAGACAGACGGAAATGGGAGACCTATTTCTTCGTCTTCTAGGGGTCATGAAAGATCGAGAAAACGTAAAAGTAGAGAGTCGGCCGACGGACTCGATTACAATACTTCCTTTGCTTACGCTCGGGAAGTAAAAAGAAATTATTTGAGGAACAGCTATGAGGATGGTGCACAGGCGACGTCCAATTTTGTCCAAAATAAAGTTTCCGATGAAACTCCCGAAGAAGGCTCCCAAATTTCCGATTATGATTATGTAGGAACCTTCTTCTGCTGAGACGTCAAAAGGATACTCGTCGGAGAAGAGTTGGGGCAAAGAGGGCGCCGACCATCCTAGGTGAAGGCCAGTGGTGAAGGTCGCAATGATTGCTAAGACGTAAAAAAAGTGATTGTGGGGGTTAATTTTGTTCTTACCAATGAAAGCAACGAGAATTTGTGGCCATTTTTCGCCATTGGTTTTGCTGGTACTGTTGCTACCTTTGGAAGAAGTCATTGTCGTATGTTATCAACAAATTAAACTGACGAAGTGCATGAAATTTGCGTAAATTAACAGCTTAAGAGGGATTTAACACAACTTTTTATGGTTATAATATTCTTGAGATATACTCGTATTTGTGTCATAACTGATTGTTATAGATGGCATAGATTAAACGTTATTATTGGAAGATTGTTAGACTTATATTTATTTACGTGCCTTTGTTCTGTTGAAACCGTAATTTTTTATTTTGACGAACTGCTCATTTTACTTCCCGAGTGTAAGTGTAATCGAGTCCGTCGGCCGACTCTCTACTTTTGCATTTTCTCAACCTATCATGACCCCTAGAGCACGAAGAAATAGGTCTCCCGTTTCTGTCTGTCTGTCTGTCCGTCCGTCTGTCCGTTCGTCTGTCCATCCGTCTGTCCGTCTGTCTGTCCGTCTGTCTATCTGTCTGTCCGTCCGTCTGTCCGTCCGTCTGTCCGTCTGTCTGTCCGTCTGTCTGCCGTCCCGGATTTTTATTAGACAGATAATCTCCGAAAGTACTGGGCCGATTGTTGTCAAATTTTGTATTTATGTTAGGTATATCATGTAGATGGTAAAACGCTAACCAAAATTTGTCTAATCATCCCCACCACTAATGTGATGACGTCACTTCAAAATTGTACATAGTAATTGGGTTTTAAATTGTATCAAATAACATAGTCTTACACATGTAGTTTATGACTTCGAATCGACTTTTCACCCGAAACGTCCAGATTTTTGGAAAAAAAAATCAAAATTAGGAAACAACATTTTGACATTTAATATGGAATCTGCAAAACCGAATGCTTTGAAATCTTGCAGATGGTTTACAGTTATGATAAGCATGATAAAATTTTAATTACAGTATATTTATTTATTCCTTCCGAAAAATTGATGACGTCAGTTCAAAAGTTGGCCGAATAAATCCTATCTAAAATGTACAAAATATGATAAGATTTGCATATACAGGGTGACTCAAAAAAATTAATGAATGCGTGAATTTATTTTATTTATTTAATCAGGGACTACAAAACCGAATGCTTTGAAATCTTGGATATGTTTTAAAGTTAACATAGTCGTGGTAAATTTCTAGTCAAAATGTATTTGCTCCTCCTCCCCTAAAGAATTGATGACGCCACCCCAAAATTTTGCTGAAAAAAATGTGCTATCTGAAATGTGTAAAGAATGATGTGTCTATACTTGTGATTTATCACTGCATTAATATTTTTTAGATTTCTTATACGGGGTGTTTGAAAAAAATTAATGACTGAGTCAATTTATTTTATTGATTAAATCAAGAATTGCAAAACTGAATACTTTGAAATCTTTCAGGCGTTTTAAAGTCAGTGTAAGCATGGTAAATTGTTAGTCAAAATAAATCTGTTTATTTCCCCCAAAAAATTGATGACGTTATCTCAAAATTTTGCCGAATAAATTTTCCCTAAAATGTGCAAAATATGATGAATTTTTACTTGTGATTCATCATAGCATTAATATTTTTTATTGATCAAATTAAGAACGAGTAACCCCATTTTCCCGAAAATATGAAAATACAAACGTCTTTATTTAATAAAAATTATAATAATGATATTCAGAACATTTTGTCGATTTGTTAATTACTAGTTTATTGTTTTGATCCTCTGTTTTGAGAGGACGGACTCATTCAAATCAAACTAATTTCTACGTGACATTCTTCCGATGTATAAACATAGATACTTGATGCTCCCCTAGATCTAGACAAGTTATAATCAACTAAATGTGAATTACAGCATCCAAAAACCAAATAAAATGTAGTGTTTTATTCAATAAACGGAAGTTAGAGCAATAAATAAGTCTAGACCGTCGGCATTGTCATCCGGTTATTTCAATTCGTAGAAAACATGTTTTGGTTTAGTTTGTGTTTCACCGTCACGTCTACGGCTATTTGTCTTAAATTACAAGCACTATACAGGGTGTTCATTTTATTTGTTCACGCCTGACAATTTTTGCATAGGCAACATATTATACACTTCAGATACGACTTCGTCCAATTTATTTTTTTTAAATAAGCAATCATAGCAATCACAGAAAAAAATTACAAAATTGAGAAAATTAATACTCAATTTATTTTAAAATGCCCCGCTGCAAAAATGTAATGCGAAAAAAACATAATAGGCATGCAGTCATCAGGGAAGTACTGTCTAAACTCAATAAACCAATTTTTTAATGTTCTAAACAAGCTCATTGCAGAATACATAAATTCATGTTAAATTCATAAATGAACTGTTGTAATAAATTTTTAATAAAACACTAACTAACTCAGGTTTAGTGATTGCAGAATATTAATTTGTAGAATGGTGTACCTCTTTAATTATGGTTTGGTACTTAATCTTTATGATCATGCTTTAGACGGTGAGGGTAGTACTATCTAAATACTATAGGCCATTTTTATCAGTATTTATTTCTGTGATAAATAAAAAGTATTCTTCTCTTTTCGATCCCCTTTTAGCTTCTGCTGAATCTGCTCCAATGTCTTCCCTTTAGTCTCAGGCACAAGATAATAAAAGAACAACATTTCGACAAAAGTTAACACCACAAAACTGGAAAAAGGTACGGTCAATCCAAACCCATCAGCCGTCGCTTGGTAGTACTTCGTAACCGCCAAAGTCAACAAAGAGAACGACCCGTTCACCATACAAATCAATTTCGCTTTTATACTAGCTGAAAACATCTCACTTGTCAAAACACTGACGACTGATCCCAAACCTATCGAATACACAGCAATCAGTACCATCATCATCACCAACGGAAACCAATCAACAACCGAAGTATCAACACTAGTGTGTTCTTTAAGTATGAAGAAAATCATTTGGAGCACCAAATTGACAAAGCAACCTATAGTAGAGAAGAGAAGAAGAGGTTTGCGACCCCACCTATCCACAACGAAGGCATTTAAAACCGTCATCCCGAGTTGGATTAGAAGGATGATGGAAGCATCTACGTGTGGTGCTATACTTTGAGTGGCCTCTTTTAGGAGAATCTGGATGTAGAAGTTCATCGCGGCAACTCCGGTGGTTAGCTGGAAGAATCTGGCACCTACCGTTACGTAGAAAGCTCTTCTGTTTGAGTCGATAGTGAAGATATCTCTAAAAGTACCAGTTTCTGACATCTGGCGAACGACGTCTGCTTGTAGCCTGATTAGTTCTTCGTTCACGTCTGGTTTTCTTAGTAAAAATTTCAAAATGCGTTCGGCGTCTTCGTCTTTTTTCTTCATGAGGAGGTAGTACGGGCTTTCGGGCATCCTCCAAAACAATACAATGAAGAGTACCGGAAATGCGATGCAAATTCCAGCGGTCGTCCGTATGGATAGGTACGACCCGATGATGTTTGCGAATAGTGTGCCAAAGTACCACGCGACTCCGGTCATCACACCCAGAATTCCTCTGATGGAAGGTTGTGCTATTTCAGCCACGTAGATTATTATGACGGTATTAACCATTCCTTCTGCTAGTCCTCCTATAAATCGACCCACATACAAGAGTTCCATGATTTGGTACGACAATATAATTGCCAGAAAAGAAACTATTTGAGGTACTGCTATGAGGATGGTGCAAATCCGACGTCCGATTTTGTCCAGGATAAAGTTTCCGATGAAACTCCCGAAGAAGGCGCCCAAATTTCTAATGATGGTTATATAGGAACCTTCCTCTGCTGAGACGTCAAAAGGGTAGTCGTCGGAGAAGAGTTGAGGTAAAGAGGGCGCTGACCATCCGACATGAAGACCCGTAGCGAAAACAGCAATGCTTGCTAATACGCAAAAAAAATACTTTGGGTTTGTGAACATTAAATTTTTTTCTTACCAATGAAAACAACGAGAATTTGTGGCCATTTTTCGCCGTCGGTTTTACTAATACTGTTGCTACTTTTGGAAGAAGTCATTGTCGGGTGTTATCAGCGAATTAAACTGACTATGTGCGTGATATTTGCACAAATTAACATAGCTTAATTGGGATTTAGCACAACTTTTTTTATGGTTTTAATATTCGTGAGATATATTGGCGTCATAACTGATTGTTATAGTTGACATAGACTAAACGTCATTATTGGAAAATTAATTGTTAGACTTATATTTATTTATGTGCCTTCTTTCTGCTCATTTTAGAATATAATATAAATTAATAAATGCAGTTTTGTAAATTTTTAATAAAACAGTAACACTAGTTTAGTGATGGCAGAATATTAATACATACTTTAGAGGGCGAGGGCAGTACTGTCTAAATACTATAGGTCATTTTTTATCAGTATTTATTTCTGCAATAAAAAAGTATCTGTAATTTTAAAATCTACGTTACATTTTTAAGTTTTTTCTCTTTCCGATCCCCTTTTAGCTTCTGCTGAATTTGTTCCAAAGTCTTCCCTTTAGTCTCAGGCACAAGGTAATAGAAAAACAATATTCCGACAAAAGTTAACGCTACAAAACTCGAAAAAGGTACGGTCAAGCCAAACCCATCAGCCGTCGCTTGGTAGTACTTCGTAACCGCCAAAGTCAACAAAGAGAACGACCCGTTCACCATACAAATCAATTTCGCTTTAATACTAGCTGAAAACATCTCACTTGTCAAAACACTGACGACCGATCCCAAACCTAACGAATACACAGAAATGAGTACCATCATCATCACCAACGGAAACCAATCAACCACCGAAGTATCAACACTAGTGTGTTCTTTAAATATGAAGAAAATCATCTGCAGCACCAAATTGACAAAGCAGCCCATTATCGAAACGAGGAAAAGAGGTTTGCGACCCCACCTATCCACAACGAAGACATTTAACACGGTCATGACGAGTTGGATTAGAAGAACGATGGAAGCACCAACATGAGGTGCTATACTTTGAGTTGCCTCTTTTAGGAGAATCTGGATGTAGAAGTTCATCGCGGCAACTCCCGTGGTTAGTTGGAAGAATCTGGCACCTACCGTTACGAAGAAAGCTCTTCGGTTTGATTCAATAGTGAAGATATCTTTAAAAGTACCAGTTTCTGACATCTGGCGATCGACATCAACTTGTAGTTTCGTCAGATCGTCGTTCACGTTTGATTTTCTGAGCAAAAACTTCAACACGCGTTCAGCTTCTTCGTCTTTTTTCTTCATGAGGAGGTAGTACGGGCTCTCGGGCATCCTCCAAAACAGTACAACGAAGAGTACCGGAAACGCTATGAAAATTCCAGCGGTCGTCCGTATGGATAGGTACGACCCAACGATGTTTGCGAATAGTATACCAAAGTACCACGCGATTCCGGTCATCACACCCAGAATTCCTCTGATGGACGGTTCTGCTATTTCACCCACGTAGATGATTATGATGGTATTAACCATTCCTTCTGCCAATCCTCCTATAAATCGACCCACATACAATAGTTCCATGATCTGGTACGACAATATAATTGCCAAAAAGGAAATTATTTGAGGGACAGCAATGAGGATGGTGCAGAGGCGACGCCCGATTTTGTCGAGAATAAAGTTTCCGATGAAACTCCCGAAGAAGGCCCCCAAATTTCCTATTATTGTTATGTATGAACCTTCCTCTGCTGAGACGTCAAAAGGGTACTCATCGGAGAAGAGTTGAGGTAAAGATGGTGCTGACCATCCGACATGGAGACCCGTAGCGAAAACAGCAATGGTTGCTAATACGTCACAAATTAATTTTCGGTTTGTGGATATTAATTTTGCTCTTACCAATGAAAGCCACGAGAATTTGTGGCCATTTTTCGCCGTCTTTGTTCCCACTCTTGCTACTTTTGGACGAAGTCATTGTCATAATTGTTGTTATCACCGAATTAAACTGGACGAATTTCAACGTGTTCTGTTAGTGGCACAATTTAATAAAGCTTAAGTAGGCTTTAACACAATTTTTTTATGATAATATTCTATTGTCACACTTAAGATAGATTAAACATCATTATTGGAAAAATTATTTAACTTATATTTATCTACTTACGTGCTTTCGTTCTGCTGAAACCGCAATTAAAAATGTTTACTTTTACAGGCTGCTCAAAGTGCGGCGTTATCCTTGAAATTTAGTCTATGAATAAATAAAACAACTAATAAAGCCGTCATTTAAAAGCAGGCAATCAACGTTAAAAAGGTACTACCAACATTTCCTACGAATCTTTCATGCTTTACAGGACAAGGAAAGGACTCTCTAAACACTTGGAGCCATTCTTAGACAGTATTTATTTCTGCAATAAATAAAAAATCATTTTTAAAGTCTACACCTCACTTTTGGCTTTCTTCTCTTTCGGACCCCCTTTTAACCTTTGTTGAATCTGCTCCAACGTCTTCCCTTTAGTCTCAGGCAGAAGATAATAGAAGAACAAAATTCCGACAAAAGTCAACACTGTGAAACTCGAAAAAGGCACTGTCAAGCCAAACCCATCAGCCGTCGCTTGGTAGTACTTCGTGATCGCCAAATTCAGCAAAGAGTACGACCCGTTCACCAAACAAATCAGTTTCGCTTTAATACTGGCAGAGAACATCTCACTTGTCAAAACACTAACGACTGACCCCAACCCTATCGAAAACAACGAAATGTGTACCATCATCATCATCAACGGGAACCAATCAGCTACCGACATATCAACACTGGTATATTCCTTAAGGATGAAGAAAATCGTTTGGAACCCTAAATCAACAAAGCAACCTATAGCAGAAAAGAGAAGAAGAGGTTTGCGACCCCACTTATCTATAATGAAGACACTTAAAACTGTTATGATGAGTTGGATTAGAAGAACGATTGAAGCACCGACGTGTGGTGCTATACTTTGAGTCGCTTCTTTTAGAAGAATCTGGATGTAGAAACTCATCGCCCCAACTCCAGTAGTTAGTTGGAAGAATCTAGCACCTACCGTTAAGAAGAACGCTTTTCTGTTTGAGTCGATAACGAAGATATCTTTGAAGGTACCAGTTTCCGACATCTGGCGATCCACGTCTGCTTGCAGATGCGTCAGTTCCTCACTCACGTTTGGTTTTCGTAGCAAAAACTTCAACACGCGTTCGGCTTCTTCGTCCTTTTTCTTCATGAGGAGGTAGTACGGGCTTTCGGGCATCTTCCAAAATAGTACAATGAAGAGTACCGGAATGATGGTGAAAATTGCAGCGGTTGTTCGTATGGTTAAGTACGACCCGATGAGGTTTGCGAATAATATACCCGAGTACCACGCGATTCCGGTCATTATACCCAGAACCCCTCTGACGGACGGGTCTGCAATTTCGCCTAGGTACATGAGTATGATGGTATTAACCATTCCTTCTCCTAATCCCCCTAGAAAGCGACCCACATATAACAATTCCATGACTAGCCATGACTTGGTACGACAATATCATTGACAGAAAGGAAATTATTTGTGGCAAAGCGATCAGTATGATGCACAGTCGGCGTCCGATTTTGTCCAAGATAAAGTTTCCGACGAAACTTCCAAAGAAGGCTCCCAAATTTCCGATTATGGTTATATAGGAACCTTCCTCTGCTGAGACGTCAAAAGGGTACTCGTCGGAGAAGAGTTGTGGTAAAGAAGGGGCTGGCCATCCTACGTGTAGACCCGTGGCAAAGACAGCAATGGTTGCTAATACACAAAAAAATAATTTTTTGGTTGTCGAGGTTAATTTTGTTCTTACCAACAAAAGCGACAAGAATTTGTGGCCATTTTTCTCCTCCGCTAGTGTTCGCACTGTTGCTAGTTTTGGACGAAGTCATTGTCATGTGTTATCACCGAATTAAACTGGGTGAAGTTCGTAAATTCGTGCTGATAGTAGTACAATTTGTGTGGCTTAAGTGAGATTTAACATAACGTATGGAAACATTTTGGGTGCTCTGACGTAACTGATTGTCATAGTTGACACTATTTAAACAATTTTTTCATTTAATAGTATTTATTTCTGTAAATATAAAAAAAAAATTAAAATCTAGACCAAATTTTTGACCTTCTTCTCCTTCCGACCCCCTTTTAACCTCTGCTGAATCTGCTCCAACGTCTTCCCTTTAGTCTCAGGTACGAGGTAATAAAAGAATAACACTCCGACGAAAGACAACACCACGAAACTCGAAAACGGCATGGTCAATCCAAACCCATCAGCCGTCGCTTGGTAGTACTTAGTAAACGACAAAGTCATCAAAGCGTACGACCCGTTCACCAAACAAATCAGTTTCGCTTTAATACTAGCCGAAAACATCTCGGTTGTTAAAACACTAACACCTGATCCTAACCCTAACGAAAACAAAGAAATATTTAACATCATCATCATCAACGGGAACCAGTCAACAACTGAAGTATCAACACTGGTGTGTTCTTTGAGGATGAAGAAAATCGTTTGGAACGACAAATTGACAAAACAGCCTGTGATAGACAAGAGAAGAAGGGGTTTGCGACCCCACCTATCTATAATGAAGACACTGATAACCGTCATGACGAGCTGGATTAGAAGAACTATGGAAGCACCGATTTGTGGTGCTATACTCTGAGTGGCTTCTTTTAGGAGAATCTGAAGGTAGAAATTCATCGCAGCGACTCCAGTTGCTAACTGGAAAAATCTGGCACCTATCGTTACCAAGAAAGCTTTCCTGTTTGAGTCGATAGCGAAAATGTCTTTGAAAGTACCAGTTTCGGACATCTGTCGATTTACGTCTGCCTTCAGTTTCGTCAGTTCTTCAACCACGTTTGATTTTCGTCGTAAAAACTTTAATGCGTGTTCGGCTTTATCGTCTTCGTTCTTCATGAGGAGGTAGTACGGGCTTTCGGGCATCCTCCAAAATAGAATGATGAAGAGTACCGGAAACGCGATGAAAATTGACGCTGTGGTACGTATGGTTAAGTAGGATCCTACGATGTTTGCGAAGAGTATACCCGAGTACCACGCGATTCCGGTGATGACACCCAGAATCCCTCTGATCGAAGGTTCTGCTATTTCGCCCACGTAGAGAAGAATAATGGTACTAACCATTCCCTCTCCTAATCCACCCAGGAAGCGACCCACATACAAAAGTTCCATGACTTGGTACGACATTATAATTGACAGGAAACAGATTATTTGAGGAAGACCTATCAGAAGAATGCATCGTCGACGTCCGATTTTGTCCAGGATAAAGTGTCCGACGAAACTTCCAAAGAAGGCCCCCAAGCTTCCGATTATAGTTATGTAGGAGCCTTCTTCTGCCGAAACGTCGAAAGGGTACTCATCGGAAAATAGTTGAGGTAATGAGGGCGCCGGCCATCCTACGTGAAGACCGGTGGTGAAAGTAGCAATGGTTGCTAGAATTTAAAAAAAATAAATTTGTGATTTTTCGATGTTAATTTATTCTTACCAATGACAACGACGAGAATTTGTGACCATTTTTTGCCACTATTATTGTTCACACTGTTGCTGTCTTTGGTGGATGTCATTGTCGTACCTTATCAAGGAATTAGACTGAGTGAACTTGCACTGATAGTGGCACAAGTTAATGTAGCTTAAGTAAGATTTAACACAAATATTTATGGTACCGCACTTGGTGTATTTTAGCGTCAGAACTTGATTGTTAAACTAGTTGACACAGGTTTAAAATCGCTATTGAAAAATAATAACTGTGAACATGTTATGTTTACGTGGGCTGACGACGTCATTTCAAATGATTATTTATAACATTGTCGGTTGCCAATTTCTCTCTTTAAATACTTTAAGTTACGTTAATTGAGTCCGTTGGCCAACCCTCTACTTTTAGGTTTTATCGACTTTCATGACCGCTGGAGTACGAAGAAATAAGTCTCCCGTTTCCGTCTGTCAGTCCGTCTGTCTGTCAGTCTGCCGTCCCGATTTTTATTAAACAGATGATTTTCGAAAGTAGTCAAATTTTGTATTTTGGTAAAACGCTAACCAAAATTTATAATGTTAACGTTATCCTTAAATGTGCGAAGTATAGTGAGTCTACACTTGTGTGTTATCACTGAATCCATATTTTTATTTTAACTTCTTATAATGGTTCTCATAAAAAATCAATACGATTCGCAAAATCAAATCTTTTAATTTTTCGAAAGAGCTGGATTTGACAAGTTGTACTTTATGGGTGAGGGAAGTATTTATTTCTACAGTTAATTAAAAAGAGTATAGCATTAAAATCTAGATCACGTTTTTCGCTTTCTTCTCTTTTCGGCCCCTTTTTAACCTCTGCTGAATCTGCTCCAACGTCTTCCCTTTGGTCTCAGGGACATAATAATAAAAGAACAAAACACCGAAAAAAGTCAACACCATGAAACTCGAAAAAGGTACGGTCAATCCAAATCCGTCAGCCGTCGCTTGGTAGTACTTCGTAAACGCCAAGGTCATCAAGGAGTACGACCCATTCACCAAACAAATCAACTTAGCTTTAATACTGGCAGAAAATATCTCACTCGTCAGGACACTAACGACTGACCCTAGACCTATCGAATACAGAAAAATGAGTACTAACATCATCATCAGTGGGAACCAATCAGCCACCGAAGTATCAACACTGGTGTGTTCTTTAAGGATGAAGAAAATCATTTGGAACACTAAATCGATAAAGCAACCGATTATAGAGAAAAGAAGAAGAGGTCTGCGTCCCCACCTATCTATAATGAAGACACTTATAACTGTCATGACGAGTTGGATTAGAAGAACTATTGAAGCACCGATTTGTGGTGCTATACTTTGAGTGGCTTCTTTTAGGAGAATCTGGAGGTAGAAGTTCATTGCGGCAACTCCGGTACATAACTGGAAGAATCTAGCTACCACCGTCACAAGGAAAGCTCTTTTGTTTGAGTCAATAGCAAAAATATCTCTGAAGGTACCAGTTTCCGACATTTGACGTTCTACGTCTGCTTTAAGCTTCGTCAGTTCTTCACTCACGTTGGTTTTTCGTCGTAAAAACTTCAATACGCGCTCGGCTTTTTCTTCGTCTTTCTTCATGAGGTGGTAGTACGGGCTTTCGGGTATCTTCCACGATAACACAACGAAGAGTATTGGAATCGCGATGGCAATTGAAGCGGTGGTTCGTATGCTTAGGTACGACCCTATGATATTTGCGAAGAGTACGCCCGAGTACCAGGCGATTGTGGTCATGACAGCCAGAGTACCACGGATGGAAGGTTCTGCTATTTCGGCCACGTAAAGCAGTGTGATGGTACTAACCATTCCTTCTCCCAATCCTCCTAGAAATCTACCCACATACAACAGCTCCATGACTTGGTACGACAATATAATTGACAGGAAGCAGGTTATTTGGGGAAGAGCTATCAGGATGATGGAGCGCCGGCGGCCAATTTTGTCCAGGATAAAGTTTCCGATGAAGCTTCCAAAGAAAGCCCCCAGATTTCCGATTATTGTAATGTAGGAACCTTCTTCGGCTGAGACGTCGAAAGGGAACTCGTCGGAGAAGAGTTGTGGTAGCGAGGGCGCGGGCCATCCGACGTGAAGACCGTTAGCGAAAGTCGCAATAGCAGCTAATATTTACAAAAAATTAATAATAATTGTTTCGGGACGTTAATTTTCTGCTTACCAACGAAAACAACCAGAATTTGTGGCCATTTTTTTCCGCCGCTGTTGCTTCTATTGTTGGTATCTTTAGAAAAAGTCATTGTCGTACTTTTATCAGCGGATTCAGTTGACTGAATTTACTAAACTTGCACTGATAGCGACACAAATAATGTAGCTTAAGTGAGATTTGGCGCGAACTTTTATTGTAATACTTGTGAGGTGTATTAGCGTCATAACTTAATTGTTATAGTTGACAAAGATAACATTAATATTGAAAAAATTATTTAGGACGTTTCATATTATTTACTTGCGTGCTTCTGTTCGTCTGAAGACGTCAACTAAATATTTATTTTAATAAATTACATAATGTACATTGTTTTTTTTTTAATAAAATATTAACTAATAATCATTTTGGGATTTTCGAATAATTTTTAATAAAATTTTATCTATTCGTTTAAAATATTCATACGTCATCTTGCCATCTAAGGGCGGAATATAATTTCTAATCACCAGACTTCGGCATCCCGGAAGTGATACTCATTGCCGTACGAATTCTTAGTAACAATTACCACTTTTTCTACGTTTTCCTCAGTTATACGAGTTTTCCTAGATTTTAAAATGCTTCAAAAATTAAAAATGACTGTTCAACAGCACAATTTTTGTGATGATCTTGATCAGATAAACCCTGAATTGTATCAAACGCCACTGAGATTGAAACTGCACAGTCGGCCAGCCAAATTTATCGCCTGACGTCGCGCCGTCGTTTTTAATATTTGTCTGATTGATTCCCCATCACTTCGGCTGTGCCTAACTCTGATAATCACTTTAGGTAATTTTCTCTTTTAAAATATTTTAAATGACGCCTCCAGAAGAATTGAAACACGTAAGTAAATATAAAATGTCCAAATTTTTTTTTCTTCAATAACATCTTTTAAAGCATCTGTCAAGTATAACAATTAAAATTAAGTTTTTGTAAAAGTCTGTCATCAATACTTGCTAAGATAAAACTAATTTTGGCAATGACATATCCTCTAAGAAAAGGGGGGGGTGGGTGGGCGAGGCGAGTAACTTCTAAGATAAGACTGACTTTGGCAAATCACATATCCTCTAAAAAGAGAGAGGGTGGGTGGGCGGGGCTAGTACCTGCTAAGATAAGAGTGATTTCGGCAAATGAGATACCCTGTAAGAAAAATGAGGTCTAGCACTAGTTAAAAATAATCTTAAAGTATAGTCCTTAAAGAACCATTCAAGTTTGAACTTTGATCTTTTCTTCTATTTCTAATAAGATATTGGGAACCACGCGCTTAGTGACTCACCCTGTATATGTAATATATTATTTTATTAGGGGCTAGTACCTGCTAAGGTAAGAGTGATTTTGGCAAATGACATACACTCTATTAATACAAAGAGTGGGTGGGCGGGGCTAGTATCTGCCTAAATCCGTCTTACGTAAGTACTAACCTCGCCCACCCACCCTCTCTATTGTTAGAGGATTTCTCATTTGCCAAAATTAGTTTTATCTTAGCAAGTATTAGCCCAGCCCACCCGCCCTCTCTTCTCTTAGTAGCTGCTAAAACAAGACCGATTTTGGCAAATGAGGTACCCTTTAAGAGAAGAGAGGGTCGGTGGGTGGGGATAGTACCTACTCAGATAAAACTGATTTTGGCAGATGACGTATCCTTTAAGAAAAGAGAGGGTGGGTGGGCGGGGCTAGTACCTGCTAAGATAAGAGTGATTTTGGCTAATGACATACTTTATAAAAAAAGAGAGGGTGGGTGGGCGGGGATAGTACCTACTAAGATAAAACTGATTTTCGCAGATGACATATCCTCTAGGAAAAGTGAGGGCTAATACCCACTAGAATAAGACCGATTGCTAAATTGTGTATTACCCTTAAAAACATGACACTCTGTATAGTTAAAAATAATTTTAAAGTATAGTCCTTAAAGAACCATTTAACTTTGAATTTTGATCTTTTCTTCTATTTCTAATAAGATATTGGGGACCACGCGCTTAGTGACTCACCCTGTATATGTAATCTATTATTTTATTATCAATTCAGAATATTCATAAAAATTGAGAGAAGATTTTTAATTTTGATTAAAATAATAATTTAATTCATTTTTATATTAAGAACAATGCTTTGTAAATTTTGTTTCTACCTGAAGAAGGCACAGAAAATATTTTAAACTCAGAAAGTATTTTTCTTGAGAAGAAAAAAATCCTTGGAAGTAAATCTTAACGAAGTAACATGACAAGCAAAAATTAATATTGGTCGAATTTTTCTAGATTTTACTTAAACTACATTTTTTAATATGAAAAATAAAGTACAAACGGGAAGACAAAAAGCAGAAAAAATAACAAAAATGAAATAAAGGTATGACAAAAATATATAAAAAAAAAGAATTGTTTTTTATTGTCTTTATATAATAATCTTTATTAGATAATCAGTTAATCGCAGACAAGATTTTCATGATTTTTGAAAATATAACTAAAAAATTTTAAACAAAAATAAAAAAGTAGTAGTAGTTGTCAAGATAAGACTGATTTTGGCAAATGATATACCCTCTAAGAGAAAAGAGGGCGGGTGGGCGGGGCTAGTACCTGCTAAGGTAAGAGTGATTTTGGCAAATGACATACACTCTATGAATAAAGAGAGTGGGTGGGCGGGGCTAGTAGCTGCCAAAATTCGTCTTATCTTAGTAAGTACTAACCCCGCCCACCCACCCTCTCTATTTTTAGAGGATTTCTCATGTGCCAAAATCAGTCTTATCTTAGCAGGTACTAACCCCGCCCACCCACCCTCTCTATTGTTAGAGGATTTCTCATTTGCCAAAATTAGTTTTATCTTAGCAAGTATTAGCCCAGCCCACCCGCGCTCTCTTCTCTTAGTAGCTGCTAAAATAAGACCGATTTTGGCAAATGATGTACCCTCTAAGAGAACAGAGGGTGGGTGGGCGAGGATAGTACCTACTAAGATAAAACTGATTTTGGCAGATGACGTATCCTTTAAGAAAAGAGAGGGTGGGTGGGCGGGGATAATACCTACTAAGTTAAAACTGATTTTGGCAGATGACATACCCTCTAAGAAAAGTGAGAGCTAGTACCTGCTAGAATAAGACCGATTGCTAAATTGTATATTACCCTTAAAAACATGACACTCTGTATAGTTAAAAATAATTTTAAAGTATAGTTCTTAAAGAACCATTTAACTTTGAATTTTGATCTTTTCTTGTATTTCTAACAAGATATTGGGGACCACGCGCGTAGTGACTCACCCTGTGTATATGTAATATATTATTTTATTATCATTTCAGAATAATCATAAAACTTGAGACAAGATTTTTAATTTTGATTAAAATAATAATTTAATTCACTTTTATATTAAGAACAATGCTTTCTAAATTTTGTTTCTACCTGAAGAAAGTACAGAAAATATTTTCAACTCAGAAAGTATTTTTCTTAAGAAGAAAAAAATCGTTGGAAGTAAGTCTTAACGAAGTAACATGAGAAGCAAAAATTAATGTTGGTCGAATTTTTCTAAATTTTAAATTACATTTTTTAATATGTAAAATAAAATAAAAACAGGAAGACAAAAAGCAGAAAAAATAACAAAAATGAAATAAAGGTATGAAAAAAATATATAAAAAAAGAATAGTTATTTATTGTCTTTATATAACAATCTTTATTAGATAATCAGTTAATCATAGACAAGAAGATTTTCGTGATTTTTGAAAATATAACTGGAAAATTTTCAAACAAAAATAAAAAAGTAGCTAGAAGTTGTCAAGATAAGACTGATTTTGGCAAATGATACACCCTCTAAGAGAAGAGAGGGCGGGTGGGCGGGGCTAGTACCTGCTAAAATAAGACTGATTTTAGCAAATGACGTAGCCTTTAATTTTTAATGCCAACATTTATTGTGATTTTTGTGGCTGGCACAGATTAAAAGTTGTTATTGGAACGATTAATTTTCACAGGTTTTTTCAATGTTACACCTACACTTGTTTATGAATCCGTGTTGAGTTTTTAGACATTCTCAAAACTATGCCTCCACTTGTAAGGAGTGTCGTTATTTCTACAAATAAATAAAGTACTAATATTTACACCACGTTTGTTACCTTCGTCTCTTTCCGACCCACTTTTAACCTCTGCTGAATCTGCTCCAACGTCTTCCCCTTAGTCTCAGGCACAAGATAGTAGAAGAACAAAATTCCGATAAAAGTCAACACCACGAAACTCGAATAAGGCACGGTCAATCCAAACCCGTCAGCCGTCGCTTGGTAGTACTTAGTAAACGACAAAGTCATCAAAGAGTACGACCCGTTCACGACACAAATCAACTTCGCTTTAATACTAGCCGAAAACATCTCACTCGTCAAAACACTAACGACTGATCCCAAACCCAACGAATACAGAAAAATGAGTACCAACATCATCATCAGCGGAAACCAATCAACCACCGAAGTATCAACGCTGGTGTGTTCTTTAAGGATGAAGAAAATCGTTTGGAGCACCAAATCGACGAAACAGCCTACTACAGAGAAAAGGAGAAGAGGTCTGCGCCCCCATCTATCAATAATGAACACGTTTAAACCTGTCATGATGAGCTGGATTAAAAGAATGATGGAAGCGCCGACTTGTGGTGCTATACTTTGAGTGGCCTCCTTTAGAAGAATCTGGATGTAGAAGTTCATTGCGGCAACTCCAGTGGATAACTGAAAGAATCGCGCAACGACAGTTATAAATAAAGCTTTTCTATTTGCGGCGATTGCGAAAATGTCTCTAAAAGTACCAGTTTCCGACATCTGACGCTCGACGTCTGCTTTCATCGTCGTCAGTTCTTCACTCACGTTGCTTTTGCGTCGTAAGAACCTCAACACGCGTTCGGCTTTTTCGTCTTCTTTCTTCATGAGGTGGTAGTACGGGCTTTCGGGGATTTTCCACGATAACACAACGAAGAGTACCGGGATTGCGATGGAAATTGAAGCGGTGGTTCGTATTGTCACGTACGACCCGATGATGTTTGCGAATAGTACTCCGGAGTACCACGCAATTCCGGCCATGATGGCCAAGATACCTCTAATGCAAGGTTCTGCTATTTCGGCCACGTAGATTAGTGTCATGGTACTAACCATTCCCTCTCCCAATCCTCCTACAAATCGACCCACGTACAAGAGTTCCATAACGTGGTACGACAATATAAACGACAGGAAGGAGATTGTTTGTGGAAGAGCTACGAGGATGATGCAACGTCGACGTCCGAGTTTATCCAGGATAAAGTTTCCGATGAAACTACCGAAGAAAGCTCCCAAATTTCCGATTATGGTTATATAGGAACCTTCCTCTGCTGAGACGTCAAAAGGGTACTCGTCGGAGAGGAGTTGTGGTAAAGAGGCCGCTGGCCATCCTACGTGAAGTCCGGCAGTGAATGTAGCAATAGTCGCTAATACAAAAAAAATATATTATTTTTTCACGACTTTAATTTTTTTCTTACCGATCAAAACAACGAGAATTTGGGGCCATTTTTTGCCTTTGTTCGTACTGTTGTTGTTTTTGGAAGAAGGCGTTGTCATACGTTTTTAGCGAATAAACTGGGTGAAGTTTCAGTGAACTTGCAGCGATAGAGGCACAAATTAATATAGCTTAAGTGATATTTAACGCGAATATTTATTGCAATAGTCTCGATGATTGGTGGCGTCATCAATTGATTGTTGTAGTTGGCACAGATTAAAAGTCGTTATTAAAAAGAATTATTTCGTTTGACATAATTTCAATGTATTTATTTATGTATTATATTTTATTACATTTAAATTAGTTTTAATAAAACTTTAGCATTGTACAGTTTATCTATAAGTAAATATAAATATTTACACAAAATTCAAAACATCAAACAGAAATACAGACGTCTGGGACAACATAGTTTAAAATTTACAGTTTAGTTTAGTATTTTAGCTTTATTCACCCCCTCGAAAAACTGATGACGTCGTCTTAAATTTTTCTTGAGTAGTGTTTATGGCTACAAATTTCCGATTCCCTTTTAACTTCTGCTGGATCTGCTCCAACGTCTTCCCTTTAGTCTCAGGAACAAGATAATAAAAGAACAAAATTCCGACTAAAGTGAATATCATAAAACTCGAAAACGGTACAGTCAATCCAAACCCATCAGCTGTGGCTTGGTAGTACTTCGTAATCCCTAGCATCATCAACGAGTACAACCCGGTTACCAAACAAGTCAGTTTCGCTTTAATACTAGCCGAAAACATCTCACTTTGCAAAACAGTAACAACCGACCCCAACCCCAACGAATACAAAAAAATTAGTACCATCATCATCATGAGCGGGAACCAATCAACCACCGAAGTATCAACACTGGAGTGTTCTTTAAGTACGAAGAAAACCACTTGGAGCACCAAATCCACAAAGCAACCTATCACAGAGAAGAGAAGAAGAGGTTTGCGACCCCACTTATCAATAATGAACATGTTTAACACAGTCATGATGAGCTGAATCAGAAGAACGATCGAAGCCCCGATGTGCGGTGCTATACTTTGAGTGGCCTCTTTTAGGAGAATCTGGATGTAGAAATTCATCGCGCTGACCCCAGTGGTTAACTGGAAAAATCTGGCACCCAGCATGATGAAGAAAGCTCTTCTGTTCGAGTCGATAGTGAAAACATCTTTGAAGGTACCACTTTCCGACATCTGGCGATTAACATCCGCTTTCAGTTTCGTCAGTTCTTCATCTACGTTTGATTTTCGTCTCAAGAATTTTAGTACGTGTTCGGCTTGTTCGTCTTTTTGCTTCATGAGGAGGTAGTACGGGCTTTCGGGCATCTTCCAGAATAGTACGATGAAGGTTAGTGGAAATGCGATGAAAATTGCAGCGGTTGTTCGTATAGTTAGGTACGACCCGATGATGTTGGAGCATAGTATTCCGGAGTAGTAGGCGATTCCGGCCATGGTACCTAGTATTCCTCTGATGGAAGGTTCCGCTATTTCACCTATGTAGAGTAGTACTATGGTGTTAACCATTCCGTCTCCTACTCCTCCAATAAAACGACCAACGTACAAGAGTTCCATGAGTTGGTACGACAATATAATTAAGAGGAAAGAGATGATTTGGGGAAAAGCGCTCAAGAGGATGCAGCGTCGACGTCCGATTTTGTCCAAAATAAAAATTTCCGATGAAACTTCCAAAGAAGGCGCCCAAACTCCCGATTATGGTAATATAAGAGCCTTGTTCTGCTGACACCTCAAAAGGGTACTCGTTGGAGAAGAGCTGCGGTAAAGAAGGCGCCGGCCATCCAATGTGAAGACCATTAGAGAAAACAGCAATGGTTGCTATATTACAAAATAATAATAATAATAAATGTTTCAAATCGTAATTTTTTTCCTTACCAATGAAAACCACAAGTACTTGTGACCATTTCTCGGTACCGCTTTTTCTCGTCATTGTCAAGCGTTCTCCGCGAATTAATTGGCTGAAGTTAATAACCTTGCACTGATAGAGACACAAATTAATTTGGCTTAAGTTAGAATTCAGGGGAGTATTTATGGTAATGTTCCTGAGGCACACGGGCGTCATATCTGCTTGTCATAGTTGAATGTTGTATTTACTCACGCGCTTTTATTCTATTGCGGGCGTCATTTAAAATGTTTATTTTTACAGACTGCTTTTTCGGTGTTCTAAATATAAAGTAATTAGATTATTTTCGAGTTTATCTTATCTCGACATTTCAACCCTTTGAGTATGTCTGTTGTCAATTATTATTAGATGGATAATCCCCAAAACTATTGGACTGATTGTTGTGAAATCTTAGATATATTTTAGTAATGTTGTGCAGATGCTGTAGATGTTAAAACACTAAACGATTAAACAAAATGCCTGATCTGATCATGGCTACCAATAATTTTGGGAAGTAAATCGTATTTAAATTTTATATCATAATAACTATACGTGTAGTTTATGAATTCGCTTTTATTTTGTATCTTCGACATCCAGAGTTTTGTAAAAAAATCAGGGGTTTGACATTTCCTGGCTTTTTAAAATTATTTTAAATTTGTTTTTCTGTTCGGGCAGTGTCAATTTTTACACCGGTATATTTAATTTAATTTTTTTGCTTTCCGAATTTCCTTTCAAGCAAATCTTTACTTTAAATTTGGAACATAGCGTTATATTGATGTGCAATTTAATGATACATTTTTGTTTGGAAGTTTACTTATACAGGTTGTCCTGAAACACATAAGAATAGACAATTACATTTTCTAGCTTATTTCAGAAATTTAGATAATAGAAGTTTTCGAAGTTTTTGAATGACAGTAGTATCGATTCATAAATGATAGACAATTAACTAAAATTCATCTTCTCTTGAAACTTGATGACGTCATTCTTCAAAAATGTGATAAAATAGATTCAAAGAAACATTTTGGGATACGGTGTCTTTTGCTTTTTAAAATATATTTTTGTTTTTGAAATATTTGTACAGTGTGTTTAAAAAAATTGATTTTGGTAAATGAATAATATTAAGGGTAATCACTGGAATTAAGAGGGGGTGGGTGGGCGGGGCTATTGCTTGCTTATATGAGATTCTGTATGAAAAAGTTAAACTTAGCCCCGCCCACCCACCCGTTCTCCATTTTGTTTTTCTTTAGAAATAAGAAATAAATGTTATAGCAAATAAGTAGTATTATAAAAAAATTACGATTAACGGTTTTTTTAACAGTCTACGTTATATTAGTTCCCATTCTCACTTTATCAAAGAACATATAATTCACCCCGCCCACCCACCCTGCCTCCATTTCAGCAATCCACTTTCTCTAGTCCAAATGTGTGTAGGCGGGGCTAATAGTAGTAGATAATATCCTCTAAGAAAATAAAGGTTGGGTGGGAGGGGCTATTACTTCCTAAGATAAAACTGATTGTGGCAAATCACATACCCTCTAAGAAAATAGAGGGCGGGTGGGCGGGGCTAGTACTTGTTAAGATAAGATTGATTTTGGTAGATGATATATCTTCTAAGAAAAAAAAGGGTGGGTGGGGCTAGTACTTCCTAAGATAAAACTGATTGTAGCAAACCACATACCCTCTAAGAAAATAGGGGGCGGGTGGGCGGGGCTAGTACTTGTTAAGATAAGATTGATTTTGGTAGATGATATATCTTCTAAGAAAAAAAAGGGTGGGTGGGCGGGGCTAAAATTTGCTAAGATAGGACTGAACAATATTAAGAGTCGTCACTAGAACGAAGAAGGGGTGGGTGGGCGGGGCTACTGCTTGCTCATAAGATTAGAAAAAAGCTAAATTTAGCCCCAGTATTTCACTAACTAATTTTATTTAGTGTAAAATGGAAATTGGAAAATAACAGTAATGCATTGCCAAATTTTTCTCGGAAAATGGAGTGTTTCTGATTTAATTAATAAAATAAATTGATTTATTCATTATTTTTTTTGTGCTACCGCGTTACGCAAATCTAAAAAAGTTGAGTTCAGTGGTAAATCACAAGTAAAAACTCATCACATTCTGCACATTTTACGTGGAATTTATTCGTCAATTTTTTAGGAGGAATGAGCAAATACATTTTAGATAAAAAAATTACCAAGCGTATCATAACTTTAAAACATCTCCAAGATCTCAAAACATTCGGTTTTGTAGTTCCTGATTAAATCAAAAATATAAATCACGCATTCATTAATTTTTTTGAGTCTCCCTGTATAAGCAAATTAAAAAAATATGAATGGAATGATAAATCACAAGTATAGACTCATCATATTTTCGATATTTACGGGTCATGAAAGGTCGAGAAAACGTAAAAGTAGGAAGTCGGTCGACGGGCTCGATTACAACATTTCCTTCGCTTACACTCGGGAAGTAAAATAGAAACTAAGGTAAATATGCTCGGTTATGCCAGAAATTTCATACCTAACTTTCCTGACAATTTGGGAACACTGACGATATTTTCAGTGCTATTTTGGATATACATATAAACAATACGAACAAATTGCAACATATTTGTAATGTACGGAATTAACATTTCTGTTTCAAGCTAAAAACAATGGCGTATACATAATTTCAATATCTCTATACATTCTCAAGATATAAGGCCGTGCAGTTTTAACTGGGACACCTGTGTATAATTTTTTATATACATATAACTATACATATATATAACTCATTCATGTATCATGTTGCAACATTTTCAAAGATTAATCATTTAATACTTACAATATCTTTTTTATTATTGTTTTGGTATAAAAGATATTTAATGTTCAAATTTAAATATTATCGTACTTGCATTGACAAAATTTACAAAAACTGTCAAACTTGTTGACATAAATTTTAGCATGAAGTAACTAGATTTGTGTTTACGAATAAATGCATCATAGGCGTCTTGACATAAAAACTAAATTAATGTTTCACAAAATATGGCATCATGATACGTTACTGAATTTCGAAAAAAAAATCCAACAAGAATCTCTAAAAATGTATATGGAACTTTATTAAAAAAAGAGGTGAATTATGTAGACAAACACAAGTAGGCCATTTGCCAATATCAGTCTTTTCTTAGCAGGTAGTAGCCCCGCCCACCCACCCTCTCTTTTCTTGGAAGGTATGTCATTGGCCAAAATCAGTCTTGTCTTAGCAGGTACTAACCGCGCCCACCCACCCTCTATTTTCTTAGAGGGATCTTATTAGCTAAAATCGGTCTAGTCTAGTCTCAGGTGCTAGCCCTCTAAGAAAATAAAGGGCGGGTGGGCGGGGTTAGTGATTGCCAAGATATTGCCAATTAACATATCCCTTAAGAAAATAAATGGTGGGTAGGCGGGGCTAGTATCTGCTAAGAAAGACTGATTTTGGCAAAGGAGGTCCCTCTAAGAAAATAGAGGGCGGGTGGGCGGGGTTAATACCTGCTAAAATAAAACTGATTTTCGCAAATGACATATCCTCTAAGAAAAAAGAGGGTGGGTGGGCGGGGCTAGTATCTGCTAAAATAAGACCGATTTTGGCAAATTACATACAGTTGCGGCCCTCCAAAAGTGCACGATAATTTTCTCTATTGTAAATGTATCTTCAAGTCATGAAATCAAATTTGACATTTTGTTTATTCAAAAATGCTGCGCCACTGGTAATACCTAGACTTACATTAATTTAAAAATTCAAAAAATTCCATGACAACGAAAAATCGTGCACTTTTGGAGGGGCGCAATTGTACCTTCTAAGAAAAGAGAGGGTGGTTGGGCGGGGCTAGTACCTGTTAAAATAAGACCGATTTTGGCAAATGACATACCTTCTAAAAAAGAGAGGGTGGATGGGCGGGGCTAGTACCTGCTAAGATAAGACTGATTTTGACAAATGATATACCCTCTACCCATCATTTTCTTAGAGGATATGTTATTTGGCAAAATCAGTCTTATCTTACTAAGTAGCAGGCCCGTCCACTCGCCCTTCATTTTCTTAGAGAATAGGTCATTTGTCAATATCAGTCTCATCTTAGCTAGCCCCGCCCACCCACCCTCTCTTTTCTTAGAAGGATGAAAAAACAAGAACAGCAGTCCTCCATATATATATTGAAATACTTATTGGCGACTTATTTGTTGTGTTAAAACATCTTAAGTAAAAGTTTTATTATCTGCAATCCCATATTGTATATGATTTTGAAATGTATAGAGTATGACAAAGTTGCACAAGACAAAATTACCATTAATACACCGGTTTAAGTTCATTTTATTAACGAAAATGTGTATAAATGGCATAAGGATTTTCTCTTGTTCAGTTTTTCCTTTTCAGAAATACAGTTAGCTGAATAAAACAATTTTATTAATTTTTTTCTTATAGTGTGTCAAAAATTATTCAAAATAGTAAATGATCATGACGTTATACAGCACCTATTGCCTAATCGCAAGCGTCATTTTAAAATAGGCCAACACACTTTGCGCTTCAAACACAGTAAATTAAAAACAACATTCAAATTTGTTTTTTTATTAGTAGTTATCTGTACAAATAAATAGAAGCAATTTGTAATCTTAAAATCTACGCCACGTTGGACACTTTCTTGTCTTTTCGACCCCCTTTCAACTTCTGCTGAATCTGTTCCAACGTCTTTCCTTTCGTCTCCGGCACAAGATAATAAATGAACAAAACTCCGACAAAAGTCAACACCATAAAACTCGAAAAGGGCACGCTCAATCCAAACCCATCAGCCGTCGCTTGGTAGTACTTCGTAATCGCCAAAATCATCAAAGAGTACGACCCGCTCACCATACAAGTCAGTTTCGCTTTAATACTAGCCGAAAACATCTCAGTTTGCAAAACAGTAACGACCGACCCCAACCCTAACGAGTACACGAAAATGAGTACCATCATCATCATGAGCGGAAACCAATCAGCAACCGAAGTATCAACGCTAGTGTATTCTTTAAGGATGAAGAAAATCATCTGGAGAAGCAAATTGACAAAACAGCCTATTACAGAGAAGAGAAGAAGGGGTTTGCGACCCCACTTATCAATAATGAACATGTTTAAAACAGTCATGACGAGCTGGATTAGAAGGATGATCGAAGCACCGATGTGTGGAGCAACACTTTGAGTGGCGTCTTTGAGAAGAATCTGGATGTAGAAGTTCATCACGCTTACTCCGGTGGTTAACTGGAAAAACCTGGCGCCTAGCATGATGAAGAAAGCTTTTCTGTTTGAGTCGATAGTGAAAACGTCTTTGAAGGTACCACTTTCGGACATCTGGCGATCGACGTCTGCTTTCAGTTGCGTCAGTTCTTCATCCACGTTTGATTTTCGTCTCAAGAATTTTAATACGTGTTCGGCTTTTTGTCTTTTTTATGCATGAGGAGGTAGTACGGGCTTTCGGGCATCTTCCAAAAGAGTACTATGAAGAGTACCGGAATTGCGATGAAAATTGAAGCGGTCGTTCGAATAGATAAGTTGACGAAAATGATGTTGACGAATATTACTCCGAAGTAGTAGGCGATTCCGGCCATGGTTCCGCTATTTCACCCACGTAAATGAATACTACGGTATTAACCATTCCTTCTTCTATTCCTTCAATGAAGCGACCTACATACAAGAGTTCCATGAGTTGGTACGACAATATGATTAGCAGAAAGGAGGTGATTTGAGGGAAAGCGCTCAAGAGGATGCAGCGTCGACGTCCGATTTTGTCCAAAATAAAATTTCCGATGAAGCATCCAAAGAAGCTTAGCGTCATAACTGATTGTCAAGTTGACATAGATTAAATGTCATTATTGGAAAAAATATTTTGACTGTTGTATTTTCTCACGCGTCATTTAAAATATTTATTTTTACAAACTGCTTTTTTCAGTTTTCTAAGTATGAACTAATGTTATTTAATATCCAGTACTGTTAACACTTAGAGAATGGAAAAGTAGGTCGGCCGTTTCCGTCTGTCTGTCATCCATTGTCTGATAGCGTTTATTACTATTATTATTATTATTATTATTGTTATTAAAAAAGTGTATATAATATATGTATCGGAATTGTGAAATATTATTCGTCGCAGAAAAATCAGAGCTTATTTCAATAAATACAACTGTGTACATAAAGCAACCCCCGAGAATTCCGTCTTGAAAAAAACTACCCCAAGTCAAAAATCTCTTGTTCCAGCAACTTCGCTCACTGCCAGATCTCCCAGCTCGAACCACACACCTTCTTCGACGTCAGCCGCATCCAAAAAATGTAAGTACCCCACCCCTTCAACCCCCATTATAAACGAAACTCCGCAGACACTTGGACAACAACGACCTGAGAACGCTCCCCTCGGAGCTCTTCCCGCAGCACAACGACTTAAAAACTTTGTAAGTATCCGCCGCAAAAATCCTTTATTTCACCCCTATGTTCGATCAGGTGTTTAATAACAGCCCCGTTCCAGATCCGTAAGGCACAATCGCATCTCGGGTATCCATCCGGACGCTTTTAGAGAATTGGTTAAGCTCGAAGAACTGTGAGTATCGGACAAAGTAAATTAACGAACAGGGGCGGACTTTTGAGAGTTTTTTAATTAAGATTTTTCGATTCGGGGCACGTAATCGATTTTTAGCGAGTTTAGAGATATTCGGGAGTTTGGATCCGTCTTAACGATTTACCGAGCCGGGATTGAGTGGAGGGCTTTTCGAGTATGGGTTTCTATTAATATTAAAATGTGTTTATAATATTTCAGGGACTTGAGAGGGAATCGGCTCGCGGAGATTAGGAGGGAGGTTTTCGCCCCGCTGAAAAGCCTCCAATTTTTGTAAGTAGGGGCGATTTCGAACTTTTGCTTTGTGGGGAGGTACAACTGGGAAATGTGGAATGATTTTTTAAAGCAGGCCAAGGAAACTTTTATATATTATTGTTATTGTAGCATTATATACTACGTTTATCGAACAGATGGAGTTGTGAAACTCAACAAATTAACTTTAGAAATTCAAATCTAAAAATACAAATATTGTCATATTTACGTTGAGCTTTAGTTGTAATTAAATATAAACAACCTTGACCTCCTCGACAATTCATAGCACCTCCCCCCACCCGGCGATACTTTAATCTCGCTTCTCTTTTTCAGACATTTACAGAATAACGGAATTCGTTACGTCACTGTCAACACCTTCCCTCCCTTACCTCTGGAATCGTTGTCATTGACGAACAACAAGATCGATTCGTTGGAAAGAGGGACTTTCTCGATGATGCCATCCCTCAAACATTTGTAAGTCAAAAGACATTTATACGTGTTGTGTTGCAATAATACGGGTTGATAAGAAGATGTTTTCTTAGAAAACAATTGCTGAGGGTTTAGGGACAAAGGACGTCTGGGCACAAAGAAGGGATTTGTGCGGTGACAACGTAATTAATTGCATCTTCTAATCTGACGGAAACTATAGTATTGTTTTTATTTTTGCATACAATGGAAAGGCCGATTAGTTGTACGCTACACGGACCCTATAGTGTTATTTTTTGGATTGTTAGCTGCACTGCGGGGGTGTTATAGGGTCGTAGAGAACTTGGTTATTACACCTGTCGGTCGTACAAGTCTTACACTGCTTGAGCTGACCTTGTTTGGTGTAGTTCTTGCAAAAATCGCCACTCCAGCAGGCTCTCCGAACTAGTTGGAGACTCCCATCTGCAAAAATCGAGTTAGATTTTGGCCCAAAAAAAAATGTAATGTTCACTTTGAAACCACTCAACCGCTTGGACACACATTGCGTTCGTTTCTGAACACTCCTCGACCATGTCGTTTGGAAGAGTCGTGCTGCAGGCGGTCCGCGTTCGGTAGCTTTGTTGACAAGAAAAACACACCAGAGTTAATCCTGAAAGGTTAAGAAAATTATTACGAGGCGTTGTCGAGGCTAAAAAAATAAGAAAAATAGATAGTTTCTGGTTACCTGTATGCAGAAGCACAGCGATAAAACACAACACAAAGAACTTCATGGTTCTGGTAGCCACCCGAACGCCTAGTGCTCACAAGGTGTTATGTTAAATTTTCGACAACCATTTGTGTTTTTCGCTGATAAAAATGGAATTTTTTAGCGGACTACGTCAAGTAAACAATTTATTTCCATAGATTAATAAACAATGCGCGTGTTAAATTTTAAAAATATTTGTATTAAAAAGCTTAATTTTTAACGTACCTCATTATGCAAATTGAACTTCCCTTGTTAGTCTAACGAGGAGGAATTTGTTGATTATTATTATTGTTATAAATAGCTAGGTTGATTTTTTAATCACGAAAAAAAACACCTGTGCTCACTGACGATTTTAAACTAAAAACTAAAAAATAAAATTTTTGTGATTACTCTTCACGTGCTTGTCGTTAGTAGAAGGGGAATAAAAATGAAAGGTAAATTAAACAACAAGCTTGCCAAATGTATTCAAAATTTTGTTTTTATAATGATATCAATTAAATTCTTGTTGAATATTTACATTATGTAATGAGGAAACCGTTACTTCACTTTCGGCATATTTGAAATGAAAAATATTACAAGGTCGGGAGATCTGCACTGTTTGCTTTGTTATTACTAGTTACGCATGACATATTTAGAAATATTTTAAACGTACGTTTTATGAAAAAATTGACATTTTACATTGTCTTCTATAAACATAGATACGTTATAACTAATCACTTGTTTCTTATCAAAAAGTTGATGACGTCACTGAGCTGGTTTAACCTTTATTTCAGATGCATGTTTGAAACGTCACGGACAATTAAATCCGCTCCTAAATTAATTATATTTATTCTTTCCGCTAAAACTTGACTAGTTACAACACTCACTGGTGGTATTTGCTGTGCTTTAGAGACAAGATAAGTTCAGTGTAAATTCTGCACTCTTATGTCACCAATTTAAACCCTTTAATAGCAAAACACACAAAAATATATGCATTTATAATATTTAGTAAACATAGCGTGTGGTCACATTAAAACCACTGAAACGACTTCACCATTCTTATTATCTTTATTGACATTTCGTCGGATAAGGTTCGTAAACAGGATCACCGTTGCATAAATCCGTCTGGCACGTTTTGCATTGTTTCAAAACGCCGACTTTGTTGCTAAAATTTTTACAATAATCGCCGTCGGAACAAGCTCGTTTCAATAATTGCAGACTTCCATCTAAAAATAAAAATAGTATGTGGAGAAAAATGTGAGTGGGCTTACTTTGGAACCACTCGATGGATTGAACGCACGTCGGATTTTGGCCGGTGCACGGTTTTGATTTGCTACCGGGACGTACTATTGTACAGGGGGTGTTTGAGTGGTAGCCGATGTTACAGTGGTAACATTCTATAGTGCGTGTTGATTCTGAATAAAATAGAAATTAAAATTAAATAGAAAACGGGTAAGGTTTTTTGAAACTTACCCAAGTGTGGGGTTAAAGCAGTGAAGAAAATTACCAATAGTAAGAAATTCATAGCGAGTTGTGTGTTGTAGTTGTAACAAAAAAACGAAGTGTATGTGCTTTCAGTAGATATGGAAGGTTCAATTATGTAGATATTTTTTTTTTGCTCTAAGCGATATTTTTTTATGGATAAATATGTCGTTTCGTTACAGTCGGACTTTCATTATGTGGCTTTATTTAAGTCTGTAGTTATGTCATAATATTATTGTATTTTAATACAATTATGCATATGTATTAAAAATGTCTTATTACATCACCCTACTAACTAAGAATAAGTACTTAATCCCTTCAAGGGCAAAACTACTGACATTTCGTTGGAAGAGGCTCGTAAATCGTGTCACTGTTGCATAAATCCGTCGTGCACGTTTTGCATTGTTTTAAAACGCCGACTTTATTGCTGAAATGTTTACAGTAGTCACCGTCCGAACAATCTCTTTTCACTAGTTGTAGACTTCCATCTAAAAATATATACTTAAAAATATTACGTACCTGTAAATTAAAAATTTTCTTACTTTGGAACCATTCAATCGATTGAACGCACCTCGGGTTTCTTCCAGTGCACACTTTTGTCAAACCACGGGGTTGTCCGACTCTTGTACACGGGGTTATTTCGTGGTATCCTTGGTTACAAAAATAACACTCAAGGGCCGATCCTGCCAAATAAATGGTAAAATACCGAAAAATTAACACTGGGAAATGGTTACCCTTGTACGAGAAGACAACAGTAAGAAAAATTGTCCAAATTAAAAAATTCATGGTGTTTTTGGGGCGAATAACAGAGTGCGTCTGCCACGTACGAATATATAAAGGTTTAATGGGCGTGTTTTCTTGAAAATGCGGCTATTCCAGATAAGACAAATTTTTATCGTGACGTAGCCGCAATCGCTACCTAGTTTTGTAGTCGCTCAGTTATGTTTTCCAGAAGCGAAATTTTTTAAATTAATAAGTGGAGTGAGCTGTTTAATTTAATTTGTCGTCATTTTGCGGAACAGAGTCAATAAAATGAATGATTAAAACGGAATAAGGGTGGGTGGGCGGGGCCGCTTCTGACTTTGTTTTAAATCTTTAATTCCACCGTTTTTCAATGTAGAATTCGACTCCCATTTTACAGTATATAAAATAAGTCAGTGAAATTGAGAAAACAGATGGAGGGGGGGGGGGGGGAGGGCTGGGTTTAGTTTTTTCTACACCCCTTCTTCATTCTAGTAACTACTCTTGATATTGTTGAGTCTTATCTTAGCAAATACTAGCCCCGCCCACCACCCCCCCATTTGCCAAAATCAGACTTATCTCAGCAAGACGAAGCCCCACCCACCCGCCCCTTATTTTCTTAGAAAGTATATCATTTGCCAAAATCAGTCTTATCTTAACAAGTACTAATCTAATCAATAAATTAAATCGACTCATCCATTAATTTTTTTGAGCCACCTGTTTACGCAAATCTAAAAAATTGGTCGACGATTACTTCGCCCATAAAATACAGCTTGTCAAATCTAGCTCTTTCGAAAAATTAAAAGATTTGATTTTGCGAATTTTATTTTTTTTAAAATATGTACCTAATGTTTGAGTAAAGTTTGTTACAAAATTTTGTGTTGATGTCATCCACATTTTTGCAAGGACGCATATATCAGTTTGGATAGGTGCATTGTAATACTAAATAAAAGTATTCTCTTACTGTTATTCTTGAACAGTGATTTATGATCAATAAAATAACGAAACAATTTAATCACGTCTGCCGTATGTCAAAACAGAGATGCTACTGAAGACTGCACTGAAAATCATTTATGGTACTCGTAATTTAAAATAAATAGCGATAACGCTTATCAACCTGTAGACGTGACAGTAAAAACAGAAACTAAACTAAAAGATGTTTTCTACGAATTGCAATAACCGGATCACAATGCCGACGGTCCAGACTTTTTTATTGATCTGACGTCCGCTTATTGAATTAAACACTACATTTAGTTTGATTTTAGATGTTGTAATTCACATTTGATTACTTATAACTTGTCTAGATCTAGGGAAGGCTCAGCATCCTAAATATCGAAAAAATATGAAAGTACCAAATTGCCCGATGAACTGCATAAATGTACGTCCTTAGGTTATCCTCCACAAGAAAAACAACTCGAAAGTGTTTATGTTTACATCGGAAGGATGTCACGTAGAAATTAGTTTGATTTGAATGAATTTGTCTTCTCAAAACAGAGGATCAAAACTATTAAATAATAAGCTACAATCGACAAAATGTTCTGAATATCATTATTATAATTATTATTAAATAAAGAAAATAAAGAGGTTTGTATTTTTACATTTTCGGGAAAATGGGGTGACGCCTTCTTAATTTGATTAATAAAAAATATGAATGCAATGATGAATCACAAGTAAAAACTCATCATTTTGCACATTTGGGTAGAATTTATTTATTCGGCAAAATTTTGAGAGTTTTTTTGGGGATTTATTAACAATTTACCATGCTTACAATGACCTTAAAACGTCTGCAAGATTTCAAAGTATTCAGTTTTGCAATTCTTGATTGAAACAATAAAATAAATTGGCTGTCATTAATTTTTTTAAGATACCCTGTATAAGCAAATATAGACTCATCAAACTTTGCACATTCAACATAGGATTTGTTCAGCAAAATATTGAGGTAATTTTTCAATTTTTTAATTTCTTGTTTCTTCAATTTTCAAGTTCTTTATTTTTATTTTTGGTTTTCCCTACTTATTAGTTTTCATTTTCTTAATTTTATTCACAATTTTTCGTTTCCATTTCCTTTATTTTTTCAACATGTGTTTTGCAATTACACTGCGCTCCTCTATCTAACAACGAATGAAAAATTCATCACAATTGAAATCGGGGCGGGTGGGTGGGGCTTAATCTTTATTTATTAATTTTTTTAATATATAATGTTTTCTTTCAACAACAGGACAGTTAAACATGTTTTCAGTTTCTTGTTGGGAAAAGAAGACTTCGTACATTAACAAAAACGGGCAAAATATAAGCCCCGCCCACCCACCCGTTCTCAATTGTGACGAATTTTTTATTCATCGTGAGTTGAAGGGTGGAACTTAGTTGCAAAATCCTCATTTCTGTACAAGAGATTACCGTATGAAATATGTTTTTAAAAGGGTAGAATTTTCTAGGGTGGATGGGACATAAGTTTTTTTTCAACAATAGGATAGTTAAACATGTTTTCAGTTTCTTGTTTCCAGAGGAAGATTTCGTATTATAAGAAAAAATGGACAAAATATAAGCCCCGCCCACCCACCCCTTCCCAGTTATGATGAATTTTATATTTGCAAAATCCTCATTTCTCTACAAGAAATTACCATATGAAATATGTTTTTATAATATAAAAAAATTAAAACTCGCGTAATTTCAAATCAAAAAACTGCAAAATCTAGATATTGAAATGTCAGAAAATTGGAAAATCGGAAAACTGATAGGCATTTTACCAAAATTGAAATGTTGAAAAGGCGTGAAATCGACAATTTAAAAGAAGGCAAAATTTAAAAATTGAAAAAAACGAGATGTCGGGAAATCGAAAATACGAAAAATTAACAATATAGGGAAATCAAAATATCAAAAAATCGTAAAAACGAAAAACTGAAAAATTCAAAAAACGGGACATTGAGAAATCGAAAAATCCAAAACTTAAAAAATCGGAAAACTGAAGAATGAGCAACTGAAAAATCGGTAAATTGAAAATTCGCAAAACTAAAATGGCGAACAGTTGGGAAATCGAAAAGCGAAAATGTCGAAAAAACGGAAAATCGAAAAATCTAGAAATTAAAAAATTTTAAAAATCGATAAATCGAACTGAAAAATCAAATCTGAAAATTGAGCAACTAAAAAATGGATAAATCAAAAATTTTACAAATCCAAAAATTGAAGAAGCGAAAAATCGAAATCGGGAAATTTCAAAAATCAAAAATCGAGCATTAAAACATAAAAAAAATTGAAATATTGAAAAATTGAAAAACCAAAAAGTTTAAAAATCCAAAATCGAAACGTCGAAAAATCGACAATGAAACAATAAAAAAATCGAAACATTTTAAAATTAAAGAATCGAGAAATTAAAATATCGAAAAATTGTAAAGCCAGAAAATGAAAAATTTCCAAAATTAAAATGTTGAAAAGGTGAGAAATCGACAATTTCAAAGAAGAGAAATTTTAAAAATCGAAAAAGCGAGATGTTAGGATATCGAAATATTGAAAAATTTAAAAATTGGGAAATCGAAAGATCAAAAATTCGTAAAAACGAAAAATTGAAAAACCGAAAAATCAAGAAAACGAGAAATTAACAAATCAAAAAATACTAAAAAAAAAATCGAAAATTAATGAAACGAAAAAGTCGGTATATAAAAAAATCCTAAAACTGAAATGGCGAAAAGCTGGAAAATCGAAAAATTGAAAAATCGAAATATGTATCTACAATTGAAAAATCGAAAAGTGGAAAAATTGAAAAATCAAATAGGAAAATTGAGCAATCGAAAAATCTCGATAAACCAAAAATTTTACAAATCGAATAATTGAAAAATTGAAATCGGGAAAGTCCAAAAATCGAAAATCGAGCACTGAAACATAAAAAAATTGAAATATCGAAAAATTAAAAAACCAAAAAATTTTAAAATCCAAAATCGAAACGTCGAAAAATTGTAAAGCCAGAAAATGAAAAATTTCCAAAATTAAAATGTTGAAAAGGTGAGAAATCGACAATTTCAAAGAAGAGAAATTTTAAAAATCGAAAAAGCGAGATGTTAGGATATCGAAATTTTGAAAAATTTAAAAATTGGGAAATCGTAAGATCAAAAATTCGTAAAAACGAAAAATTGAAAAACCGAAAAATCAAGAAAACTAGAAATTAACAAATCGAAAAATACTAAATTAAAAAAATCGAAAAATTAATGAAACGAGAAAGTCGGTATATAAAAAAATCCTAAAACTGAAATGGCGAAAAGCTGGAAAAATAAAAAAATTGAAAATCGAAATATGTATCTACAATTGAAAAATCGAAAAGCGGAAAAATTGAAAAATCAAATAGGAAAATTGAGCAATCGAAAAATCTCGATAAATCAAAAATTTTACAAATCGAAAAGTTGAAAAAGCGAAAAATCGAAATCGGGAAAGTTCAAAAATCGAAAATCGAGCATTGAAACATAAAAAAATTTGAAATATTGAAAAATTGAAAAACCAAAAAGTTTAAAAATCCAAAATCTAAACGTTGAGAAATTGTAAAGCCAGAAAATGAAAAATTTCCAAAATTAAAATGTTGAAAAGATGAGAAATCGACAATTTCAAAGAAGAGAAATTTTAAAAGACGAAAAAGCGAGATGTTAGGATATCGAAATTTTGAAAAATTTAATAATTGAAAAAATTCGCAAAAATGAAAAATTGAAAAACCGAAAAATCAAGAAAACGAGAAATTAACAAATCAAAAAATACTAAATTAAAAAAATTGACAATTAATGAAACGAAAAAGTCGGTATATAAAAAAATCCTAAAACTGAAATGGCGAAAAACTGGAAAATCGAAAAATTGAAAAATCGAAATATGTATCTACAATTGAAAAATTGAAAAATCAAATAGGAAAATTGAGCAATCGAAAAATCTCGATAAACCAAAAATTTTACAAATCGAAAAATTGAAAAAGCGAAAAATCGAAATCGGGAAAGTTCAAAAATCGTAAATCGAGCATTGAAATATAAAAAAATTTGAAATATTGAAAAACTGAAAAACCAAAAAGTTTAAAAATCCAAAATCTAAACGTCGAGAAATTGTAAAGCCAGAAAATGAAAAATTTCCAAAATTAAAATGTTGAAAAGATGAGAAATCGACAATTTCAAAGAGAAATTTTAAAAATAGAAAAAGCGAGATGTTAGGACATCGAAATATTGAAAAATTTAAAAATTGGGAAATCGTAAGATCAAAAATTCGTAAAAACGAAAAATTGAAAAACCGAAAAATCAAGAAAACGAGAAATTAACAAATCAAAAAATACTAAATTAAAAAAATCGAAAAATTAATGAAACGAAAAAGTCGGTATATAAAAAAATCCTAAAATTGAAATGGCGAAAAGCTGGAAAATCAAAAAATTGAAAAATCGAAATATGTATCTACAATTGAAAAATCGAAAAGCGGAAAAATTGAAAAATCAAATAGGAAAATTGAGCAATCGAAAAATCTCGATAAACCAAAAATTTTACAAATCGAAAAATTGAAAAAGCGATAAATCGAAATCGGGAAAGTTCAAAAATCGAAAATGGAGCACTGAAACAAAAAAATTGAAATATTGAAAAATTGAAAATCCAAAATCGAAACGTCGAGAAGTTGTAAAGCCAGAAAATGAAAAATGTCCCAAATTAAAATGTTGAAAAGGTGAGAAATCGACAATTTCAAAGAGAAATTTTAAAAATTGAAAAAGTGATATGTTGGGATATCAAAATTTTGAAAAATTGAAAAAAACTGGGAAATCGAAAGATCAAAAATTCGTAAAAACGAAAAATTGAAAAACCGAAAAATCAAAAAAAAACGAGAAATTAAGAAATCGAAAAATACCAAATTTAAAAATCGAAAAATTAATGAAACGAAAAACTGAAAAATCGGTAAATTAAAAAATCCTAAAACTAAAATGGCGAAAAGCTGGAAAATCAAATACTGAAAAATTAAAAAAATTCCAAAATCGAAAATCAATTAAAAAATCGAGAATCAAAAGGTAAATAATCTCAAGTTATACTTAAATTTCAAAGTATTCGGTCCGGTAGTTTCGGAGATTGGCGTTTGTTGTAACTAATTCACCCACTACTTACCGAAAAAAGCGATATACAACACAAGAAAAATCGTGAAAATTACAACATTCATGGTGTATTGTACAACAGGCAAAGTGTGTCTGTACAGTAAAAGCATAATCAAGAACGCAATTATCTTAGCTAAGCGCTTTTTTTTAATTAAAAGGTATTATCTTTGCCTAATGGAAAGTACATTAACGTTGACAATTACAAAGCTTCACATTGAAATATAAATTAAAAAAAATAGTCCAACGCCTGACACAACAAGTACAGTAATTTTTCGTTCCACTTTTCTCCTTCAATAATAATAAATCACACAACCGACACACGATTTATTACGTTATTTACTCATATCTCTGCGATTTAGAAATATGCATAATTACGCACACGCCACAAATATTTCAGACGAATTTTCATAATACTTTTACATTGAAAACCTTGAAAATTATTGCGCTATCTAGTTAATGCTATATTTTCGACGTTCCATCGATAAAAAATGCGTCACCTTCACTTGTTTTGTTAATAATCAAAAACAATTCGTAGCATAAACGGAGACTTTATCCGTGCTTGTAACAACGTCATTACAAAAATTAATAACAGCAGCTGACCTTTACCGGGCCCTTGAACGACTCCCCAGTAAAAATTAAGTTAATCTCACGATGTCTTTTTAATCTGTGTTAAAAGTACAATTTAAAACTGTATTATCAGTAGCACCTAATGGCAGCGATAAAACGCGACGTCCCACATAACAAACAACAAAAGTCCACCTTGACGAATGCCACATTTATTATTTTTATTATCTAGACGATAAACGTAGTCGAGACATGTTAAAAGTAGCAGTTCAACAATTTGACAGGTTGATATATATCATCCATATTACACAAATCCTGCGTACAGTTCCTACAATATTTCAAAATTCCTTCAGGACTTTGGTAATTTTCGCAAAAACCCCCAGTCGTGTTTTCAGGAGGGGTCCAGCAGTCCCTCATAGCTAAACGAAGAGCACCATCTAAAACAATCTTACTAAAAAAAACAAAAGTCATAAAACGATAATTTTACTATTAAACCACTGAATGGACTCGAAACATTGCGAATTCGGACCGTCGCACTCATTAACAAACCCTGGTGCCAACAGGTTACTGCAAACTTCGGAAGTTACATAGCCGGTTTGGCAACGGTAACATACAATGGTGTTACCTGTAATAAAATCGTATTGGTTAAGTCGTTAATAAATTCGAGAAAAAGCAAAAGTCTACGTTTGCTCCTTGCCGCATTTATACGACTGTGCAATTTCACTCCGAGCAAACATCGCAAATCGCCTCAATTTATTTAAACGTCACAAAATTACGTTTTGTTTAACAACGATATAAAACGTCGAAAATATTGCGGCGTTAGTGCGTTCATTTTGGGCAATTTGTTTGCGAAAAGCCGAGAATCAACAGACGGGAACTCGTTTCTTTCTTTATTTTGCGCCCTTCGGGGGGAATTATCGTAAAGCTAGTCGATAAAGGTGGTGATTTCGGACAGATTTTTGCTTTCAAGAAATTTGAATATTGGCGACTTACCGAGGTACGGGAGAACGGAGAAAAACGAGCACAACGCAGCCAACTTCATGACTAATGGAAGTTTTAAGTTCGCCAGCGATATTTGTGCATTATCTGTGATAGATAATGCGTGAATTATGGGGGTGCGGGGTCGTAACTCGCTTTGAAATATTGATGCTCGAAATAACGATAATAAAGTACGGAAAAAGCGTTCCGTGTGTCTGTCTGTCTGCCCATCCATCATTCACGTTCATACAGAAATTAGTTTAAAACCTCAGCATTTAAACTCGAAGTCCCCATTTTCCGTAGCGTCGTTCCGAATCACAATTTTCTCGTTAATCCCGCAGCACGAGCTCTTCTAATTAGTTATGAGATCGAAGCCTTACTTTACGAGACGAACTTAACTTAACACAGGATGTTACGACATCTTAGCGCTCTTTCATAACCCCTGATATTACCCGATCTGGCGTTTAATTGGAGAAACGGCACTTTTATTGGGCGATTAAGCGGCAATTGTCAAACGCGGTCGAAATTTATCGAGGATTATGTACAATAAAGTCGAAAATGACCGTATTCATCATTGCATGCAACGTAATTGGCGCAGTCGGGAGGATGTCGATCTGGTGTAAACAAATGTGGGGTATGCAAAACACGTCCTGGAGGAATGGGGGTGGGTTTGGGTCGTGACGAGAGGGTGCAAGGAACCCTTCTTGACAGAGTCATATAAGTTGGATGCGAAACCACAAACAAGGGAAATCTAAGAGGACTACCCGAGCTTTGATGAAAACTGATGTCGGGGCATGATGAACGGGGAAAAGTGAGAAAAATTGGGAGGGGGCAATAAATTAAGGTGACACTGCGTCTGGATGTCTTCTCTATTTCGTCTTGCTTTATTTTAATAAAGTCGTCAAAGTCAAGTCGTGTTTTCTTGTCAGGTTGTCTGTGTTGACGAATTTATTAGACAGATCTTTTGTGTGACGGTATTTCATCTTTTCGCTATGAAACTCAGTGCTCCATCTGTTCGGTGAACGGTGTATAATAGGCGTGCGTCGTCCCCGTCCGGAATTAATTTCCCTAAATGCGTACTCTCAACCCCGAATTAGGAATCTACCCCCGATCCCTCGGGAAACATTTAAAAAAGTATCAAACATTTAAATTAAATTTAATTCATCTGTAGGCAGAATTGTCTTGGGAGATACAATCACAGCATGCAATATTTTTCCGACAGAGAAACTCGCTGAATTATATTTTCATTCGAAATGGAAACTAGAACCTTGCAAGAAATCCACCCCATCATAATCCACCCACAACATTTCCACTTTCATTAAAAAACCCATTCATTCTCTAATAAACGCTCCTATTCCTCTAACATTTGTCGCTTTAGCACTTCCCCCTGAAACGTCGGAAATTTTATATCGCTCCATTGAAAAGGAAAACCTGAAAGATTTCCCAGAAATATTGCTTTCAATTATTGTATCGAGCAAATGTTTACCCTTAGAAACAAACACTTTGAGCAATTCTACGAGCAACTTTAATTAAATTGGCTAAAGAACCGTGAATTAATAAAAAGAAACTAGTAAACAACCCTTCAGTAGTTCCATTCAATATAACGCACCCTTATTTGTAAAAGCCCGATTCATCCCTCCATAAAAAATTCAGGAGATCCATGCAGAAAGCAATATCGTCGCGGAAGGTAAATTTAACCCCCTTTCATCCCCCAATCCCACAAATTTTATTTATCTCCACGAAAGCGAGTAGTTAAACGGAATTTATCGGGACTATTTATACTCGAGGGGTGCAATATACAGTGCGACAACACACCTCCGTCCTTGAACTTGAAATAAATCAAAGCCAACCACTGTTTCCAAGTGGCTGCTTTCAGGTATTCAGGCGAAAGCGAGAGTTTTCCTCCCCGCTAGGGAAAATATTGTACACGTTGTATTAATACTTTATTGACACTCCAGAGGTTCGTCGGTATGTCTGTCTGCACGTCCGTTGCAGTTTCTCTATTTGTCAAAGCCGTTTTGATTTCAGATACCTGTCAAGCAACAAGCTGGTCCACCTCAAAGACGGGATTTTCCTCAATCTGACGCTCCTCCGGATCCTGTAAGTATCGCATGTCTAAAGGGTTTAAAATCTCGTCTCCGACAAAGTTACTCTATTTCTGGCTTTCCTGTCGTGTTGGCGTTTATCTTTATTTAGAATTCCGGCAATCAAAACCGAAAGTCGGATTCAAAGGGGATGAGTTTTATCAAATTTTCTACGAGAGAGCAAACAGGGCAAAAATGAGATAACGATGTGGCGGCTGAGCCGGGAAAGTCAGATTTAGACCGTTTTAGGGTTTCTCACTTCGCTTTATTAATTAAATGAAAATTCGCTTTGTTTGTTTTCTTGCGAACTCAATTTACCTTGATTCGGAACTTGAAAAAATCACATTGTTTTTTTCGTGAAAGTACAAATATTATCCTTATCCTTATGATCTGACTTGCAAATCCTGATTTGATATCTTTGGCAACGGTTTTCCATTAAGAATGTGATCTGAACAAGCAAAAATCTTTCCAGGACGTTGAATGAGAACCTTATTGAGACGATCGAAGTGGCCGTTTTCACCGACGTTCCACGGTTAATTTCATTGTAAGTAAAAAGGGCGGCGGGAAAAGGTGTTAAGAAATCGGTTTCAGGACGTTCGAGCATAACCAATTTGATGAGCTAGACAGTGGGGTGCTGAAGCCGCTGCAGAAGCTGGAGCATATGTGAGTTTTTATTGATAATTTGATTTACTTTGGAGATTAAATTTTGTTGGTCGTCGTTGGGGACAGAAAATAGGTTTGAGGGTAATGGTTTGAACTAAAAATTGACATTTACTGACCAGTTTTCACTAATTGGAAGACGAAAAAGAACAGAATTACAGAAAAAAATACTAAATAACATTAGATCAATTTGTTCTGCTTTGATTTTTTCTGTTCTGTATGTGTGGTTTATTAATCCGCCTTTTTTTATTTAATTTTTACAAAAAAAAACAGAACTCTAACAAAAATTTAAAGTTATTCACAATATTTAAAAAGACTAAGGTTCTTTCGAATACAAAACACTTGGCGTTAAGTTTCTTTTCAAATTCGTTCAAAAACCGGATGATAGGAGCCCTCGAGAATTTTTCTAATTTTCTCCAAAAAAAAAACACTAAAAACTCTTTCACTTTATTTAAAAAAGATTGCTTCAAACTCTTAAAAAAAACACCTAGAGCCAAGATCTTTTCAAATTCGTTCAAAAACTGAACACTTGAAACCCTCGACATTATTTCACAATTTTGATAAGATAAAACAATGAAGTTTCTGTCCCATTATTAACAAAAATCTAGGGAGAACCCAATGATTCTTTCGAACTCTTTCGAAAACAAAACATTTAGCGTTAAGTTCTTTTCAAACTTGTTCAAAAACCGAATTTATTTAGAAAAAGTCTCTAGAAGATCATTCTTTTTTCACTCTTTCGAAAAAAAAAACCACTTAGAGACGAGATCTTTTCAAATTCGTTCAAAAACCGAAGCTTAGGAGTCCTCGAAATCTTTTCAAATTCTTTCTAAAATAAAACGCTGAAGATTCTTTCACATTATTTAAAAAAAACTCTAAGGAATCGTAAGATTCCTTCAAACTCTTTCGAAAAAAAACAACCAAAATCTTCTCAAATTCATTCAAAAATCGAAGCTTAAGAGCTCTGCAGATCTTCTCAAAAGCTTTTTAAAATAGAACAATAAAGATTCTTTGACATTACGAATCCTAAGATTCTTTTAAACTCTGTCGACAACAAAATATTTAGAGCCAAGATTTTTTCAAATTTTTTCTGCGATAAAACTGAAGATTCTTTCACATTAAAGAGACTCTAGGTGATCCAAAGATTCCTTTCAATTCTTTCGAAAAAAAGCCTAGAGCCGAACTCTTGTGAAACTAATTTATAAACCGAAGCTTAAAAAAATCAATGTAAGTTATTTCGCATTATTTAAAAGAAACTCTAGGACCCCAATATTCCTTCAAACTTCACACAAACAAAGTATTTGGTGCCAAGATCATTTCAAATTTTTCCACTATAAAACAGTGAAGATTCTTTCACATTAAAAAGACTCTAGGATTCCTTTCAACTGTTTCGAAAAAAAATATGTAGAGCCGAAATCTTTTCAACTTATTTAAAAACCGAACACTTGGAGCCCTCGAGATCTTTTCAAATTCTTTCTAAAATAAAACTTTCACATTATTAAAAAAAATATATATCTAGAAAACCCTAACATTCTTTCAGACTCTTTGGAAAACAAAACACTTGGCGCTAAGATCTTTTCAAATTCGTACGGCAACCGAACATTAGGAGCCCTCTAGATCTTTTCAAATTCTTTCTAAAATAAAACACTGAAGATTCTTTCACATTATTTAACAAAAGACTCTAAGGAATCATAAGATTCCTTCAAACTCTTTCGAAAAAAAAAACAACCAAAATCTTCTCAAATTCATTCAAAAATCGAAGCTTAGGAGCTCTCGAAATCTTTTCAAATTCTTTTTAAAATAGAACAATAAAAATTCTTTCACATTACGACTCCTAAAATTCTTTTAAACTCTGTCGAAAACAAAATATTTATAGAGCCAAGATTTTCTCACTTTTTTTCTGCGATAAAACAGATTCTTTCACATTAAAAAGACTCTAGGAGATCCAAAGATTCCTTTCAACTCTTTCGAGAAAAAAAAACCTAGAGCCAAACTCTTAAAAACGGAAGCTTAAAAAAATCAATGTAAGTTATTTCGCATTATTTAAAAGAAACTCTAGGATCCCAATATTCCTTCAAACTTCACACAAACAAAGTATTTGGTGCCAAGATCATTTCAAATTTTTCCACTATAAAACAGTGAAGATTCTTTCACATTAAAAAGACTCTAGGATTCCTTTCAACTGTTTCGAAAAAAAATATGTAGAGCCGAAATCTTTTCAACTTATTTAAAAACCGAACACTTGGAGCCCTCGAGATCTTTTCAAATTCTTTCTAAAATAAAACTTTCACATTATTAAAAAAATATATATCTAGAAAACCCTAACATTCTTTCAGACTCTTTGGAAAACAAAACACTTGGCGCTAAGATCTTTTCAAATTCGTACGGCAACCGAACATTAGGAGCCCTCTAGATCTTTTCAAATTCTTTCTAAAATAAAACACTGAAGATTCTTTCACATTATTTAACAAAAGACTCTAAGGAATCATAAAATTCCTTCAAACTCTTTCAAAAAAAACCAACCAAAATCTTCTCAAATTCGTTCAAAAACCGAAGCTTAGGAGCTCTCGAGATCTTTTCAAATTCTTTTTAAAATAGAACAATAAAGATTCTTTCACATTACGAATCCTAAGATTCTTTTCCACTCTTTCGAAACAAAAGTGTCAAATTCTTGTCAAATTTATTAAAAAACCGAAGCTTAGGAACCCTCGGGATCTTTTTAAATTCTTTTTAAAATTAAAACAATGAAAAATATTTCACTTTATTAAAAGGGACTCTAGAATCCTAATATTCCTTCAAACTTTTTCGAAAAAAAAAACACCTAGAACCAAGGTCTTTTCAAAATCGTTAAAAAAAAGAACACTGGAACCGCTCGAGATTTTTTCAATTTTTTTCTAAAATGAAACTTTTACATTATTTAAAAAAAGAATCTAGGGAACTCTAAAGTTCTTGCAAACTCTTTCGAGAACATAATATTTGGAGTCAACATCTTTTCAAATTTTTTCTACAATCAAATACTGAAGGTTCTTTCACATTATAAAGACTCTCGGAGATCCTAAGATTTTTTTCAACACTTTCGAAAACACCTAGAGTCAAATTCTTGTCAAATTCAGTAAAAAACCGAATCTTAGGAACCCTCGGGATCTTTTTAAATTCTTTTTAAAATGAAAACAATGAAATATATTTCACATTATTACAAGGGACTCTAGAATCCTAATATTCCGCCAAACTTTTTCGAAAAAAAAAAACGCCTAGAACCAAGATCTTTTCAAAATCGTTCAAAAAACGAACACTTGAACGGCTCGAGATTTTTTCAAATTGTTTCTGAAATGAAATTTTTACATTATTTAAAAAAGAATCTAGGGAACTCTAAGATTCTTGCAAACTCTTTCGAAAACAAAATATTTGGAGCCAACATCTTTTCAAATTTTTTCTACAATCAAATACTGAAGGTTCTTTCACATTATAAAGACTCTCGGAGATTCTAAAATTCTTTTCAACTGTTTCGAAAACACCTAGGGTCAAATTCTTGTCAAATTGAGTAAAAAAAACGAAGCTTAGGAACCCTCGGGATCTTTTTAACTTTTTAAAATTTAAACAATGAAAAATATTTCACATTATTAAAAGGAACTCTCGAATCCTAATATTCCTTCAAACTTTTTCGAAAAAAAACACCTAGAACCAAGGTTTTTTCAAAATCGTTAAAAAAACGGACACTAGAACCGCTCGAGATTTTTTCAAATTTTTTCTAAAATGAAATTTTTACATTATTTAAAAAAAGAATCTAGGGAACTCTAAGATTCTTGCAAACTCTTTCGAAAAGAAAATATTTGGAGCCAACATCTTTTCAAATTTTTTCTACAATCAAATACTGAAGATTCTGGCACATTATAAAGACTCTCGGAGATCCTAAGATTCTTTTCAACTGTTTCGAAAACACCTAGAGTCAAATTCTTGTCAAATTCATTAAAAAACCGAAGCTTAGGAACCCTCGGGATCTTTTTAAAATCTTTTTAAAATTAAAACAATGAAAAATATTTCACATTATTACAAGGGACTCTAGAATCCTAATATTCCGCCAAACTTTTTCGAAAAAAAAACACCTAGAACCAAGTTCTTTTCAAAATCGTTCAAAAAACGAACACTTGAACCGCTCGAGATTTTTTCAAATTCTTTCTAAAATGAAATTTTTACATTATTTAAAAAAAGAATCTAGGGAACTCTAAGATTCTTGCAAACTCTTTCGAAAAGAAAATATTTGGAGCCAACATCTTTTCAAATTTTTTCTACAATCAAATACTGAAGATTCTTTCACATTATAAAGACTCTCGGAGATCCTAAGATTCTTTTCAACTGTTTCGAAAACACCTAGAGTCAAATTCTTGTCAAATTCAGTAAAAAACCGAATCTTAGGAACCCTCGGGATCTTTTTAAATTCTTTTTAAAATTAAAACAATGAAATATATTTCACATTATTACAAGGGACTCTAGAATCCTAATATTCCTTCAAACTTTTTCGAAAAAAAAAACACCTAGAACCAAGGTTTTTTCAAAATCGTTAAAAAAACGAACACTAGAACCGCTCGAGATTTTTTCAAATTCTTTCTAAAATGAAATTTTTACATTATTTAAAAAAAGAATCTAGGGAACTCTAAGATTCTTGCAAACTCTTTCGAATACAAAATATTTGGAGCCAACATCTTTTCAAATTTTTTCTACAATCAAATACTGAAGATTCCTTCACATTATAAAGACTCTCGGAGATGCTAAGATTCTTTTCAACTCTTTCGAAAACACCTAGAGTCAAATTCTTGTCAAATTCAGTAAAAAACCGAATCTTAGGAACCCTCGGGATCTTTTTAAATTCTTTTTAAAATTAAAACAATGAAATATATTTCACATTATTACAAGGGACTCTAGAATCCTAATATTCCTTCAAACTTTTTCGAAAAAAAAAACACCTAGAACCAAGATCTTTTCAAAATCGTTAAAAAAACGAACACTAGAACCGCTCGAGATTTTTTCAAATTTTTTCTAAAATGAAACTTTTACATTATTTAAAAAAAGAATCTAGGGAACTCAAAAATTCTTGCAAACTCTTTCGAGAACAAAATATTTGGAGTCAACATCTTTTCAAATTTTTTCTACAATCAAATACTGAAGATTCCTTCACATTATAAAGACTCTCGCAGATCCTAAGATTCTTTTCAACTCTTTCGAAAACACCTAGAGTCAAATTCTTGTCAAATTCAGTAAAAAACCGAATCTTAGGAACCCTCAGGATCTTTTTAAATTCTTTTTAAAATTAAAACAATGAAATATATTTCACATTATTACAAGGGACTCTAGAATCCTAATATTTCGCCAAACTTTTTCGAAAAAAAAAAACACCTAGAACCAAGATCTTTTCAAAATCGTTAAAAAAACGAACACTAGAACCGCTCGAGATTTTTTCAAATTGTTTCTAAAATGAAACTTTTACATTATTTAAAAAAAGAATCTAGGGAACTCTAAAATTCTTGCAAACTCTTTCGAGAACAAAATATTTGGAGTCAACATCTTTTCAAATTTTTTCTACATTCAAATACTGAAGATTCTGGCACATTATACAGACTCTCGGAGATCCTAAGATTTTTTCAACTCTTTCGAAAACACCTAGAGTCAAATTCTTGTCAAATTCAGTAAAAACCGAAGCTTAGGAACCCTCGGGATCTTTTCAAATTCTTTTTAAAATTAAAACAATGAAACATATTTCACATTATTAAAAGGGACTCTAGATTATAATATTCCTTCAAATTTTTTCGAAAAAAAAAAAAAACACCTAGAACCAAGATATTTTCAAAATCGTTAAAAAAACGAACAGTTGAACCGCTCGAGATTTTTTCAAATTCTTTCTAAAATGAAATTTTTACATTATTTAAAAAAAGAATCTAGGAAACTCTAAGATTCTTGCAAACTCTTTCGAAAAGAAAATATTTGGAGCCAACGTCTTTTCAAATTTTTTCTACAATCAAATACTGAAGATTCTGGCACATTATAAAGACTCTCGGAGATCCTAAGATTTTTCAACTCTTTCGAAAACACCTAGAGTCAAATTCTTGTCAAATTCAGTAAAAACCGAAGCTTAGGAACCCTCGGGATCTTTTTAAATTCTTTTTAAAATTAAAACAATGAAAAATATTTCACATCATTAAAAGGGACTCTAGAATTATAATATTCCTTCAAACTTTTTTGAAAAAAAAAACACCTAGAACAAAGGTCTTTTCAAAATCGTTAAAAAAACGAACACTTGAACCGCTCGAGATTTTTTCCAATTGTTTCTAAAATGAAATTTTTACATTATTTAAAAAAGAATCTAGGGAACTCTAAGATTCTTGCAAACTCTTTCGAAAACAAAATATTTGGAGCCAAAACATATTTCACATTATTAAAAGGGACTCTAGATTCTAATATTCCTTCAAATTTTTTCGAAAAAAAAAACACCTAGAACCAAGATATTTTCAAAATCGTTAAAAAAACGAACACTTGAACCGCTCGAGATTTTTTCAAATTCTTTCTAAAATGAAATTTTTACATTATTTAAAAAAAGAATCTAGGGAACTCTAAGATTCTTGCAAACTCTTTCAAAAAGAAAATATTTGGAGTCAACATCTTTTCAAATTTTTTCTACAATCAAATACTGAAGATTCTGGCACATTATAAAGACTCTCGGAGATCCTAAGATTTTTTCAACTCTTTCGAAAACACCTAGAGTCAAATTCTTGTCAAATTCAGTAAAAACCGAAGCTTAGGAACCCTCGGGATCTTTTTAAATTCTTTTTAAAATTAAAACAATGGAAAATATTTCACATCATTAAAAGGGGCTCTAGAATCCTAATATTCCTTCAAACCTCTTCGAAAAAAAAAACACCTAAAACCAAGATCTTTTCAAAATCGTTAAAAAAACGAACACTAAAACCGCTCGAGATTTTTTCAAATTCTTTCTAAAATGAAATTTTTACATTATTTAAAAAAGAATCTAGGGAACTCTAAGATTCTTGCAAACTCTTTCGAAAACTAAATATTTGGTGCCAACATCTTTTCAAATTTTTTCTACAATCAAATACTGAAGATTCTTTCACATTATAAAGACTCTCGGAGATCCTAAGATTCTTTTCAACTCTCTCGAAAACACCGAGAGTCAAATTCTTGTCAAATTCATTAAAAAACCGAAGCTTAGGAACCCTCGAGATCTTTTTAAATTCTTTTTAAAATTAAAACAATGAAACATATTTCACATTATTAAAAGGGACTCTAGATTCTAATATTCCTTCAAATTTTTTCGAAAAAAAAAACACCTAGAACCAAGATATTTTCAAAATCGTTAAAAAAACGAACACTTGAACCGCTCGAGATTTTTTCAAATTCTTTCTAAAATGAAATTTTTACATTATTTAAAAAAAGAATCTAGGGAACTCTAAGATTCTTGCAAACTCTTTCAAAAACAAAATATTTGGAGCCAACATCTTTTCAAATTTTTTCTACAATCAAATACTGAAGATTCCTTCACATTATAAAGACTCTCGGAGATCCTAAGATTCTTTTCAACTCTTTCGAAAACACCTAGAGTCAAATTCTTGTCAAATTCAGTAAAAAACCGAAGCACCGAAGCTTAGGAACCCTCGGGATCTTTTTAAATTCTTTTTAAAATTAAAACAATGGAAAATATTTCACATTATTAAAAGGGGCTCTAGAATCCTAATATTCCTTCAAACCTCTTCGAAAAAAAAAACACCTAAAACCAAGATCTTTTCAAAATCGTTAAAAAAACGAACACTAAAACCGCTCGAGATTTTTTCAAATTCTTTCTAAAATGAAATTTTTACATTATTTAAAAAAGAATCTAGGGAACTCTAAGATTCTTGCAAACTCTTTCGAAAACTAAATATTTGGTGCCAACATCTTTTCAAATTTTTTCTACAATCAAATACTGAAGATTCTTTCACATTATAAAGACTCTCGGAGATCCTAAGATTCTTTTCAACTGTTTCGAAAACACCTAGAGTCAAATTCTTGTCAAATTCATTAAAAAACCGAAGCTTAGGAACCGTCGCGATCTTTTTAAATTCTTTTTAAAATTAAAACAATGAAAAATAAAAAAGGGGCTCTAGATTCTAATATTCCTTCAAACTTATTCGAAAAAAAAACAACTAGAAACAAGATCTTTTCAAAGTCGTTAAAAAAACGAATACTTGAACCGCTCGAGATTTTTTCAAATTCTTTCTAAAATGAAATTTTTACATTATTTAAAAAAAGAATCTAGGGAACTCTAAGATCCTTTCGAAAAGAAACCCGTTCAAAAACCGAATGATCGAGATTTTTTCAAATTTTTTCCAAAATAAAACACTGAAAATTCTTTCACATTTTCAAGAACAAAATACTAGAAACCCTGTTTTCAAATTCTTTCAAATACAAAACAAAGGTTCCGACATTGATTCAAATGTTTAAAAAAAATTGGTTGAAAGTTATTTAGACAGAACTTCCCTCACTCTTGAAGCATAGGGATAACTCCTATAAGATAAGTTAAAATAATAAGTTGTCGAAAGATGTGAATTTTTTACGGTTTCATATAAAACTATTGCTTATTTAGAAAGTTTTTCAAATTTTAAGGTAACGTCATTAAGTTTTTGAAGGAGGTGAAGAAAAAATTGATTAGCTGTTTCCCATGTTACAATAACCTTAAAGTTCTTGTCAGATTTCGTAGCAGTTCATCAAACGGATCCCTTTATAATGTTTCCCTAACTAACCCTTTCGAAGTAAACATGTTTCATATAAAACAGGTTAGAACCACCATCCAGCCTAAAAACATAGGATTAAATTTAACTTTGTAATCACCTATCCCACCACCAGTATCCCCAATAGACGTCAAAGAAAATTGCAACATTATTACATGTTAATTATTATTGGTCTATTAAATGTCAATCTTATCAACCGAGTTTAACACGCCTACTAGTTTACCCGATACCCATTAACTAAATGAAGCTAATAAACCACAACGACCCATAGACAGGTAATCACAAAATTATGATAACCATCAAATGGCGATTTTATGCACAAAAAACAATTTCACCATTAAGTACGCATTCAGCGCTGTCTATAAAAATATTTTTTCCAATGCTTTCCTTAAACCACACTTTGTGTTTGTATAGTTTGTATATTTGGTTTCTAAAGCGACACTTCAATGAAAAGAAAAATTAAAGACCTTCATTAATCATATTATCAATACACTCTATACTCTATATAATCGGAAAAAGTCGTCCAGTGAGCCCTGAAATTTATTTTTAAAATAATGATGTTGCAATTGTTAGTTATTTGACCGTAAATGCCAAACGCGTTGGTGTTGCCAAGATAATTTTGTCAACATTAAATTTCAAAGGTTGCTAGACGCCTTTTTTTCTCGAGCGACAAAGTTCTATTTTCCGTTCACGGTGCACAAACATCTATTTTGAACACGTTTTGTAGAAGTGCACCCTCTTTGTTGATCAATTGGTCAATTAATTAAGTCGACGACAACACGAAAAACCTTATAACTGTCGACTGGTCCAACTTATTATTATTCAATAAAATGAGAAACCCTTGAAAATGTCTATCATCGACGAGACACACAATGGCCCTCGACACACAATTTTGTGGACGTTGATTAATCGACGTCGGATATAAATATTCAATGGTCGAGAATGTCGAGTTATTTCTTTTCAGAATCAACCCCCATTAACTAGACACAAACACGAAACCCTTGTAATTAAGCACCACTTAAAAATAGACAGACCCTCGAAGTAATCCACTTCGCCCCCTAATTAACCCCCGCATTCTAGATACTTCGATCGCTTCGAGCTCTGCATCAACGCCCTGCACGTTAAGGATTGCTACCCGAAAGGAGACGGAATATCCAGTCAGGAACACCTGTTGGACAATCCCGTCCTCAGAGCCAGGTGAGACCCTTCCCGTTATCGTAACAACCCTAAATCAATTAGATGACGCCACGATTTCGCACGGGTTTAACGAGGCGCGAAAATCGAACCCGAAATCGTCCTTATTTTTTCTGTTGTTATCAATGCAAGAAAATATTAAAAAGTTAAATGTTACATGAAAATGTAACCGCTGTAATAGACATGAGATGTCAATAGGGTAAGTAATGCGTTACGAATACGAAAAGTTGTGTTAGTAGTGCGTAAATGTCGAAATCAGTCAATTCTATACTCCATTTATCGAACAGATGGAGTTGTAAAAAGGCGTGATTTTCACGTAATTTTGAAACCCTAAGAGTATTGGTTGAGGGTTATCCTCAGTTGAACATTTTTACATTCAAAGTGAGTTTGTAACAGTTTTTTGAAAATTTTTTGGAATAAAAAAAATTGTACTTTATAAAGAATTGCCTAACTTCCGTTCGAACATTTTTTCTTTTAAGAATTTATGCAAATTTTCTATTTTTCAGCTATTTTAAGAGGTATAGTAGAAATGGTTTCAAAGTGACCATTTACGAAAACTAGTTGATTTTTTTTACCCTTGAACAGAACTCATTTGAACACATCAGATTCGAAATCCAAAAGAAAATCTGTATAAAGTAATTCTTTTTGCCATTTAAATAAAGTCCCAACATTTTTTTGGAAAATTTTCTGAAAATATCTTGATTTTTCCGGCTGCTTAAAGCCCTATAGCAAAAATAGAATCAGTTTGATTTTTTTTTTAATTTTTGAAAATTATTTTCTCATTTTTTTCGGTCACCTTAAGAGTCATAGTGAAATTTCAGGTTGATCATTTACGAAAAATTTTCTATTAATTAGTCTTTTTCCCACTTGTATATAACCTGTTTAAACACTTCAGATTCGTAATCTACAAAAAATTATATCTAGAGATTGTCCCTTTTGTCATTTGATTATAATCCTTTCCAGTTTTTTTTTTTTTTGGAAAATTTTCAAAAAATAATCCTGATTTTCTGGTCTGCTTAAAGCCCTACAGGAAAATGACTTCAGATTCGTAATGTCCGGACAATTCTCGATAAGGCAGTACATTTTTTCATTCAAATAGAATTCGCAATAACAGCTTTTTGAACATTTTTTTGGAATTCAACATTCTCTTTTTATCGGTTATTTGTGTCAAATCAGCGAAAGTTACTTTAGATTTGTAATCCTCAAAAAAAAAAATTGTAATCCACAAAAATTGGTTACACCTCCTTCTATTCGAATAGAATCAGTTCCAACGTTTTCTTTTTTGAAAATTTTTCAAATTATTTTCCCACTTTTGTCGACCATTTTAAAAGACAGCGAAATGGCTTCAGTGTTGATCATTTACGAAAAATTTTCTATAAACTAGTGTCTTTTCGACTTAAATATAACTAGTTTAAATAGTTTAGATTCCTAATTTACAAAAAATTTGGATACAATCTCCTCCAACATTTTTTTGGCAAATGTTCATAAAATATAATAATAATTTTTTCGGCTGTTTAAAGCACTATAGCAAAAATGACTTCAAATTTGTAATCTGCGGACGAATCTTGATAAGCCAATGGAAGTATTTTTCAATTCAAGTAGAATTTTGTTGAAAATTGTTTTTAAATCCAAGTTTCTCCCTTTCTCGGTTATTTGTGGCAAATCAGCAAAAGTGACTTTAGATTTGTAAACTTCAAAAAAAAAATACCTGTAAAGAACTGCCTATTATTCAACACCTCTTTCCATTCAAATAGTCAGTTTGAATTTTTTTTTTAATTTTTGAAAATTATTTTCTCATTTTTTCGGTCACCTTAAGAGTCGTAGTGAAATTTCAGGTTGATCATTTGCGAAAAATTTTCTGTTAATCAGTCTTTTTCCCACTTGAATATAACCTGTTTAAACACTTCAGATTCGTAATCTGCAAAAAATTATGTCTAGAGGTTGTCCATTTTGTCATTTGATTATAATCCTTTCCAGTATTTTTTTTTTTTGGAAAATTTTCAGAAAATTATCCTGATTTTCTGGTCTGCTTAAAGCCCTATAGGAAAATTACTGCAAATACGTAATCTGCGGACATTTCTCGATAAGGCAGTACATTTTTTCATTCAAATAAAATTCGCAATAGCAGTTTTTTGAACTTTTTTTTGGAATTCGAGATCCTCTTTTTCTCGGTTATTTGTGACAAATTAGCGAAAGTTACTTTCGATTTGTAATCCTCAAAAAAAAAAATTTGTAATCCATAAAAATTAGCTATACCTCCTTCTATTCGAATAGAATCAGTTCGAACTTTTTTTTTTGAAAATTTTTGCAAATTATTTTCCCACTTTTGTCGACCATTTTAAAAGCCATAGCGAAAATGGCTTCAGTGTTGATCATTTACGAAAAATTTTCTATAAACTAGTGTCTTTTCGATTGAAATATAACTAGTTTAAATAGTTTAGATTCGTAATTTACAAAAAATTTTGATAAAGTCTCCTCCAACATTTTTTTGGCAAATGTTCATAAAATATATGACTTCAAATTTGTAATCTGCGGACGAATCTTGATAAGCCAATGTAAGTATGTTTCAATTCAAGTACAGCTGGTAGAATTTTGTTGAAATTTTTTTTTTAATCCAAGTTTCTGTTTTTCTCGGTTATTTGTGGCAAATCAGCAAAAGTGACTTTAGATTTGTAAACTTCAAAAAAAAAAATGCCTGTAAAGAACTGCCTATTAATCAGCTTCTCTTTCCATTGAAAGTCAGTTTGAATTTTTTTTTTGAAAATTTTTGCAAATTATTTTCTCATTTTTTCGGTCACCATAAAAGTTATAGCAAAAATTCAAGTTGATCGTTTACGAAAAATTTTCTAATAATTAATCTTTATTTTTCCTACTTGAATATAATCTGTTTAAACACTTCAGATTCATAAACTACAAAAAAATTCTGTCTACGGTTGTCCGTTTTGTCATTTGATTAAAATCCCTTCCAATATTTTTTTTTTTTAAATTTTTAGAAAATAATCCTGATTTTCTTGTCTATTTAAAGCCCTATTGGAAAATTACATCAGATTGGCAATCTGCCGAGAATTCTCGATAAGGCAGTGTACTTTTCCATTCAAGTACAACTCGCAAAAGCAATTTTTGAAAATTTTTTGGAATTAGAGATCCTGTTTTTCTCGGTTATTTGTGACAAATCAGCGAAAGTTACTTTAGATTTATAATCTTCAAAGACAAATTTGTAATCCATTAAATTGGCTCCACCTCCTTCTATTCGAATAGAAACAGTTCGAGCTTTTTCTTTTTAAATTTTTGAAAATTATTTTCCCATTTTATTCGACCATTTTAAGAGCCATAACGAAAATGGCTTCACGCTTGATCATTTATGAAAAAATGTCTATAAACTAGTGTTTTTTCAACTTGAATATAACCGGTTTGAATAGTTCAGATTTCTAATCTACAAAAAATTCTGTCTACGGTTGTCCATTTTGTCATTTGAGTAAAATCCCTTCCAGTATTTTTTTTTTTGAAAATTTTCAGAAAATAATCTTGATTTTCTTGTCTACTTAAAGCCCAATTGGAAAATTACATCGGATTGGCAATCTGCCGAGAATTCTCGATAAGGCAGTGTACTTTTCCATTCAAGTACAATTCGCAAAAGCAATTTTTGAAATTTTTTTGGAATTAGAGATCCTGTTTTTCTCGGTTATTTGTGACAAATCAGCGAAAGTTACTTTAGATTTATAATCTTCAAAGAAAAATTTGTAATCCATAAAAATTGGCTCCACCTCCTTCTATTCGAATAGAAACAGTTCGAGCTTTTTCTTTTTAAATTTTTGAAAATTATTTTCCCATTTTATTCGACCATTTTAACAGCCATAACGAAAATGGCTTCAGTCTTGATCATTTATGAAAAAATGTCGATAAACTAGTGTTTTTTCAACTTGAATATAACCGGTTTAAATAGTTCAGATTCGTAATTTACAAAAAATTTGGATAAAGCCCCTTCCAACATGTTTTTGACAAATGTTAACAAAATATAATAATTTTCTTGGCTGCATAAAGCACTGTAGCAAAAATTATTTCAGTTTCTTAATCTGCAGAGGAATGTTGATAAGCCAATTAAGCATTTTTCATTCCAGTGGACCCCGTTTTAGAATTTTGTTGAAAATTTTTTTGGAATTTAAGTTTCTGTTTTTCTCGGTTATTAGTAACAATTCGGCAAAGGTGACATTAGATTTGTATTCTTCAAAGAAAAATTTGGGTTCTACAAAGAATTGTCTCCGTCCACTAGAACAGAATCTGTTGTAACATTTTTTTTATTTTTGGCTAATTTTTTTTTTCCATTTTTTTTGCCATTTTAAGAGTTGTAGCAGAAATTGTTTCAATTTGATCATTTACAAAAAAATATCTATAAACTAGTTCTTATTTCCACTTGAAGAGAACCGGTTTAAACACTTCAGATTCGTAATACACAAAAAATTTGTATAAAGTTGTCCGTTTTGTTATTTGAATAAAACCCCTCCCAACATTTTTTTGGAAAATTTCCAGAAAATATCCTGATTTTCTCGACTGCTTAAAACCCTATACCAAAAATGACCTCAGCTTCGTTTTCTGCCAAGGATTCTCTATAAGCCAATACATTTTTCTGTACAAGTAAAGCTCGTGGTAACAATTTTTGAATTCGTTCCAGTTTTTCTCGGTTATTAGTAACAATTCAGCAAAGGTGACATTTGGATTTGTATTCTTCAAAGAAAAATTTGGGTTCTACAAAGAATTGTCTCCGTCCACTAGAACAGAATCTGTTCTAACATTTTTTTTTATTTTTGGCTAATTATTTTTCGATTTTTTTGGCGATTTTAAGAGTTGTAGCCGAAATTGTTTCAACTTTATCATTTACAAAAAATATCTATAAACTAGTCCTTATTGCCACTTGAAGAGAACCGATTTAAACCCTTCAGATTCGTAATACACAAAAAATCTGTATAAAGTTGTCCGTTTTGTTATTTGAATAAAACCCCTCCCAACATTTTTTTTGGAAAATTTTTAGAAAATATCCTGATTTTCTCGACTGCTTAAAGCCCTATACCAAAAATGACCTCAGCTTCGTTTTCTGCCAAGGATTCTCTATAAGCCAGTACATTTTTCTGTACAAGTAAAACTCGTGGTAACACTTTTTGAATTCGTTCCAGTTTTTCTCGGTTATTAGTAACAATTCAGCAATGGTGACATTAGTTTTGTATTCTTCAAAGAAAAATTTGGGTTCTACAAAGAATTGTCTGCGTCCACTAGAACAGAATCTGTTCTAACATTTTTTTTTTATTTTTGGCTAATTATGTTTCCATTTTTTTTTTGGCCATTTTAAGAGTTGTAGCAGAAATTGTTTCAATTTTTTCATTTACAAAAAAATATCTATAAACTAGTCCTTATTTCCATTTGAAGAGAACCGATTTAAACACTTCAGATTCGTAATACACAAAAAATCTGTATAAAGTTGTCCGTTTTGTTATTTGAATAAAACCCCTCCCAACATTTTTTTTGGAAAATTTTTAGAAAATATCCTGATTTTCTCGACTGCTTAAAGCCCTCTACCAAAAATGACCTCAGCTTCGTTTTCTGCCAAGGATTCTCTATAAGCCAGTACATTTTTCCGTACAAGTAAAGCTCGCGTTAACATTTTTTTGAAATCGTTCCTGTTTTTCTCGGTTATTAGTAACAATTCAGCAAAGGTGACATTAGATTTGTATTCTTCAAAGAAAAATTTGGGTTCTACAAAGAATTGTCTCCGTCCACTAGAACAAAATCTGTTCTAACATTTTTTTTTTTTATTTTTGGCTAATTATTTTTCCATTTTTTTTGGCCATTTTAAGAGTTGTAGCAGAAATTGTTTCCAGTTGATCATTTACATAAAATATCTATAAACTAGTCCTTCGTTCCACTTGAAGAGAACCGGTTTAAACCCTTCAGTTTCGTACAATTTGTATGAAATTGTCCGTTGTGTTATTTGAATAAAACCCCTTCCAACATTTTTTTTTTTTGGAAAATTTTCAGAAAATCTCCTGATTTTCTCGGGTGCTTAAAGCCTTATAGCATAAATGACCTCAGATTCGTTTTCTGCCAAGGATTTTCTGTAAGACAGTACATTTTTTCGTGCAAGTAAAGCTCGTGGTAACAATTTTTTTATTCGTTCCAGTTTTTTTCTCGGTTATTAGTAACAATTCAGCAAAGGTGACATTAGTTTTGTATTCTTCAAAGAAAAATTTGGGTTCTACAAAGAATTGTCTCGGTCCACTAGAACAGAATCTGTTCTAACATTTTTTTTTTTATTTTTGGCTAATTATTTTTCCATTTTTTGGCCATTTTAAGAGTTGTAGCAGAAATTGTTTCAGTTTGATCATTTACAAAAAAATATCTATAAACTAGTCCTTCGTTCCACTTGAAGAGAACCGGTTTAAACGCTTCAGATTCGTAATACACAAAAAATCTGTATAAAGTTGTCCGTTTTGCTATTTGAATAAAACCCCTCCCAACATTTTTTTGGAAAATTTTCAGAAAATATCCTGATTCTCTCGACTGCTTAAAACCCTATACCAAAAATGACCTCAGCTTCGTTTTCTGCGAAAGATTCTCTATAAGCCAGTACATTTTTCCGTGCAAGTAAAGCTCGTGATAACATGTTTTTGAATTCGTTCCTGTTTTTTTCGGTTATTAGTAACAATTCAGCATAGGTGACATTTGGATTTGTATACTTCAATGAAAAATTTGGGTTCTACAAAGAATTGTCTCCGTCCACTAGAACAGAATCTGTTCTAACATTTTTTTTAATTTTTGGCTAATTATTTTTCCATTTTTTTGGCCATTTTCAAAGTTGTAGCAGATATTGTTTCAATTTTATCATTTACAAAAAAATATCTATAAACTAGTTCTTATTTCCACTTGAAGAGAACCGGTTTAAACACTTCAGATTCGTAATACACAAAAAATTTGTATAAAGTTGTCCGTTTTGTTATTTGAATAAAACCCCTCCTAACATTTTTTTGGAAAATTTTCAAAAAATATCCTGATTTTCTCGACTGCTTAAAATCCTATACCAAAAATGACCTCAGGTTCATTTTCTGCAAAGGATTCTCTATAAGCCAGTACATTTTACTGGACAAGTAAAGCTCGCGTTAACATTTTTTTAAATCGTTTCTGTTTTTCTCGGTTATTAGTAACAATTCAGCAAAGGTGACATTAGATTTGTATTCTTCAAAGAAAAATTTGTGTTCTATGACGAATTGTCTCTGTTCGCTAGAACAGAATCTGTTCTAACATATTTTTATTTTTGCCTAATTATTTTCCAATTTTTTGGCCATTTTAAGAGTTGTAGCAGAAATTGTTTCAAGTTGATCATTTACAAAAAAATATCTATAAACTAGTCCTTCGTTCCACTTGAAGAGAACCGGTTTAAACGCTTCAAATTCGTAATACACAAAAAATCTGTATAAAATTGTCCGTTTTGTTATTTGAATAAAACCCCTCCCAACATTTTTTTGGAAAATTTTCAAAAAATGTCCTGATTTTTTCGATTGGTTAAAGCCCTACACCAAAAATGACCTCAGCTTCATTTTCTGCCAAGGATTCTCTATAAGCCAGTACATTTTTCCGTATAAGTAAAGCTCGCGTTAACATTTTTTTGAAATCGTTCCCGTTTTTCTCGGTTATTAGTAACAATTCAGCAAAGGTGACATTAGATTTGTATTTCTCAAAAAAAAAAATTGTATTCTATGAAGAATTGTCTCCTTTCGCTAGAACAAAATCTGTTCTAACATTTTTTTTTTATTTTTGCCTAATTATTTTCCCATTTTTTGGCCATTTTAAGAGTTGTAGCAAAAATTGTTTCAAGTTGATCATTTACAAAAAAATATCTATAAACTAGTCCTTCGTTCCACTTGAAGAGAACCGGTTTAAACACTCCAGATTCGTAATACACAAAAAATCTGTATGAAGTTGTCCGTTTTGTTATTTGAATAAAACCCCTTCCAACATTTTTTTTTTGGAAAATTTTCAGAAAATCTCTCGATTTTCTCGGCTGCTTAAAGCCTTATAGCATAAATGACCTCAGATTCTTTTTCTGCCAAGGATTCTCTATAAGACAGTACATTTTTCCGTGCAAGTAAAGCTCGTGGTAACAATTTTTGAATTCGTCCCAGTTTTTCTCAGTTATTAGTAACAATTCAGCAAAGGTGACATTAGACTTGTATTCTTCAAAGAAAAATTTGGGTTCTACAAAGAATTGTCTCCGTCCACTAGAACAAAATCTGTTCTAACATTTTTTTTTTTTGGCTAATTATTTTTCCATATTTTTTTTGCCCTTTTAAGAGTTGTAGCAGAAATTGTTTCAATTTTATCATTTACAAAAAAATATCTATACACTAGTTCTTATTTCCACTTGAAGAGAACCGGTTTAAACACTTCAGATTCGTAATACACAAAAAATCTGTATAAAGTTGTCCGTTTTGTTATTTGAATAAAACCCCTCCCAACATTTTTTTGGAAAATTTTTAGAAAATATCCTGATTTTCTTTAAAAAAAAAAGTTAAATAACTGAGAACAACAGTAAATTGAATTCCAAAAAATTGTCACAAATGTGACAACTCAGTAAAAGTTACTTACTTTAGATTTCTGATCTTCAAAAATCAGTTCGATTTTTTTTTCAAAATTTTTGCAAATGATTTTCCCAGTTTTTTCGGCCGTTTTAAGAACCATAACGAAAATGGCTTCAGACTTGATCTTTTACTAAAAATCTCTATAAACTAGTCTTTCTTTCGAATAAAACCAGTTAAATATATTGTTCAGATTCGTAATTAAAAAAAATTTGGATAACATTTTTTTGGAAAATGTTCAAATAGAGCTCTTTGTCGATTTTTTTTTTAATTTTTGGAATCCAATTTCCTGTTTTTTTTCGGTTATTTGTGTCAACTCAGTAAAATTGACTTTAGATTTGTAATCTTCAAAAAAATCTTTAACATATGAAGAATTGGATTTTGTCAGCACCTCCTTCCATCCGAAAGGAATAGTTCCAACTTTCTTTTTTTCATTTTACAAATAATTTTCCAATTTTTTCAGTCATTTTAAGAGCCACAAAAAGTAGCTACAGACTGATCATTTACGAAAAATTCTATATTTGTTCCTACTTGAATATAACCCGTTTAACACTCAACACAGATTCGTTGTTTACAAAAATTTATGTTTAAAGTTGTGTCTTTTAACATTTGAATAAAGCCTCTTCCCACATTTTTTTGGAAAATGTCTAGAAAATGTTATGATTTTTTCGGCTGCTTAAAGCCCTATAACAAAAACAATTTTTTGGAATCCAAGTTCCTGTTTTTCTCGGTTATTTGTGACAACTCAACGAAGGTGACTTTAGATTTTTAATCCATAAAAAATTGGCTATTAGTCAGCACCCCTTCCATTCGAATTAAAATCTAAAATTTTGAAAACATTTAAAAGTAATATTCGCCGAAATGACGCAATTATATTAAACTATATGGGTTTATTATTAAATATATGCACATTTCTAACAAAGACAGAAATAATCTGAAATTAAATTTTCATTTAAAACTTCCCTCATTAATAAGAAAAAAAAAACGAAATCGTATGTCAAAGCTCACTTAAAAAAAATTGGAGACAAATTAAACCCACTTTAGCATATAAACATCAAGTTTGAAACTTTCCCAGTAATAAACTAACTCCCGAAACGTTTTTCGTGTAACTGAAACTTTTAAATTAAATTAACTCCAGCTTTAAAACCGAAACATACATTTTTTTTAATTCGTTAAGCTCTAAACCGTGGAAGTCATTGGCTGCTTTTTACCAATTTCATTTTTAAATGGCATTGTGTTCCAGCGTCTGGATAATGGCAGCCATAGGGTGCACAGGAAACATGATCGTTTTGTTGGGACGCCTACTAGCTCCCAATAACAATGTGGTACATTCCCTGTATTTGCGAAATTTGGCCATGTCCGACCTCCTCATGGGGGTGTACTTGTTTGCGATCGCCGTGGCTGATCAACATTATCGAGGGGTTTATCTGCTGTATGACGGAGCCTGGAGGAAGAGCTTCATGTGTAATTTATGCGGTGAGTTGTACCGACTAATTAAATTCTAACTTTTTATTGTTGAGTTATATTAGTTTCCTAGAAGCAGTAACTTTAACTTCAAACTAGCTGCATCTATTTAATATTGATCATTAAACAACGAACTCTTAATTATATCTATGTAGAAAACATCAAAACTCGCGTCATTATCCAGCAACCTTAAATGATTCCCGAACTTTAAAAGTCAAGTTCGTTAACTCCGACTTTAAGAAATAAACTCTTGTCAATTATCTTGCCTGACGGGACAATTATAGCAACAATACATAATTATTAAATTCAACCGCGAGTCGCGTTAACGAGCTTATAAGAGTATTGGCAGACTGCGAATGATAAACTGGCGAAATTCGTTGAACTCGAGGAGAATGACGGAATCGGCGAGGAAAGTCAATATTTTTGTTTAATCATTGCGGGCTTTTACTTTGCTTGCAAACAATAATTAGGCTGCTTTTTTGTCGCCCCGTTTGCGTACTTATCACGGTAATCCGGCGGCGGAGTAGTTCATTTGTGTTAAGTTGGTAACGGCGTCTTCCCTGGATTCTTTTTACGGCAACTCGGATAATAAAGTTAATAGGAGCGCCAAAACTTCGAAGATCCTAACGTGCTAAATTAGCCTCTTGTTGTGGTAGTTTGCAAGGGTCGGTCCTTGACAGTTGGCAGCATTGATTCAGCAGTTGTTTTCCTGCTGTTTGCTCTAGTTTGAATCTGACACCGTGATGGATTTTTTATTCGCTCGACGCCGGTTTATTTTTAGATTTTTAGCGTCACATGGGAACAGCAGTCACAATTACCTACATACTAAATATATTTCAAAAAATATCCAACTTTACTTATCATACGAATAATAAAATAATAAAAGAACGTTTCTAGGCTTGTTCGGTTTGAGTTTGTTGTTTTTAATATTAGCTTCCGCTCCGACCCTTCCACCTGAAAATTACTGTTTACCTAATAATTCCATTCAAACACCGTTTTCCCAGGAACCCCAAATGAATATGAATTGAGTTGGCGCATGCTGATCCAATTATAGACAAACATTCAATCAAAATAAACCGGAGTTTATGACTATGAAACTGTTACGGAGTGCTCGGCTATAAAAAAAATTGATTTTGTCATAAATCAAGGTCACGAAGGGGTGTGAACGGGACTTAATTAATTTGATACGGGTAGGAGTCTCTCGAGGGTTTATTCTTCTGGCGAACGTGTGAAGAAACATCGTTGGAAATCCGGGGAAAGTGGAAGTTAGACATCGAGTTGCAAAATTTAGTGGAGTTGTTTTTTTTATTTTAATCAATCAAATGAGAGTGGGGAGAGGAATTGTTGCGGTGGGTTTTATTTTCGTGGTTGTTTCTGAATGTATTAGGAGGGAAGTTTGTGCCAAAAATTATTCATTATTATTTAAGAAGAGTCGACAGCGAAAGAAAATATGGTAAAAAGAGTACGATTGTAAGTATTTAGATATTATGATTCACTACAACTCGTCGCCTGAGAACTTGTTTGATTTACAGACCAGAGCGCGTTCAGGCCAATGTCGACTCTAAGCGTTCAGAAGCGATTTGGTTGGTTTAGACTATAATTTCTTTTATAACAACTAAATGAATATTTTTGGTACATATTTAGACGATTTTTCATATTTTGTTTAACTAAGAATTAATTATTTATTTGTGTTTTATAATAGCAAAACGTCTTAAACTAAGAATATTATTGAAATCGTAATAACCCAATGGATTTTTTTCGGGAAAACGTTTTGGAAACGTTCTATTTTGTATGATTTTTTTTTAAATGTTTTTAGTGACAATTTTTGTGGTTGTTTTCGATACACTGTATGATATTAACAGTGGGACAAAAATTAACAATTAAAAAAATCAAAAATTCGAAAAATCGAGAAATCTAATAATCGAAAAATCGAAACCTTGAAAAATCGAAATATCGAAGAACTGAAAATCGAAAAACTGAGAAACCGAAAAGTCAAAAGAACAAGAAATCGTGGAGTCGAAAAGTCGAACAATTGAGAAACCGAAATAGGTCAAAATCGAAAACTCAAAAAGTTGAAAATTGAACAATCAAAATATCGAAAAATCCAAATCTCGATAAATCGAGAAATCAAAAAACTTAAAAATTCGAAAAATTGAAAAATTGAGAGATTGAAAGATCCAAAGAACGAGAAATCGAAAAGTGATGAAGTCGAAAAATCTAAAAATAGAGAAATCGACAAACAAAAAGTTAAAAGTTGAAAAATTGGAAAAGCGGAAAAACTGAGAAACCGAAATAGGCCAAAATAAAAAATTGAAAAACTGATAAATCGAAAACCTGGACAATTAAATCTGGATAAATCGGGAATGAAAAATTAACAAATCGAAAAATTGAAAAACAGAACATCTAAAACCAGGAAGTCGAAAAATAGTAAGATTAAGAAATATTGAAAAATTAAAATATCAAAAGATTGAAAAATCTAAAATTTAAAAATCCAGAAATTGAAAAATCGAAAAAGTAAAAAGGGTAGACACATCGAAAAACCCAGAAGTCAAAAATAGAAAAGCCAAAGAATTGAGATATTGAAAAATCCTGAAACTGAAATATCTAAAAACTGAAAAATCGAAAAATCAAAAAAGTGAAGTCGAAAAATAGAAACTTTAAAAAATCGAAAAATTGAAAAATCAAAAACCTGAAAAATCAAAAAATTAACGAATTGAAGAACAGGAAAATTGAAACACTCGAAGGTCAAGAAATGGGAAAATCAAAACATCGATTAATTGAAAAATCGAAAAATTGAGAGTTTATAAACGTCAAATTTGAAAAATTAAAAAATCGAAAATTTGACAAACTGACAATTGAAAAACAGAAAATCTAAAACCGGGAAGTCGAAAAATCAAAAGATTAGAAATCAAAACATTTGAAAAATTCCAAAACTTGAAACCTGAAATATCGAGGAACTGAAATGAAAAATCGAGAAATCGAAAAATGTAAAATTTTAAATTTTGAAATATTAAAATATCAAAAAATTGAAAAATCGAAAATCGAAAAATTGAAAAAACGACAATTGAAAAACAGAAAATCTAAAACCGGGAAGTCGAAAAATCGAAAGATTAAGAAATCGAAACATTTGAAAAATTCAAATATCGAGGAGCTGAATTGAAAAATGGGGAAATCGAAAAATCTAAAATTTTAAATATTAAAAAATTAAAATACCAAAAAATTGAGAAATCTAAAATTTAAAAATCGAAAAAGTAAAAAGTCGACACAGCGAAATATCCAGAAGTCAAAAATGGAAAAGTCGAAGAACAGAAATATTGAAAAATCCCAAAACTGAAATATCGAAAAACTGAAGAATGAAAGAAAAACTGACGAATCGAAAGACTGAAAACTCCTAAAACTGAATATCCAAAAACTGAGAATCTACAGAATCAAAAATTGAGAAATCGAAAAATCAAAAAAGTGAAGTCGAAAAATAGAAACCTTAAAAAAATTGAAAAATTGAAAAATCAAAAACCTGCAAAATCGTAAGATCGAAAAATTGAATAATAAGTAAACTGAAAAATCCCAACATTTTTTAAAATCTAAAAATCTAAAACTTAAAAACCGAAAACGAAAAATCGAGAAATCGAAACCCCCAAATTTAAAAAATCGGATAACTGAAGAATCGAAACATCGAAAAACTGGAAAATGGAAAAATCAAAAGAACAAGAAATCGTGGAGTCGAAAAGTTGAACAATTGAGAAACCGAAATAGGTCAAAATCGAAAAATCGAAAAGTTAAAAATTGGACAATTTATAAATTGGGAAATTGAGAATCAAAATATCGAAAAATCCTAATCTCGATAAATCGAGAAATCAAAAAACTTAAAAATTCGAAAAATTGAAAAATTGAGAGATTGAAAGATCCAAAGAACGAGAAATCGAAAAGTGATGAAGTCGAAAAATCGAAAAATAGAGAAATCGACAACCAAAAAGTTAAAAGTTGAAAAATCGCAAAAGCGGAAAACTGAGAAACCGAAATAGGCCAACATAAAAAGTGATAAATCGAAAACCTGAACAATTAAATCTCGATAAATCTGGAATGAAAAATTAACAAATCGAAAAATTGAAAAACAGAACATCTAAAACCAGGAAGTCGAAAAATAGAAAGATTAAAAAATCCAAAAATTGAAAAATCGCAAAAGTAAAAAGGTTGACACATCGAAAAACCCAGAAGTCAAAAATAGAAAAGCCAAAGAATTGAAATATTGAAAAATCTTGAAACTGAAATATCTAAAAACTGAAAAATCGAAAAATCAAAAAAGTGAAGTCGAAAAATAGAAACCTTAAAAAATCGAAAAATTTAAAAATCAAAAAATTAAAGAATCGAAGAACAGGAAAATCGTAACACTCGAAGGTCAAGAAATGGGAAAATCAAAACATCGATTAATTGAAAAATCGAAAAATTGAGAGTTTATAAACGTCAAATTTGAAAAATTAAAAAATCGAAAATTTGACAAAATGACAATTGAAAAACAGAAAATCTAAAATCGGGAGGTCGAAAAATCAAAAGATTAAGAAATCGAAACATTTGAAAAATTCGAAAACTTGAAACCTGAAATATCGAAGAACTGAAATGAAAAATCGAGAAATTGAAAAATCTAAAATCGAAAAATTGAAAAAACGACAATTGAAAAACAGAAAATCTAAAACCGGGATGTCAAAAAATCGAAAGATTAAGAAATCGAAACATTTGAAAAATTGAAATATGGAAGAGCTGAATTGAAAAATCGCGAAATCGAAAAATCTGAAATTTTAAATATTAAAAAATTAAAATACCAAAAAATTGAGACATCTAAAATTTAAAAATCGAAAAAGTAAAAAGTCGACACATTGAAAAATCCAGAAGTCAAAAATGGAAAAGTCGAAGAACAGAAATGTTGAAAAATCCCAAAACTGAAATATCGAAAAACTGAAAAATGAAAGAAAAACTGACGAATCGAAAAACTGAAAAATCCCCAAACTGAAATATTCAAAAACTGGTAATCTAAAGAATCGAAAAATTGAGAAATCGAAAAATCAAAAAAGTGAAGTCGAAATATCGAAACCTTAAAAAAATCGAAAAATTGAACAATCAAAAACCTGCAAAACCGTAAGATCGAAAAATTGAATAATAAGTAAACTGAAAAACCAAAAAAACTGAAAAACCAATTAATTGAAAAATCGCCAAATAAAGAGTTTATAAAAGTCAAAAATTAAAAAATCGAAATATTTAAAAATCGTAAAATTGAAGAGAAAAACTGAAAACCGAGAAATTGAAAAACTGAGAAATTGTAAAATCCAAAAATTGAAAAGTAAACTGAAAAGTCCCTAAACTAAAATTTCGAAAAACTGAGAATTCGAAAGTTGAAACAGCAGAAATTGTGGTCGAAACCAGTTAGCCTGTGAAGGATTGAGAGAATCGAAGGAAAGTAGGGAAGTAACAATTTATTTTATTGATTTATTTGTATTATGTAGATTAAGTTAATTTGTACCCCTGGGAATCTTATTAAGCCTGTAAGGCAAATAATAAATTAATACAACTACTTTCCTGAATACTTAAGTGTTGTTAAAGCTAAAAATAAATACGTTATTTAGAAACAATATAAAATGTTTATATTTTTGTAATGTGCATCTTCATTCATATTGATATATTTCCATTTTCTACGCAAAAAATCCAGCGTTAAAGTAACTTATTCAGCGTTTATCACAACACAGCTCAGACGATTATCTAGATTGTGTTTATTTTCTCCTCTCCTTATTTTGAATGCACACACAATTCCGCCGCGTTTTTCACTTTCCAAACTGAATACGACCTCATTCAGCTGAAATCAGTTTTAACAGATGAACGTCCATGAATGAAAATTTAATCACATTACTAACTCGTCGGGACGGAAACTCATCTACTCTAATAAGCTCAAAATGAGACAGATTACAGATCTATGACTTTAATTAATCGTCTAGCAAAAACTATCCGTTTCACGAAAAGGTGAGTATTTTCTAGTTAATTAGGTTCGTCTTTAAGGTATTGCTTCGTGTGAACCTTGCTCTTTCGTGCACTTACACGTAATCAACTCGCGCAAATAATTCATGAAGCCTAAAGCCTATTATGTGTTTGCATAAATGTATTACCTTTCGTAAAAGTCCCGGGAGGCGGCCGATTCATGAATAGGATCAGAGAACCCGGGCTCACTCCATCATGCTCGTGTATAGCGGGCTTTAAATCCCCACGCAGAATGCGACATAATTCAGCAAATACCGTACTTAATTTTTAAACAGGGTAACGTATTACACTTTGCCAATTAGTCGCTTTCAGATTTTTTATTACAGATAAAAATTAAGCTCTGAAATTACGCAACAACGGCTTGAATATATTTCGTTTAATTTGTATTATTTGCCGCCTAAATTGTTACTACCCACTCATCATTAGCATCATTTTGGCAAATTTCAGGTTTCCTCTGCACCCTGTCGTGCGAATCGTCCGTCCTCATCCTCACCCTCGTAACATGGGACCGCTTCGTTTCCGTGACGCAACCCTTGGCCAGAAAACAACCCTCTCCGAGAACGGCCGCCCTAACTCTTGTCGTTTTGTGGACATTAGCGGTCGCTGTGGCTTTGGCGCCCTTCTCCAAGGGCTATTTCGGCAACCAGTTCTACGGAAGTAATGGGGTGTGTTTACCCCTGCATATACACCACCCTTACGACAAGGTACGCACCACAACAACATATTTACTAATTTTTGATTTTTAACCATCATACCCATTCATATTATGTGCACAATCAATAACGTCGCATTTTCTGCAGCTGCATCACCCCTTCAAAATTCATGTTTCTTACAAACCACATAAATTGCAGCAACAAATTTGAATACATCCTACATACGAATGCGGAATTTATTAAAATCGGGTTAAAGTAGACGTCGTGGCGCATCGTACTTATGGAAATCTCGTGTCGAAGTAATTTTTTATTTTTCGATGTAATTTATCCAGATTGAGCGCGACTGACAAGGAAAGCGTTTGTGGCGGAATACAGAAGCGGAGTTTTAATAAATGCGCTCGCTTGGAATTCTTTGTTATCCTTAGGCGCATACATAAAACGTATTAAGTAGTGACCGTGGCGGTATTTGCGCTTTTCTGAAACTCGGTCGTGGGACGAAAAAGTTTCGGGGAATTTTCGGGCAATAACAGTTTAAAAGATGCAAGAATTCCCCGTTTTGGAAACTTATTAAAACTCGTTTCGAGTTGAGGGAGTTTGCACTAATTGGAGTGTTGATTGTCGCTGTAGGTATTAACGAGGGAGATGCGCATACAAATTCGCGAATTCCGGCGGGTTGTTGGTTTTTGTGTCACAGCTCAAGAATTTACAGCATTTTTAAATTTTGTGGACTGCGAAAATGGCGCAGTCGGTAGGATATGGACACAAATTTAATTTTTTCAAGGTTTGTTTGTACTAAAACACTATTTTCGTCAAGGCTGTAGCAATAAAGCAAACACATCGAGCGCCAACTCCTTGTGTACATTTAATAGAAATTGGATTTCAAACTCATCTACTTTGCCTCGCAAAGTTTACGAAATTTTAGAGTAATGACATTTTGCCTAAAATGTTTGGCGTAATTAAATTAACAAATTTTCAACTAGGTTAAATTTCCAAGGATTTTTAAAATTATAAAATAAGTTAATTATCGTGTGCAATCGCACGCAAATGTTTTGAGCCTATGGGCGGATCGTTTTTGCCTGTCCTCACCGAAGAAGGCGGTCCAAATTCTTCAAGGGCAGAATTTGTAGGTAGGCTCAAACTACAACGAAATTCACATTTTACGTAACGATGGTCCGAACATGAATTATTTTGCTTTCTAACACTTTCGACCAATTGTTCCGTATAAAAAAATTTCATCACTTTTTCAAATAAAATACTCTTAAAAAAAACGGAATTGTCGTTGAGTGACATGTAACTGGCATAATAATAAAAACGTGCCATTTTTGTTAACTGATATTTTTTTCATAAATGTCGCAAAATTATTAAATTTGTCTAATCATCCCCACCAATAATGTGATGACATCACTTGAAATTTATGCATAGTAAATGGGTTTTAAATTGTATACAGTAACATAGTCCTACACATGTAGTTTATGACTCCGTGTTGAGTTTTTATCCAAAACGTCCAGAGTTTTGGAAAAAAAATCAAAATTATAAAACAATATTTTGCAATTTAATTTTGAATTTGCAAAATCGAATACTTTGAAATCTTGCAGATGTCACCTTAAAATTTTGCAGAATAAATACTAACTTAAATGTATAAAATATGATGAGTTTTATACTTGTGATTTATCACTGCATTAATATTTTTTAGATTTGGTTATACAGGTGTCTCAAAAAAATGAATGACTGAGTCAATTTATTTTATTGAAGAAATCAAGAATAGCAAAACTGAATACTTTGAAATATTGTAGATGTTTTGAAGCTTTTGTAAGCATGGTAACTTTTTCGAAAATTTGATTAATCAAATATGCGCAAAATCAAAAATTGGAAAAACTGAAATTCACTAATGCAAAAAACAGAAAATCTAAAAATACAAATCGTAAAAATCGAAAATCTAAAAATGGCTAATCAAAAAATCGAAAATTCAATGAATCAAATACCTAGGTCGATCGAAAAGTGGAAATTCACAAACCTCAAAAATCGAAAAATCGAAAATTGAAAAACGGGAAAACCAAAAAATCGAAAAGTCAAAAATTTGTATTATTGGAAATTAAAAAAATCAAAAACAAGAATAAAAAAAATCGGAAATTAAAATAATCAAAATATATAAAGTAAAAAAAATTGCAAAGCCTAAAAACTGAAACGAACAGAAAAATCGAAAAAGCAAAAAATTGGAAAAACAAAAATTCGAAAAATCTAAAATCGAAAAAGTGGAAAATGGAAAATCTGAATAAAGAAACTTGAAAATTCTGAAAATTGTCTAACAGTTGAGAATGGAAAAATTGAAAACCCGAAAATTCTAAAAATCGACAGTGGACAAATTGAAAATCGCAAAATTTAAATTGAAAAATTGAACATAGAAAAATCGATGAATTGAAAAATCGAAAATTCGACTACTCAAATTTTCTAAAAATCGAAAAATCATAAAACTGAAAAATCCAAAATTCTAATCATCGAAAGTCTGAAAACTGAAAATCAAAAATTCTGAAAAGCGGAAAATAGAATATCTAAAAATTTAAAAGAAAGAAAATTGAAGTCTAAAAACCGAAGAATGGAAAAATTAAAAATCAAAAATTCGAAAAATCAAACCGAAAAATTCAAAGATTTAAAAAGAAAATCGAAAAATCAAAAATCTGAAAATTGAAACTCGAAAATTTGGAAAATCGAAAAGTAAAAAAATTGAAGTCTAAAAGCTAAAAAATGGAAAACTGAACAATCGAAAATTCGAAAATCCAATATGCGAAAAACAGAAAATCTGAAAATGCAAAACTGGAAAATCAAAAATCTAAAAATGGAAAAACCGAAAATCGAAACTTCAATGAATCTAATACGTAGGTCGATCGAAAAACTGGAAATTCACAAATCTGAAAAATCGAAAATTTGCAAGATTGAAAAACCGAGAATTGAAAAATCAAAAAACCGAAAAATGGAAAAATCAAAAATCGAAAAATAGGAAAACCGAAAATTCGAAAATTAATAATATTGAAAACTCTAAAAGTCGACAATTCAAAAATCAAAAAACTGGAAAGGAAAATATTCGAAAAATCGAAAAGTAAACAAATTGCAAAGCCCAAAAACTGACGAACAGAAAAATCGAAAAATCGTAAAATCAAAAAGTGGAAAATCGAAAACTGGAAATTGAAAAATCGAAGATTGGAAAATCGAAAAATCGAAAATCGGAATATCGAGAATCGACAAATTAAAAAACCGAAAAATCGAAAAATTAAAAAATCGGAAATCGAAAAATGAAAAAAAAACGAAAATTCAAAAATTGAATAATCCGAAACTAAAATAATAGAAAAGTGGAAAAGTAAAAATTGCAAAGTCTCAAAACTGACGAACAGAACAATCGAAAAATAAAAAAAAAATCGAAAAATATCTAAACATGGAACATCGAAAAATCGAAAATCGGAAAATGGAAAAACCGAAAAATCGAAAATCGAAAATTCGATGAAACAAATACTCGAAAAAGCGAAAAGTAAAAAAATTGCAAGGCCTAAAAATTGAAAAATCAAAAAATCGAAAAAATGAAAATCGAAAAAACGACGATCGAAAAAAAATCAAAAAATCGAAAAGTGGAAAATCGGAAAGTAAGAAAATTGAAATCTAAAAGCTGCAAATTGCAGAACCATAAAAACTGAAACAAACAGAAAAATCGAAAAACCACAAAAACGGAAAAACGAAAATCGAAAAATCGCAAATCGAAAAATCGTAAAGTCAGAAAATGGAAAATCGAATAATCGAAAGTTGAAAAATCGAAGGTCGAAAAATAAAACAACCGAAAAATCGAAAAATTTGATGATTAATGGAAAATCGAAAAATCTAGAATAGAAGAATAAAAAAAACGGAAAATTGAAAAATCGGAAATCGAAGAATTAAAAACGTAAAATCGAGAATTCAAAAATCAAAAAAATCGGAAAGTAAAATATAATCGAAAAATGCAAAAAAATTGCAAAGTCTAAAAACTGACGAACAGAAAAATCAAAAAATCTAAAAATGGAAAGACGAAAAATCGAAAATTGAAAGAATGGCAAATTAAAAAATCGAAACATCGAAAAATCAAAAAAACGAAAAATTAAAAAATCGAAAAACGAAAAAACTGAAAAATCTAAAAACCAAAATACCGCAAATTTGAAAACTCAGAGAATTAGAAAGTAATAAAATCGAAAAGTTGATAGAAAAATGGAAACTGAAAAATCTAATTCGACGAAACTGTTGGTCGAAAAAACGAAAAATCGAAAATCGAAGTGACCTTTTTTTGAGACAGGCTGTATAAGTAAATCTAAAAAATATTACTGCAATGATAAATCACAGGTATAGACTCATCATATCAAATTTTACGATGACGTCATGCATTTTTTGGCGAAGATAAGCAAATACACTTTGATCGTGGCTTTGAAAGTATTCTTCGACTTTCGTTCCATTTCAAAATTTACTCTTTGTATATTTCAGTGGTCACAACGAGTTCACTAACTACGCTGAAGTATGCAAAGATTAAATTTGTCACCGAAAAGACGTCGGAAGTAATAAATTATTCTATCGGTCGAAGAACGTTCGGTCCGGTGTTACACCTCGACCCAAGAGAGACCGCAGTAAAGGATAACAAATGGAATGGATAAAATAAAGCGTCAAACATGATTGATAAACTTTAAACCAAAATTATGAAGTTTATAAACTGAACATTTTTTTTGCTTTTTGAAATGTAGTACACTTCAAAAAATGTCCGTGACTTATTTTAATGTGAATTTTATAACTACGGTCGGCACAATTAGACCTAATATTAATGTGATTTTGAGCATATTCTCGATGTTATTAGAGCAGGACAGGTTTTTTTTTTTCTAACTAATTGACAAGATTTCAAAGTATTCAGTTTTGCAGTTCTTGATTTCTTCAATAAAATAAATTGACTCAGTCATTATTTTTTTTTGAGTCACTTGTATGTATAAACAAATCCAAAAAATATTAATGGAATGGTAAATCACAAGTATAGACTCATCATATTCTGAACATTTTAGATAGGGTATTTATAAAATTAAAACTAATTCAGGGTAAGAATTTGGTCAACACGTAAATTTCGTTGTAGTTTGTAAATTCTGCCCTTGGACGATTTGGACCGCCTCCTTCGGTGACGACCGGCAAAAATGATCCGCCCATAGGCTCAAAACATTTGCGTGCGATTGTACAACCCCCAAAAACGCAAAATTCATGTTGTTTAATATTGACCGAACCATAATATTGGCGCAGTCGGTAGTGTTCCAATTCTGTCTATAATTAACTAACAGTGTTGAATTTCACACACCGTTAAACATTCATGAATTATCTGAATCCATACAGGATGTTTATTTGTTTGCGCTGTAATAAGATATATTGCAATGCACACTGCGAAATTTCTGTTCCATTGGGCAATTAGGGCAAATCAGGAATCAATTCAGACTGAATAATTAAATGCAAAATGGAAATTGTTCAAAATTTAAATCGACCGCGCTTTTGCGTCACATCTCTTTTAAACCTACTCAACCAATCACAATCATGTTTTCTTGCAGGGTTGGCAATACTCCGCTGTTATGTTCATGGTAGTGAACGCGTTAGCTCTGATTTTCATTTGTTACGCCTATTTGCGCATGATACACGAAATCAGAGCAAGCGGAGTCGCCTGTCGATCAACCAGACAAAGCCAAGAGAGAGATAAAGTTGCTCAAAGATTCGGAATAATCGTACTGACTGACTGTATGTGTTGGGTGCCGATCATTGTCGTCAAGTTGGTAGCGCTGGCAGGTTAGCTGTGACGTCACCGACTACTAGATGATTTTAATATATTTTGTTGTTGTTGTAATAGGGTGTTCCGTCCCGAAAGACCTCTACGCTTGGCTGGCCATCTTCATTCTCCCGATCAACTCGGCCCTGAACCCGGTCCTGTACACCCTCACGACCACCGTCTTCAAAAAGCAGGTCCGTACTCACCTTTTTACCTTGCAATTTCTCCTACTGGTTTTTCCAGGTGAGAAAAATCATCAACTCCTGCATCCACAAAAACCGCCGGCCGGACCCGCAGCACTCGGCTTCCGACTCGGGCTTCAGTTTGAGCTTCGGGGTTTTCCCGAAAGGTGGCAGCACTCGAAGGATACTGACGTACAGGGTAGGACTCAGGAAATCTGGAAACGAGGATAGGAAAAGTGATATTTTGTTACAGGGGACGCAGAGCAGCCTCACCACGAGCAAAAACAGCTGGAAGAGGCCCCCCACGGCCGTCTGATAATCGTAAAAACGTATTTTTCCGTTTGATCTTTGTTATTTCGTTAACCTGAGGTTAGGTGAAAACGGCACCGTCTGTACATTTTTCACTTAGGTGTCACAAAAATGGGGAAATACGTTTGAAAACATGTAAATAGTACAATGTATTTTTATATACAATAATTACACTTAAGATATCACTGTGATCCGTAATGTTAGAACCACTGTATCGATGTCAAATAAAGTTACGCAATATTGTCAGAGAGCCTCACCACTTCTGGCATAGCCTCAAGCTTCTCATACAAGTTTGCGCACAACTTCAAGTCGTCGTCGTTGAGTTCTTGAAGTTTGTAGGGGATGAACTCCACGCTAGCGCTGGAAATTTTATAGTTGAAGTCTTCTAGCGCCGCTACGACTTTTTTCAAGCTCGTGGCGCCACAAACAAACTGCAATTTTTGTTCAGGGTCTGTGATTTTAACGTCCTCGGCGCCGGCTTCAATCGCGTGGTCTGTGGCGGCTTCCAGTACCCCCTCGACCGGTTTTTCTGAATCCAATTCTGTTTCTATGATCCCTTTTTGTTCGAACATGTGCATAGCGCCCCCGTCGCTATATTTTCCTTTATTTTTGCGCAGCAACGTCGATATGTTCTGCCTCAAAGCGTGAAGGTTGCTTGTAAACACCTCGCACAGGATTATGCACCCTCCGGGCCCCCTAGAAACTAGAAACTCCAATAACCATCAAAGGATGCCTGAGGGCTCACTTTATCTCGAATAGGTGTGGCTTGCTGTTTGATTTGTCGCTCTCGCAACTCTTGATGACGCTCTGGATTGTGGCTAGTGGCATGTTGGCACGCCTGCATTGCTCGATGATGTTTTCCAGCTGGAGATTCTTTTTAACATCGGATGAACCCCCTTCTACAAAGACTAAAGTGAATGGGGGTTGATTTGGGTGATGCTTACCTTGAATAGCGACTTTGATTTGGCGGCTCAATCTAGTAAAAAGGGCCGATCTTGCCGCATCCTTGGCCCCTTTGATGTGCCTAATATTTTGCCATTTTGAATGACCAGCGAAGCGCCGAGGGGTGAAGGTGAGGTCATGGAGGGTGGCGAAGCGCAGGGTTGTAATCAAACTTTTGAACATTGCGTACGAACAGAGCAAAACAAGGGGGAAGTTTGTGGGATTTATAACCTCGAAAGCTTCGCATGGAGCAATGACATTTGGCGTGTCGGTAAAGTAGGTTTCTGGACATTTAATCAATATTTGGTTTTTGATAAGAGAATTAAGTGATATGAATATATATTGGGAAAAATGTAAAAAAAAAAAATGAAACGTTAAATTAAAACGAGATTATGTAACTATCGCATTTTTCATTGTTTTTAAAAATATAACCTCACTTTGTGACACAAGGATGTTTTACTGGTTGCCTACGTAGGTTAAGGTCTTATCCTTTCGTTTTGAGGTAAACGTTAGTAGTTAGAATGATAGGATAGGTCTCGGGGTTAATGAAACCCTGTGTACTTTCAATGCCTTTATTCATGGGCATGTGACGAGTATGTTATTTTATTTCATAGTTACATATTATTAAAAATATGATAAAATTGTGTATAAACATATAATTTGTGCTTACAAAATTTCATAAAAGCGATTTGATGCCAAAAAACAAGCGTAACAAATAATGTCAACAAACAATTAGGGAAATATTTCAAATTTGTCTTTCATTTTAAAAATCTTTTTATCCTCCTTAAAAAGATTTGTCGTTTATTTCTTATTCAACCTTATCGTAATTTTTGAGACGGATTTTCGTTCGGGTACTGGCGCCACGGTCGTTCAACAAACGAAACTCCCAAAAGAAACCCTATTCGAACTAATTATTGCTACTAAGAATTGCTACTCGAAATAAGGCTCATTGCTCGACAAGGCAATCCATCCAGATATGCGATGACTAATCATAACGATATGTAAAAAAACTACAAGGCGAGTCGACGTTCCGCCAGGTGTCGCCAACGCGGAGCGCGACTTCCGCCGCCAGAGGGCGCCGATCGCGCAAAACGTAACCAAGGACGTTATTGTCGTTTTCTGACGCAGCGCCAGCCTGAAACTTGGTTGCTGGGAGCGGGAATCTTTCCCCGATTTTCCGGGAATAAGCTAAGATGCGAACTGTTTACACGGAGTTAACTGTAACTATCTAGTACGAAATATCGAGAAGGGGGAAAGTCGGGGGAAAACTCCCGCTTACAGAGTGTGTCCTTATTTTAGCGAATTATTACATAATCTCACTGTTTGTTTGTATCTTTTGACAGTCTCTGGCTTCCTTCCGCTTACGTACTGAAAGCAATATAGTCAAAAGGATGATCGAACGGAAAGAAATCGAAAAGACGAAGCTACTTCTTGGGTTTCTTCGGACTGCCTTGCGGCGACTCCTGGAACCACTAAGTCAGTTTTGACATTTTTAACTTGACGATTAATAAATTACCAGATCGAGTTCGTCTAGCGACTCTAGTTTGGCGATCGGAGCCGACTTGTCTTCCTTGCTTTCTTTTTCTTTAGCGACTACCACGTCCGTCCACGAGGGATCTTGATACTTATCGAAATCAAAAGCTTTGTTGAATGATGCAAATCTAAAACTTCACTTTTCAGACCGTTTTCTCACCTTCGGAGAGAATGGAGCCCGACTATACTCCGTTCACCGAACAGATGGAGTTGCTCCACTCCCCCCTCTCCGCCTCACCTATGAAGTACTTGGGAATGCTGTTGACTCTTTGATATCGGTTTCGGCTCGCTGACCGACCTCTGAAACGTATATCTAATTCTACCAGGGTCTAGGTTGACGTTTTCGTACTCGGGCAGCTCGTGCCTCGCCGCCGCCGCCGCCTCCGCGCCCTGCCCCTGCAGCAGGCCCAGAATCGCCTTGACGTCGGCCGCCAGCGTCTGCTCCAGCGACTGCACCCTCCGCGTCAGGTGATCCAGTTTCGTGTTGATGTGCTCTAGCTGGCTCCTACTCACTACGAAATTGTCAGAATGTGTCTCTAAAGTGGAATGTTGCAAGTTGGGTTCGGCGGCGGCGTGGAGGGTCTGCGCCATGGTGGCGGCGTCGCCGTGGTGGGGCGGACTGGGGCTGTTCGTGTAGTAGCTGGTGCTGCTCGAGATGGGGACAGAGCTGTGGGGCTGCTGCGGGGGCGGCGCGTGGGACTCCTGGTACGTGCCCACGGACGACTGGCGGCGGATGGTGCGGATGCGGTGGCTGGAAGGGGGCGTCGATTGCGCTGCAAAAGGGGCGGCTGGTTAGGGGCTCGGACGCCGGCATGCGCATGCTCAGCTAAGCGGCTAAGATACATACATCGGAAGAATAGAAGTGCGAGCAATGATGAGAGGGTTGATTGACACTAGCGACGTACAGTGGGGGCGGAAGACACGGGGGGCGGAGCGGAAATACGCTAATACTGACTGACTGACTGACTACCCTATTAAGCGCTCTTGGAGGGGGGAGGACTACTTTTGCGCTACGAACTCTAGCTCTGGCTACGAACTACCTCGACACAAGTCTAACGAGTATTTCCACTGCACCCTCGATGTGATAGTGTGTAACACCGTGTAGAGAAACAGACATCTTACCTATTAGTGGCTGATGAGTTTTGTGTAACCTTAGGTCTGGTATACTTCTTTTGAGCTGTGATAGCATGCCTAAACACGGTCAATATGCAAAATTACTTTTATTACTGACACAGTTCAAGAATAAATAGAACATCGATAGTTACAACTGTGTCATTAATAAAACCAGGACAAAAGAAATTAATACGGGGTCGTTCCAAAATAACGAGCAAAAAGGGGAAGGGGTAGCACATCCAAACTGTCAAGAAAAACGGTATCTGTAGTTTGAGAATTTTGATCATTTTTGGTTAAGGGCTTCTTCACAAAGTTAGTCACCATGTTTTTACCTGTAATGGAATTCAGAGTGGACGATCTCTTTTTTTCTTCGCCGAAATCTAGGTTTATTGGTGTCACGTCTTGGCCCGCTTTCTCAGTAGAGAACTCCAGGATGCCATGCCCTGGAAAAAGGCGACTTAGTATCCCTCGGGATCTCAAGACTTAAGTACATAATAAATAAGTATATATTGTTACGTTGTTTTCAAAATACACCACCAAAGTCAGGTCAATTCAAGTCGAATCGAGTTCTGAGTACAGAGACATGACAATTATTCGCTGCACGTCGATTTAATTCCTGTAAATCAAAACACTGGTGTCAGAAGTGGGATTCAACATTAATAATTGGAAAAGAATTCTGAAGGTTTATGTCGATCGAACAGCAGGACACCAACTGCACCAATGGAAGAACAAATAAAGACGAGAAAATTGACGAAAATGAACGCAAAATGGAAAAATGAACGCAAAAATAAGCACAGTAATTTATGCGTACCTCATTTGTTTAAAAAAAAATTGTCAGTGCCGCTAACGCTAATAATATTTGATTAAAAAGAATATAGTGGAATTTGTTATTATAGCAACATGTTTTAAGTTTCTTATTTTCGAAATAAGTATACACGTATTAAGCGAAAAAAGGCAAAATGTAGCCCCGCCCACCCGCCCTATCTCAATTGTAATGATTTTTTTGAACAACACGATACTCAAAAACATGGTTTTAATTTCTTGTAAGCTCCACCCTCTTGCTTCACGGCGAATGAAAAAAATCATCACAATTGAGATAGGGCGGGTGGGCGGGCGGGCGGGCTTACATTTTGCCTTGTCGTTTTAATATTTGTAGATTTCTTTTCACAGCATGAAACTTAAAACATATTTAAAATGGAAAATTTGAAAATGTTATTATCGATTTTGCAATTAAGGTCCACCCCATAATTGTAAAATCCATATTTCCTTGCAAAAATGTTAAGTTTCTTGTTGTGAAAAGATGGCTATGTATATCAAGAAAAAAAGGCAATTCTGTTGATTTTTTTATTCGTCGTAAGCGTAAGTGTATTAATTAAAAAAAGAAAACCAAAAGAGAAGCCCCACCCATCCGTCTCGATCTCAATGGTGATGAATTTTTCATTCGTTGTCAGATCGAGGGGCGGGGCTTAATTGCAAGATCCATATTTGTCTACAAGAAGTTAATTTGAAGCATGTTTTAAGTTACTTGTTCTGAAATGACGACTACGTATAATAAGAAAAAAGGCAAGTGTGATGATTTTTTAATCGTCGGGAGCCAAAGGAGCAGTATCGTGTTATTCAAAAAATACTACGTGTATTGAGATAAAATTAAAACCAAAGATTAAGCCCCAACCATACCTGCCCTTATGTAAATAGTAATGAAGTTTTCATTTGTTGGCACAGCTAGGGGCGGAGCCTAATTGCAAAATCCATATTTCCGTACAAAAATTTACCCTTTCAAACGCGTTTAAGTTTATAAGAATAAAAAAAAATCATCAACCTTTTTTTTTCTTAATACCGAGTCTTTTATAATCAAGCAATAACCCCGCCCATTCATCGCCTCTTCATTCTAGTGACTACTCTTAATATTGTTCAGTTTTATGTTTGCAAATCCTAGCCCCACCCACCCGCCCTCTATTTTCTTAGAGTATACATTATTTGCCAGAATGCTCTTCTCATTCTAAGGTCTAATTTTATTTCTGTTCACTATATGGGACCCACTTTCATTCAGAGCAGATAAAATGAATCACTAAAATAGAGACGAGGTGGGCGGGCGGGGTTAATTATATATTCTTCTGTAAAATGGGAGTGGGATTGTTAAAGACAAAAAAAAAAGAGCTAACCGTATTTGTTTTTTGTTATACTTACTAGTTACTGCAAGGTTTATTTCTTATTTTAGAAGAAACAATCAGAGAATGGGTGGGTGGGCGGGGCTAACTTTAATTTTTCCCTACAGAGTCTTTTATAATCAAGCAATAGCTCCGCCCATCCATCGCCTCTTCATTTTAGTGACTATTCTTAATATTGTTCAGTTTTATGTTAGCAAGTCCTATTCAAAAACATGTTTTTTATTTCTTGTAAAGAAATAACTATTTTGCAGTTAAACTCCGCCTCCTTGGTTCACGGCGAATAAAAACAATCATCATAATTGAGATAGGGTGGGCGGGGGGGCTTATATTTTGCCTCTTTGTTTTAATATGTGTAGACTTCTTTTCACAATATGAAACTTAAAACACGTTCAAAATGAAAAATTTGTATACTTAAGGAGGTATCGATTTTGCAATTAGGCTCTTCCGTATAATTGCAAAAATGTACGATTTTAACCATGTTTTAAGTTTGTTGTTGCGAAAAGATGGCTATGTATATTAAGAAAAAAAAGGCAAGATATAAGCACCGCCCACCCACCCTATCCCAATTCTGACTTTTTTTATTCGTCGTAAGCCGAAGCAGCTTAATTGTAAAATCTTTGTTTTTCTACGAGAAATTACCACGTGAAATATGTTCATAAATAATCGTGTTCTACGAAGAAAACTGAATGTATTAATTAAAAAAAGAAAACCAAAAGATAATCCTAACCCATCCGTCTCGATCTCAATCGTGATGAATTTTCGAAAATTGTTGAAAAATGGTCCAAAATGTGAGAATCAGTCATATCTTATAAAACGCTAGCCCCGCCCACCCGCCCTCTGTTCTCTTGGCAGATATATCATCTGCCAAAAACAGTCTCATCTTATCAAGTACTCGAAACGCCCACCGACCCTCTTCCTTGGAGAATATGTCATTTGACAAAATCTGTTTTATCTTAGCAAGTATTAGCCCCGCCCACCCCCAGTCTTGTCTAAGGACTAATTTTATTTCTGCTCAGTATAAGATCATTCATTTCATTCAGACCGAATAAAGTTAATGACAAGAAATGAAGGCAGGGTGGTAATTATGATCTCCAATGGGGTAGTAGTGGAAATTAATAGAATCTAGGATATGGAAAAAGTAAAAAAAAGCGTTAATTGGAAATTTTTTATTATACTACTTGCTACTGGAACTGTAAAAATGGCTATATTTCAGTTGGTGATTTTGGAAGAATGGCAGAAATTTTCGACGAAATGAAGTCGAAAATGACTTCTGGATGTCGAAATCACCAAGAAAATGTCTAGCTAATTTTCCAAAATGGTTGAAAATTGTCGAAAATGTCAAAAGTGTCAAAGATCAGTCACATCGTCATTTGCCAAAAACAGTCTTATCTTATCAAGTACTAGCCCTGGCTACCCTCAGCCTTCTCATTCTAAGGACTAATTTTATTTCTGCTCAGTATAAGATCAGTCAGTGAAGACAGGGTGGGTGGGCGGGGATAATTATGTGCTCCTATTGAGTGGTAGTGAAAATAGTAAAAAAAAGCGTTAATTGTAAATTTTTTGTTGTACTAGAACTGTAAAAATTGCGATATTTCGATTAGCGATTTTGAAAGAACGATAGAAATTTTCGACGAAACGAAGTCGAAAATGACTTCTGGAATGTCGAAATCTACAAGAAAATGTCTAACTAATTTTCGAAAATGGTTGAAAGATGACCGAAAATGTCAAAAGTGTCAAAAATCAGTCATATCTTATCAAATGGTAGCCCCGCCCACCCACCCGCTATTCTCTTGGCAGATATGTCATCTGCCAAAAACAGTCTCATCTTATCAAGAACTAGCCCCACCCACCCCCAGTTTTCTCATCCTAAGGGCTAATTTTATTTCTGCTCAGTATAAGATCATTCAGCGAAGACTTGCTAATTATGTTCTCCTATGGAATGGTAGTGCAAATTAATAGAATCTAGGATCTGAAAAAAGTAAAAAAAAGCGTCAATAGAAATTTTCAACGAAACGAAATCGAAAATGACTTCTGGAATGTCGAAATCTACAAGAAAATGTCTAGCTAATTTTCGAAAATGGTTGAAAAATTGTCGAAAATGTCAAAAGTGTCAAAAATCAGTGAATAACTTATCAAATGCTAGCCCGCCCACCCGCCCTTTATTCTCTTGGCAGATATGTCATCTGCCAAAAACAGTCTTATCTTATCAAGTACTAGCCTTGCCCACCCCCAGTCTTCTCATCGTAAGGATTAATTTTATTTCTGCTCAGTATAAGATCATTCAGCGAAGACAGGGTGGATGGGCGGGGCTAATTATGTTCTCCTCTGGAGTGGTAGTGGAAATTAATAGAATCTAGGATACGAAAAAACTAAAAAAAAAGCATTAATTGAAAATTTTTTGCTGTACTGGAACTGTAAAAATTGCGATATTTCAATTGGCGATTTTCGAAGGACGATAGAAATTTTCGACGAAACGAAGTCGAAAATGACTTCAGGATGTCGAAATCAACAAGAAAATGTCTAACTAATTTTCGAAAATGGCTGAAAAATGATCGAAAATGTCAAAAGTGTCAAAATCAGTCATATCTTATCAAATGCTAGCCCCGCCCACCCACCCTCTATTCTCTTGGCAGATATGTCATTTGCCAAAGACAGTCTTATCTTATCAAGTACTAGCCCTGCCCACCCCCAGTCTTCTCATCCTAAGGACTAATTTTATTTCTGCTCAGTATAAGATCATTCAGTGGAGACAGGGTGGGTGGGCGGGGCTAATTATGTTCTCCTATAAAGTGGTAGTGGAAATTAATAGAACTAAGGATATGAAAAAAGTAAAAAAAAAAGCGTTGATTGTAAATTTTTTTTGTACTAGAACTGTGAAAATTGCGACATTTCAATTGGCGATTTTGGAAGAACGATAGAAATTTTCAACGAAACGAAGTTAAAAATGACTTCTGGAATGTCGAAATCTTCAAGAAAATGTGTAATTTTCGAAAATGGTTGAAAAATGATCGAAAATGTCAGAAGTGTCAAAATCAGTCACCCACCCTCTATTCTCTTGGCAGATATGTCATTTGCCAAAAACAATCTTATCTTATCAAGTACTAGCCCTGCCCACCCCCAATCTTCTCATCCTAAGGACTAATTTTATTTCTGCTCAGTAGAAGGTCATTCAGTGGAGACAGGGTGGGTGGGCGGGGCTAATTATGTTCTCCTATGGAGTGGTAGTGTAAATTAATAGAATCTAGGATATGAAAAAAGTAAAAAAACCGTTAGTTGTAATTTTTTTGTTGTACTGGAACTGTAAAAATTGCGACATTTCAATTGGCGATTTTGCAACAACGATAGAAATTTTCAACGAAACGAAGTCGAAAATGACTTTTGGATGTGTAAAATCTACAAGAAAATGTCTAACTAATCTTCGAAAATGGTTGAAAAATGATCGAAAATGTCAAGTGTCAAAATCTATCATATCTTATGAAATGCTAGCCCCGCCTACCGTCAAAAATCAGTCATATTTTATCAAATGCTAGCGCCGCCCACCCACCCTCTATTCTCTTGACAGATATGTCATCTGCCAAAAAGATCTCATCTTATCAAGTACTCGCCCCGCGCACCCAACCTCTATTTTCTTGGATAATATGTCATTTGCCAAAATCTGTTTTATCTTAGCAAGTACTAGCCCCGCCCACCCCTAGTCTTCTCATCCTAAGGACTAATTTCATTTCTGCTCAGTATAAGATCATTCATTTCATTCAGACCGAATCAAGTTAATGATAAGAAATGAAGGCAGGGTGGGTGGGCGGGGATAATTATGTTCTCCTTTGGAGTAGTAGTGGAAATTAATAGAATCTAGCATAACAAAAAGGTTAAAAAAAAAACGTCGACTGTAAATTTTTTGTTATCCTACTTGCTACTGGAACTGTAAAAATTTCTATAGTTCATTCCGATTTTGGAAGAACGGTAGAAATTTTCGACGAAACGAAGTCGAAAATGACATCTGGATGTCGAAATATACAAGAAAATGTCTAGCTAATTTTTTAAAAAGGTTGAAAAATGGTCCAAAATGTCAAAATCAGTCATATCTTTTAAAACGCTAGCCCCGCCCACCCGCCCTCTATTCTCTTGGCAGATATGTCATCTGCCAAAAACAGTCTCATCTTATCAAGTACTAGCCCCGCCCACACACCCTCTATTTTCTTGGCAGATATATCATCTGCCAAAAACAGTTTCATCTTATTAGGTACTAGCCCCGCCCACCTGCCCTCTGTTTTCTTGGAGAATATGTCATTTGCCAAAATCTGTTTTATCTTAGCAAGTACTAGCCCCGCCCATCTCATCTTAAGGACTAATTTTATTTCTGCTAAGTATAAGATCATTCATTTCATTCAGACCGAATAAAGTTAATCACAAGAAATGAAGGCAGGGTGGGTGGGCGGGGTTAATTATGTTCTCATATGGAGTAGTAGTAGAAATTAATAGAATCTAGAATATGGAAAAAGTAAAAAAAAGCGTTAATGGGAAATTTTTTGTTATATTACTTGCTACTGGAACTGTAGCAATTGCTATATTTCAATTGGCGTTTTGAAAGAACGGTAGAAATTTTCGACGAAACGAAGTCGAAAATGACTTCTGGATGTCGAAATCTGCAAGAAAATGTCTGACTAATTTTCGAAAATGGTTGAAAAATGGTCGAAAATGTTAAAAGTGTCAAAATCAGTCATATCTAATCAAATGCTAGCCTCGCCCACCCACCCTCTATTCTCTTGGCAGATATGTCAATTGCCAAAAACAGTCTTATCTTATCAAGTACTAGCCCTGCCCACCCCCAGTCTTCTCATCCTAAGGACTAATTTTATTTCTGCTCAGTATAAGATCATTCAGTGGAGACAGGGTGGGTGGGCGGGGCTAATTATGTTCTCCTATGGAGTGATAGTGGAAATTAATAGAATCTAGGATATGAAAAATGTAAAAAAAGACGTTAATTGTAAATTTTTTGTTGTTCTAGAACTGTAAAAATTGCGATATTACAATTGGCGATTTTGGAAGAACGATAGAAATTTTCAACCAAACGAAGTCGAAAATGACTTCTGGAATGTCGAAATCTACAAGAACATGGCTAACTAATTTTCGAAAATAGTTGAAAAATTGTCAAAAATGTCAAAAGTGTCAAAAATCAGTCATATCTTATCAAATGCTAGCCCCGCCCACCCGCCTTCTATTCTCTTGGCAGATATGTCATTTGCCAAAAACAGTCTTATCTTATCAAGTAGTAGCCCTGCCCACCCCCAGTTTTCCCATCTTAAGGACTAATTTTATTTCTGCTCAGTATAAGATCATTCAGTGAAGACAGGGTGGGTGGGCGGGGCTAATTATGTTCTGCTATGGAGTGGTAGTGGAAATTAATATTATCTAGGATACGAAAAAAATAAAAAAACCGTTAATTGTAAATTTTTTGTTGTACTAGAACTGTAAAAATTGCGATATTTCACTTGGCGATGTTGGAACAACGATAGAATTTTCAACGAAACGAAGTCGAAAATGAGTTCTGGAATGTCGAAATCTACAAGAAAATGTCTAATTTTCGAAAATGGTTGAAAAATGATCTAAAATGTCAAAATCAGTCATATCTTATAAAACGCTAGCCCCGCCCACCCACCCTCTATTCTCTTGGCAGATATGTCATTTGCCAAAGACAGTCTTATCTTATCAAGTACTAGCCCTGCCCACCCCCAGTCTTCTCATCCTAAGGACTAATTTTATTTCTGCTCAGTATAAGATCATTCAGTGGAGACAGGGTGGGTGGGCGGGGCTAATTATGTTCTCCTATAAAGTGGTAGTGGAAATTAATAGAACCAAGAATATGAAAAAAGTAAAAAAAAAGCGTTAATTGTAAATTTTTTGTTGTACTGGAACTGTGAAAATTGAGACATTTCAATTGGCGATTTTGGAAGAACGATAGAAATTTTCAACGAAACGAAGTCAAAAATGACTTCTGGAATTTCAAAATCTTCAAGAAAATGTCTAATTTTCGAAAATGGTTGAAAAATGATCGAAAATGTCAGAAGTGTCAAAATCAGTCACCCACCCTCTATTCTCTTGGCAGATATGTCATTTGCCAAAAACAATCTTATCTTATCAAGTACTAGCCCTGCCCACCCCCAGTCTTCTCATCCTAAGGACTAATTTCATTTCTGCTCAGTATAAGATCATTCATTTCATTCAGACCGAATAAAGTTAATGATAAGAAATGAAGGCAGGGTGGGTGGGCGGGGATAATTGTGTTCTCCTATGGAGTAGTAGTGGAAATTAATAGAATCTAGCATAAGAAAAAAGTTAAAAAAAAAAACGTCGACTGTAAATTTTTTGTTATCCTACTTGCTACTGGAACTGTAAAAATTGCTATATTTCATTCCGATTTTGGAAGAACGGTAGAAATTTTCGACGAAACGAAGTCGAAAATGACATCTGGATGTCGAAATATACAAGAAAATGTCTAGCTAATTTTTTAAAATGGTTGAAAAATGGTCCAAAATGTCAAAATCAGTCATATCTTTTAAAACGCTAGCCCCGCCCACCCGCCCTCTATTCTCTTGGCAGATATATCATCATGAAGGAAGGGTGGGTGGGTGGGGTTAATTATGTTCTCATATGGAGTAGTAGTAGAAATTAATAGAATCTAGAATATGGAAAAAGTAAAAAAAAAGCGTTAATTGGAAATTTTTTGTTATATTACTTGCTACTGGAACCGTAGCAATTGCTATATTTCAATTGGCGTTTTGAAAGAACGGTAGAAATTTTCGACGAAACGAAGTCGAAAATGACTTCTGGATGTCGAAATCTGCAAGAAAATGTCTAACTAATTTTCGAAAATGGTTGAAAAATGGTCGAAAATGTTGAAAGTGTCAAAATCAGTCATATCTTATCAAATGCTAGCCCCGCCCACCCACCCGCTATTCTCTTGGGAGATATATCATCACCCCCAGTCTTCTCATCCTAAGGACTAATTTTATTTCTGCACAGTATAAGATCAGTCAGTGGAGACAGGGTGGGTGGGCGGGACTAATTATGTTCTCTAATGGAGTGGTAGTGGAAATTAATAGAATCTAGGATATGAAAAAAGTAAAAAAAAAGTAAAAAATACGTTAACATTTTTTGTTATACTACTTGCTACTAGAATTGTAAAAATTTCTATATTTTAAGTAGCGATTTTGGTCCAAGCTTGATGGTTTCCTTGGTATTGTCGGTCCTATTTGGTGCCGGAAACGATAGAAAACACAAGAAAAAGCTTAAAAAGTAACATTGATGTTCTTTTAACAACTTCCTAAATCTACAAAGGGTAGAATATGTAAACTATACCCAATCGTCTCCTTTTCGCAAAATAAGTCGAAATATACTACAGAACTCATAAAATTCGACAAAAATATGAAACAATTAATTTTAGTAATTTAGTACCTACCGGACTCGGACTCGTCGCTGTACTGCGAATCCTGCCTCCCCGTCATGGAATTGCCCCTACTAGACACCCCGTTGGAGTTAACCCCTCGGAAAAACCGGCTTTCCTTGTTGGGTCCTTTGGGATAAAACGAGCGTCTGGGAATAACCCCGGCTTGTTCATCCTACAACAAAACTCATCACAACCACCCCAACCACTTTCACATACTTACATCTCTCAAATTAAACGTAATCTCTAAATTATTCATGAACTGATTATAAAACTCCGGATACAGTTCTAGCACGTCTAAGAGATCATCTCTATGTATCTTATGTAAATCACAGTACGTCAAAGCCCTAACGTTGCAGCTTGACTTTCCCAATGTGGGATGTAAACAGGGATTCTCCCCGAAAATATCGTATTTACCTAGAACACCCTCCTTAGTGACAGTCGTCGCCGCCGCCGCCGCCCCACTCACCTAAAATAGCCATCACAATATCGTCACGAAGTATCTCGATCGACCCCCTCGATATGAAATACAGCGACGACAGCACGTCCCCCCGGTGCACCAGGGTGTCCCCCGGCGGCGCGTGCGTCGTCTTGAACTTCAACGTGAAGGCCCGGAGGCACCCCGGGCTGGCGCCGTCGAAGACGCTGCAGTTCTGCAGGAGGTTGCGGTTGAGGTGGAGGCAGATGTCGGCCTGGAGGCACTCCGGGAAGCCCTTCAACACCGAGTTCATGTCGATGCCGTTGGTGAAGGTCCACGCGTGCTGGAAGTATTCCTCGAGGCGCTGCCGCAGCGGGTTGGGGATCTGGTGGAAGCGGATGAACTCCCGCACGCGCAGCATCTGCGTGTGGTACCGGGCGGTGCCGGAGTACAGCCGCTGGATGATGGCCGAAACGTTGCCGAAGATGCTGGCGTACATTAGGGCTAGAATCGGGAAATGCGGAAATCAACAAAAATCGAATCGGCTATCGGAAACGTCCAACGAAATCCAATAATTGTGCACGGCGCGTCCGAAACCAATAAATATTTCATGTTTGTTTTTAGGGGCCACGCCTACGAACGTCCGGGATTCATTTGTCGGTGAGATTAATCGTGATTTTAATTTCGGTTTGCCGCAATGAGGATTCCGTTGATTGTGTGTCCGAGTTAAGATGCGGATTTATTAAGGCGTCTTTCAGCGGGATGGGGCTTATCTAATTCGTCTGACGTCAGAAATAGATTAAGGCAAATGTTGGCCTTGGCATTGCGCGGTTTCAGAGGTTAGATGAAAAAGTTAATGAGAAAAAGGCAAAAAGCGGGGCTTCTGGGAATGAAAGTGGGGTGGGAACATCGAATTGTCGTTAGAGGGGTGGTGGAATTTTATCCATTTATGAGAGTCGTGAAACTCTGGAAAAGCAAACAAATGTAACAATTTTCATTCCAACGGGTAACTTTTTCAACCATGAGTGGTTAATTAATACAAAAAATTGGTCAAAGGTTTTGGTAGTTACTTCAGTTTTTCGATTTGAGTTTCTCAAGTTTTCAATTCTTAAGTTTCCAATTTTTTTATTACTTAACTTCTCATTTTCTTTATTTTTACGGTTTCTCAATTTTTCAATGTTCCGATTTTATAATTTTTATTTTTTCAGTTTCAATTTCTTCATTTTTTCGTTTTCTCAATTTTAATTTTGTCAATTTTACGATTTAAAATTTCTCCAGTTTTCGATTTTTAAATTTCCAATTTTTTGATTCCTTAATTTTTAATTTATTTCAATTTTCAATTTGGAATTTTTGGTTTAGGTTTTTATGTTCTTTGTTTTCACGGTTTCTCAATTTTTCAGTGTTCCGATGTTATAAATTTTTGTTTTTTCAATTTCAATTTCTGCATTGTTTCCTTTTCTCAATTTTAATTTTGTCAATTTTTCTATTTGCGATTTTTCAATGTTTATTTTTTTTTAATTTTTAGATGTTGCAATTTTCCGATTTAAAAATTTTCGACTTTTCAAGTTTTTGATTTCTTAATTTTTTATTTCTTCGAATTTTCGATTTGCAATTTTTGGTTTTAGTTTTTCATTTTTTTTATTTTTACAGTTTCTCAATTTTTCAATGTCCCGATTTTATAATTTTTGTTCTTTCAATTTCACTTTCATCATTTTTTCGTTTCCTCAATTTTAATTTTGTCAAATTTTTGATTTAAAATTTGTTTAGTTTTCATTTTTTAAATTTCCAACTTTTGGTAGTCTTTTCATTTTCTTTATTTTTATAGTTTCTCAATTTTTCAATCTTCCGATTTTTTAACTTTTGTTTTTTCAATTCCAATTTCTTCATTGTTTCGTTTAATCAAATTCAATTTTTGGCATTTTTCAATTTTTCGAATTAAAATTCCCCTAGTTTTCAATTTTTAAAACCCCAATTTTTGTATTCCTTAATTTTTCATTCGATTTGCAATTTTTGGCCTAGGTTTTCAATTTTCTGTTTTTTGACAGTCCCTCAATTTTTCAATGTCAATTTTTTTTTTCAATTTCAATTTCTTCATTGTTTTGTTTTGTTAAATTTAATTTTGGAAATTTTTCTATTTGCGATTTTTCAATTTTTTTTTCTTCAATTTTTGGATTTTGCAATTTTCCGATTTAAAAATTTTCGAATTTTCAATTTTTTGTTCTTTCAATTTCAATTTCTTCATTTTTTCGTTTTCTCGATTTTATGTTTGTCAATTTTTCGATTTGTGGTTTTTCAATTTTTCGATTTAAAATTTCTCTAGTTTTCGATTTTCAAATTTCCAATTTTTTGATTCCTTAATTTTTCATTTATTCAAATTTTCGATATGAAATTTTTGTTTCGGTTTTTCATTTTTTCGTATTATCAATTTTAATTTTGTCAGTTTTTTTATTTGCGATTTTTCATTTTTTTTTTCAATTTTTAGATTTGCAATTTTCCGATTTAAAAATTCTCAAGTTTTCAATTTTTTAATTCCCTAATTTTTCATTTCTTCAAATTTTCGAATTGCAATTTTTTGTTTCGGGTTTTCATTTTCTTTATTTTTACAGTTTATCAATTTTTCAACGTTCCGATTTTATAACTTTTTGTTTTGCGAATATCAATTTATTCATTTTTTTTTTTTTCAATTTTAATTATATCAATTTTTCGATTAGCGATTTAGGTATACATTTTTCGTTTTTTTTTTCATCAATTTTTTGAATCCCTTAATTTTTCATTTCTTTAAATTTTCGATTCGCAATTTTTGGTTTTGTTTTTCATTTTCTTTATTTTTACAGTTTCTCAATTTTTCAATGTTCCGATTTTGTAATTTTTGTTTTTTCAATTTCAATTTCTTCATTTTTTCGTTTTCTCAATTTTAATTTTGTCAGTTTTTCGATTTAAAATTTCCCTTGTTTTCAATTTTTAAAACCCCAATTTTTTTATTTCATAATTTTTCATTTATTTAAATTTTCGATTTGCAATTTTTGGCCTAGATTTTTAATTTTCTTTTTTTTGACAGTCCCTCAATTTTTCAATGTTAAAATTTTTTCAATTTCAATTTCTTCATTGTTTTGTTTTGTGAATTTTAATTTTGTGAATTTTTCTATTTGCGATTTTTCAATTTTTTTTCTTCAATTTTTGGATTTTGCAATTTTCGGATTTAAAAATTTTCGAATTTTCAATTTTTTGTTCTTTCAATTTCAATTTCTTAATTTTTTTGTTTTCTCGATTTTATGTTTGTCAATTTTTCGATTTGTGGTTTTTCAATTTTTCGATTTAAAATTTCTCTAGTTTTCGATTTTCAAATTTCCAATTTTTTGATTCCTTAATTTTTCATTTATTCAAATTTTCGATTTGAAATTTTTGTTTCGGTTTTTCATTTTTTCGTATTATCAATTTTAATTTTGTCAGTTTTTCTATTTGCGATTTTTCATTTTTTTTTTCAATTTTTAGATTTTGCAATTTTCCGATTTAAAATTTCTCGAGTTTTCAATTTTTTTAATCCCTTAATTTTTCATTTCTTTAAATTTTCGATTCGCAATTTTTGGTTTAGTTTTTCATTTTCTTTATTTTTACAGTTTCTCAATTTTTCAATGTTCCGATTTTATAATTTTTGTTTTTTCAATTTCAATTTCTTCATTTTTTCGTTTTCTCAATTTTAATTTTTTCAGTTTTTCGATTTGTGATTTTTCAATTTTTCGATTTAAAATTTCCCTAGTTTTCAATTTTTAAACCCCCAATTTTTTTATTCCTTAATTTTTCATTTGTTTAAATTTTCGATTTGCAATTTTTGGCCTAGGTTTTTAATTTTCTTTTTTTGACAGTCCCCAATTTTTCAATGTTTTTTTTTTTCAATTTCAATTTCTTCATTGTTTTGTTTTGTCAAATTTAATTTTGGAAATTTTTCTATTTGCGATTTTTCAATTTTTTTTCTTCAATTTTTGGATTTTGCAATTTTCCGATTTAAAAATTTTCGAATTTTCAATTTCTTTATTTTTTCCTTTTCTCGATTTTATGTTTGTCAATTTTTCGATTTGTGGTTTTTCAATTTTTCGATTTAAAAGTTCTCTAGTTTTCGATTTTCAAATTTCCAATTTTTTGATTCCTTAATTTTTCATTTCTTTAAATTTTCGATTTGAAATTATTGTTTCGGTTTTTCATTTTTTCGTATTATCAATTTTAATTTTGTCAGTTTTTCTATTTGCGATTTTTCAATTTTTTAAATCTCTAATTTTTCATTTCTTCAAATTTTCGAATTGCAATTTTTTGTTTGCGTTTTTCATTTTCTTTATTTTTACAGTTTATCAATCTTTCAATGTTTCGGTTTTATAACATTTTGTTTTGTGATTATCAATTTTTCATTTTTTATTTTTTTTTCAGTTTTAATTATATCAATTTTTCGATTAGCGATTTTTAAATTTTTCGTTTTTTTTTTCTTCAATTTTTTGAATCCTTAATTTTTCATTTCTGTAAATTTTCGATTCGCAATTTTTGGTTTATTTTTTTCATTTTGTTTATTTTTAGAGTTTCTCAAATTTTAATTTCCCGATTTTTATAATTTTTTGTTTTTTCAATTTCAATTTCTTCATGTTTTCGTTTTCTCAATTTTAATTTTGTCAATGTTTCTATTTGCTATTTTTCAATTTTTCATTTTTTTTTCTATAATTTTTAGATTTTGCAATTTTCCAATTTAAATTTTGGAGTTTTCAGTTTTTAAATTTTCAAGTTTTTGATTCCTTAATTTTTCATTTCTTCAAATTTTTGATTTGCAATTTTTGGTTTAGTTTTTCATTTTCTTTATTTTTACAGTTTCTCAATTTTACAATTTTACGATTTTTATAATTTTTTGTTTTTCAATTTCAATTCCTTCATTTTTTCGTTTTCTCAATTTTAATGTTGTTAATGTTTCTATTTACTAGTTTTCAATTTTTCATTTTTTTTTTCCTATAATTTTTAGATTTTGCAATTTTCCAATTTAAAAATTCTCGCGTTTTGGGTTGTTTTTAAATTTTCAATTTTTGGATGTTTCAATTTTTGATTTGTAATTTTTTCGTTTCAATTTTTCGTTTTTTGAGTTTTTTTTAATCTTTCATTTTTTCAATTTTAGATTTTTCAGTTTCCCTATTTGTCAATTTTTTTTTCTTCAATAATTTATGATTAGCAATTTTTCTAGTTATGATTATAAAAATTATAATTAATTATTTTAAATATGCAATAATTAATTATAATGTTTAAAATATTTCACTTTTTCAATTTTAGAATTTTTCCATTTTTCTGTTATTGGATTTTCAAACTTTTTCATTTATTCGGTTTTTCAAATTTCTCGATATTTCATATTTTAATTTTTTTTGTTTTTTCTTTCCAATGTTCCGATTTTTAGTTTTTCAATATCTCAATTTTTCGTTTTTCCACTTCTTCGATTTGCAATTTATTTTCCACTTTTTGATTTTGCAATTTTTCGATTTTTAATTTTTTTGGGTTTTCAGTTTTTCAATTTTTCAACTTTTCGAACCAAACAAATGGAAAAATTCAAAAATTATAAAATTGAAAAATCAAAAATCAAAAAATATAAAAGAAAACTTTCAAATATCTAAAAATAAAAAAATCAAGAACTAGAAAAATATAAGAAACGAAAAATTGAGAAACACAAAAAACGAAAAATTGCAAAATTGAAAAAACGAAATATTTTAAAATCAAAATATTGAAAATTAAACAAATCGGAGATTGCAAAAATTGAAAAATTGGAAAATTGAGGAATTGAAAAATCGAAAATTGAAAATAATTACATATAAAATCGAAAAAACATTGAAAAATTGGGGGAACGAAAAATTTAAAAATCGAAAAACTAAAAATTGAGAAACTGAAAAATCCAAAATGAAAAACTAAAATCGAAAAATTGGAAATCGAAAAATTAAGGAAACGAAAAATTGAAAAATTTGGAAGTCGAAAAATTGAAAATTTGAAAAAAATCAAAATTGTAAAAACGAAAAATTGTGATATCGAAGAAAAAGGAAAAACGAAAAACTGTGTGACAGTCAGTACTGTGTTCCCAAATTTCCGGGAAACCGAAATAAGTTATTCCAAAAATTGTAAATGTGTTGATACACCACAAGTATAGTCATAGTAAGGGATGCTTTATTCGGTAAAATTTTAAGATCACGTCATCAATTTTTTGGGAGGGGATAAACGCACAAATTTTGATTAACGATTTACTATGCTTACGATAACCTGAAGACGTTTGTAAGATTATCCTAGTCCAGAAGTTTCGAAAGTCTGATCAAAATCCGGACAGACGGCAGACAGACAGACAGACAGACAGACAGACAGACGAAAGCAGGAGACCTATTTCTATTAGCTTACGCTCGGTAAGTAAAATGGCACGACGCCACTGCCGAAGTCTATTTTTCTATTTTTCACACCAGACCCAATAAAAAATCGCGTAAATATTTACTCACATCCCGCCAACATAACACAGATGGTGAAAATCTTCTCAGCATCCGTGTTGGGTGCGACGTTGCCGAATCCCACGCTGGTCAGTGACGTGAACGTGAAGTACAGCGCCGTCACATATCGGCTCTTTATACTCGGCCCTCCGGTGTTGTTAGGGCCATAGAACTGGTGAGTGTCATTGGCCAGAATCTCCAACCAGCCGATTTTCGAGTGGTTCTCGGCGTTGCCGATTGCGTACCTATATAAATATGACATATAGTTTGTTATCATTGGCGACTAGATGTGTGCCGCGAGGTTGTGTAGCGGCAATCGTCTAGTCACTTGTGTGTGATAGCGGGTTCGGGGGGCGTGGCGTACCATATACAGGCCAGCCAATGGGCGATGAGCGCGAAGGTGGCCATGAGTAGCAGCAGAACGGCGGCGCCATATTCAGAGTATCTGTCGATTTTTCGTGCTACACGTACTAAACGTAGGAGGCGAGCAGTCTTAAGTAGTCCAATCAGGGTTGTGGTCTGGAAGAGAACGTGTCGGAATTGAGTGTGATTGGTTGGTCGGCGTGGTGGGGGTTGCTTGGAATGATGTAAGCGGCTATTGCTAGTTGTATGTACATGTTTCGCCACTGGAAAGGCGTGCTGGGGTGACGGGTTATAGAAAAAGTTGTGTTAAAAACGTGAAAAAAAAGATGTAAATGCACTGCCGGGTTAATTTTTTTTAAAACACATTTTATTTCTATGGCCATAAAGTCATTTTTATAGACACATTAAAAATAGATGAGTGCTCATATGTAAGAGAGAGAGAGATGGAAAGCTGCTGTTTCAGCATAATTTTTTAACATAAAAATAAAAAATAAATTAGCAAAGCAAATGAATATTTGCTATCCAAATTTGACAGTGCTTGTATTTTACGTCATTTGATTGTTTCTGTGGAATTTTGTAAAAGCCTGATTTGAATGTAATTTTATTTTTTATTTTCATCTTTCTTCTACTTTTTTGTCGCTATTGTAATCTTTTCCAATGTTATGTCTCTGGAAAGTCAGAATTGAGAATATTTTGACATATTAAAAATAGATGCATTTCTGATAAGTGCTCATATGTAAAAAGAGAGATAGAAAGATTCAGTTATAGTAGATATATATTTTTGACACAAAAATAACAAATAAATTATGAAACAAACTGAATACTTCCTGTCTAAATTTGACGGTTCCTGTATATTTGATTGTTTTAAAAATAAAAAATTGGTCGGAAGTTGTTTCGCCAGAACTTCGCTCGCTCCTGACGTACAATGAAACATATTCGAGTTGATTTAATGAATAAAATAAATTGTCTCATTCATTAATTTTTTTGAGCCACCTGTTTAAGCAAATCTAAACGAGAAGCAGGCTTCACGAAAGCGTTGTGTACAATATTATTTGCAACAAATAAACTTTTAAAAGATTAACTGTGAGTTATTTATAAAAAACGACGTAATAATAACAATATTTTTAATAATTTTCAAGTGTTGGTCTCGCTGAAAATAAAACTATTTCTGTAAATTATTAAAAATGATGCAGACGGGTAGTGACGATGAATAAATTTCGACCGCCCTGCTTTATTTAAACAATGACGTTGACGGCGCCGTAAACACTTAACAATTTGATGTTTCCGAGCTAGGTTACCATGGCAACGGACAGCAAAAAGCACCTGTGCGCGATGTTCGACCTCCCGCATGCTGTTGACGGCGCGGAGGTCACAAAAAAGGTCATGGGTGCAAAAAATTAATTTACGGCACATTATTATCGGAAGAATGTCACGTAGACATTTGTTTGATTTGAATGAGTTTATCGCCCCAAAATAGATGACTAAAATTATTCATAAGCCTCAATTGAACAAAATATTTGGAATGTTATTATTATAGTTTACCTTATCATTATTTTATTGCTAGCAAGTCGACCCACCCGCCCCTATTTTCTCAGAAGATATGTCGTTTGCCAAAATCAGTCTTATCTGAGAAGATACTAGCAAGTACTACCCTCTGAGAAAATAAAGGGTGGGTGGGCGGGGTTAGTACTTGCTAACATAAGTCTTATTTTGGCAAATGACATATCCTTTGGGAAAATAGGGGGCGGGTAGGCGAGCCTAGTAGTTGTTGAGATAAAACTGATTTTACCCCTATTAAAAACACTTGTGCAATTTAAAGGCGGTACCTAAATTGCAAATTTCCATAGTAATGAATTAAATTCGTAAGTTCACCCGAAATGTGCAAAAGTTTTTACTTGTGATTTATCATTAGATTTGCCCCCTATTTTCTCAGAGGATATACCATTTGCCAAAATTAGTCTTATCTTAGCAAGGACTATCCCCGCCCACCCGCCCCTATTTTCTTAGAGGGTATTGCATCTGCAAAAATCAGTCTTATCTTAGCTATTACTAACCCCGCCCACCCGCCCCTATTTTCTCAGAGGATATGTCATTTGCCAAAATCAGTCTTATCCGAGCAGGTACTAGCAAGTACCACCCTCTGAGAAATTAAAGGGTGGGTGGACGGGGCTAGTACTTACTAATATAAGTCTTATTTTGGCAAATGACATATCCTCTGAGAAAACGGGGGCGGATGGGCGGGGCTAGTACTTGGTAAGATAAGACTGATTTTGGTAGATGACATACCTTCTAAGAAAGTAAAGGGTGGGTGGGCGGGGTTAGGACTTGCTAACATAAGACTGATTTTGGCAGATAACATATCCTCTGATAAAATAGGGGGCGGGTGGGCGGGCCTGGTATTTGTTAAGGTATAACTGATTTTGTCCGTATTAATCTTGTAACAACTTGTGAAAGTTAGAGGTGTTACATTGCAAATTTCCATAGTAACAATTTAAATTCCTAAGTCTACCCGAAATGTGCAAACATTTTTACTTGTGATTTATCATTGCATTTATATTTTTTAGATTTGTCCCCTATTTTCTCAGAGGATATATCATTTGCCAAAATTAGTCTTATCTTAGCAAGGACTATTTCCGCCAACCCGCCCCCTATTTTCTTAGAGGGTATTGCATCTGCCAAAATCAGTCTTATCTTAGCTATTACTAACCCCGCCCACCCGCCCCTATTTTCTCAGAGGATATGTCATTTGCCAAAATCAGTCTTATCCGAGCAGGTACTAGCAAGTACCACCCTCTGAGAAATTAAAGGGTGGGTGGACGGGGCTAGTACTTACTAATATAAGTCTTATTTTGGCAAATGACATATCCTCTGAGAAAACGGGGGCGGGTGGGCGGGGCTAGTACTTGGTAAGATAAGACTGATTTTGGCAGATGACATACCTTCTAAGAAAGTAAAGGGTGGGTGGGCAAGGCTAGTACTTGCTAAGACCAGACTTATTTCGGCAGATGACATATCCTCTAGGAAAATAAGGGGTGTGTGGGCGGAACTACTATTTGTTGAGCTAAAGCTGATTTTGCCCCTATTAATCTTGTAAATACTTGTGAACTTTAGAGGTGTTAAATTGCAAATTTCCATAGTAACAAATTAAATTCCTAAGCCTACCCGAAATGTGCAAAAATTTTTACTTGTGATTTATCATTGCATTTATGTTTTTTATTTTCTCACAGGATATGTCATTTGCCAAAAACAGTCTTATCTGAGCAGGTAATAGCAAGTACTACCCTCTGAGAAAACAAAGGGTGGGTGGGCGGGGCTAGGACTTGCTAACATAAGACTGATTGTGACAGATAACATATCCTCTGAGAAAATAGGGGGCGAGTGGGCGGGGCTAGTACTTAATAAGATAAGACTGATTTTGGCACATGACATACCCTCTAAGAAAGTAAAGGGTGTCGATTGCTAAGATCAGACTTATTTCGGCAAATGAGATATCCCCTGGGAAAATAGGGGGCGGGTGGGCGTACCTAGTATTTGTTAAGATAAAACTGATTTTGATTAGTTGTGAATTATAATTGCATTAATATTTTTTAGTTTCTTGATTTTTTAGAATATGTACTTCCGCTGCAAAAGCCTAATTTGAATGTAGTTTTAGTTACTATAATAGTAGATAATAGATTTCATATGTGACGATTCATTTTTCTTGTACTTTTTTATCGCCATCGTAAACTTCTCTGATTTTATTTCTATGGAAAGTCAAAATTGAGAACGTTTTGACTTTTTCATGTCAAGATTTGACCGTTGTGATGCAAAACGTCACTTCTATAGACGTATTAAAAATAGATGAATTTCTGATAAGTGCGTAAATAAGTATGGTGTTTGCCAAAATATCTCAGCAAGTACTAACCCCGCCCACCCTCCACTATGTTCTCAGAGGATATGTGATTTGCCAAAATGAGACTTATCTTAGCAAGTACTACTCTCAGAGAAAATGAAAGGCGGGTGGGCGGGCCTATTATTTGTTTTGTTAAGATAAAACTGATTTTGCCCCTATTAACCTTGTAGAAACTTCTGAAATTTAAAGGTGTTAAATTGCAAATTTCCATAGTAACGAGGTAAATTCTTATGTCTACCTGAAATGTGAAAATATAATGAGTTTTTGTTTGTGATTAATCATTGCATTTATATTTTTTAGTTTCTTGTTTTTTTATGAAATTTACTTCAGCTGTAAAAGCCTAATTTGAATGTAGCTTTAGTATTTTAATAGTAGATAATAAATTTCACATGTGACGATTCATTTTTCTTGTAGGTACTTTTTTCTCGCCATCGTAATCTTCTCCCATTTTAGTTTTATAGAAAGTCAGAATTGAGAACGATTGACTTTTTCATGTCAAAATTTGACAGTTGTAATGCAAAAAGTCATTTCTATAGACATATTAAAAATAGATGAATTTCTGATAAGTCCTCATATGTAAAAGAGAAATAGAAAGATTCAGTTATTGTATATATTTTTGACATAAAAATAACAAATAAATTATAAAAGCAATTTAATATTTCCTATCTAAATTTGAGGGCTCCTATGCATTTGATTGTTTCTGTAGGAACTTTGTTTCAACTGTAAAAGCCCGATTTAAATATAACTTTAGTTTATTTTGGCATTTGCCAAAGTCAGTCTTATCTTAGCAAGTATTAGCCCCTCCTACCCGACCTCTATTTTCTCAGTGGGTACGGCGTTTGCACAAATCAATCTTGTCTGCGCAAGTACTAGCCCCGCCCACCCGCCCCTATTTTCTCAGAGGATATGTCATTTGCCAAAATAAGACTTATCTTAGGAAGCACTAACAAGTACTACCTTCTGGGAAACTAAAGGGCTGGTGGGCGGGGCTAGTACTTGCTAAGTACAAGTCTAATTTTGGCAAATGATATATCGTCTGAGAAAATAGCGGGTGGGTGGGCGGGGCTAGTACTTGGTTAGATAAGAGTGATTTTGGCAGATGACATATCCTCTGGAAAACTAGGGGGCGGGTGGGCGGGCCTAGTATTTTTTAACATAAAGCTGATTTTGCCTTTATTAATCTTGTGAAAACTTGTGAACTTTAAGGGTATTAAATTGCAAATTTCCATAGTAACGAGTTAAATTCCAAAGTCTATCCGAAATGTACAAAAGTTTTTACTTGTGATTTATCATTGCAATAATATTTTTTAGAATTGGTTACACAGGTGGCTCAAAAAAATTAATGTACGTGGCAATTTATTTTATTAATTAAATCAGGAACGGCTTACTCCATTTTCCCAGAAAATTTTGGGAATACAATACTGTTATTTTAAGTAAGTATTACAGTGCACCAGTCGAAGTTGATATACGTGACGTTGCAAAAATGTTGACGACGTCATCACGAAATTCTGTACAGTACAAACTCAATTCAAAAATGCTGAATATGTTTCACTGTACTTTAGAAGCGATGAAAGTTGTGTGGAAACAGTTTTAGACCAATCTTTTCATGCCAATTTTTGGGGTTGTGACGCAAAAAGTCATGTCTATAGACATATTAAAAAAAAAAGCCGTTTTAGTAAATATTTTTAACATAAAAATAAAATATACTGAATTATCAAAGCAATTGAACTTTTTTTTTGAGTTTTTCACGTCAAAATTTGACCGTCGTGATGCAACGTCTATAGACATTAAAATTGATGAATTTCTGATCAGCATTCATGTGTAGAAGAGAGATGGAAAGATGCCGGTTTAGTATACATTTCTGTGCAAACGGCCATATGTGTCAGAGAGAGACAACTATCGTATTTTATTAAAGTAGTTTCGATTTTTGGTATATATTTTTGCTTGCTGTGTAAACGCATTTTGTAGTTGTTTTATTTTGAATTACGTTAGCTCAGAGGTTAGGTCAACACCAGTTTTACATTATCCTAATTATTAATTCCATTCTCTGTTTGCTAATTGTCACACATGACTGCATAATTTAAAACGAATATTGATTAAAACCAATGCTGTGTCAATGGAAATTGGTCTTTAAATATTTCATATGTACATATCCAACAAAGCGTTTTTTCCTTTCCAGTGACTTGTAGTGTGGGTACCCGTGTGTATTTACAGCTCCTCAGACCCCAAACCAACGTGCCCTCTTTACCTCTTGCCCTCGTGAACAAAAACATGCGCCATGCGGAGAAGTGTACACGTGTAAGCTGCAGGTCAAAAATCAGTAAACCGAGAATTCTGCGATGTGTCCACACACCACAAAATCCCCGCAAAAATGCACCAAACTACGTTAACTACCTCGTCTTTATCCAAGCCCAACTATAGAAAAGAATCTCTGTTTTAAAAATGATCATTAGTCAAAAAAAGAGTTGCTCAATGAAAAGATGGAGTGATCTAACGAACCCAAAAATCACGAAAAACTGCGATCTTTGAGTCGGTTCTAGCTACGTATCCTCCCACTTAACAGTGTCGTTATCAGACTATCAACAACGAACATTCCCTTCATCAAAAATGCAACATTTATAGAACACCAACGGCGAGGTTAGGGTTCGAGACTTACTTCGTCCGTGTCGCTGCCGAAAAACAGCAAATCGAAAGGCACAGCGGCCACCAGGTCGATGAAGAACCATCCTTTTAAGTAGTGAACTGCTATCCGGACCGGGTCGGAGACGATCTCGTCGTTGCCACTTACGTAGGTGGTCCTGAAGTTGATCAAGATGTCGATGATGAAGGTGACGTCGACTGGAAAAGGAAAAAAATCAAGAGAGTTAAGTTTTATCCTCGCTAGTTTGCGGTAAACGTTAAATTTCTTGTTCCTGGCAGACAATAGTGCGGGATTACAATCGGTTGAGTGTTACTTCACAATTGGCGATCGGTTTCTCGTTAATGAAATCTTGAGAGACGTAGAGGAATCGATAACGAGGGAACGCCAGGAATTGATGATTTAAAAAGAGCTTGAACTTGAGTGGAAGGTCTCCGGTGAACATTTCTCGCACCACCGAATATAAAGAACATAAATATAGAAAGCTAAAATTATAGTGTGACTGTGACCCATTTTAACTTCTTTCATACCAATTAGATGGCTTTCAGCTTCTTCTGATTGAAAAACATCATCAGCTTGTCGGAAAAACCCGGCGCGTTTTAGTGGGTGTTTTGCAACAAAAGGGAGTTCGTAGATATTACCTAGGTTTATTTAATATCCAAAACTCGGACAGAATAATGGATTGAGTTTGTGCGCTCCAGCATACATCGATCGGTGATGTACTTATGTGTCCATTATTGTTTCAAGTTTTTTCTGTTCCCTCTACATTTTTAATTCAGAAACGAGATAAACAGTTTAATGTGTTAAGATTCGAACGATTTTATTTATGCTGTGGTTTGTTTTTAAAATTTGCCTCAATAAACTGAGAGTCGTTCCGCAGACAGTGTTTACGTAAAACATTTTTACTGACAACTTTATACAAAATCCTGAATTAATCCAAACTTTTGAAAGTAAAAAGCAGAGTCTAAACAAGCTCCGAACACATGTTATGCGGAATGGGTTATGGTAACGTTGTTTCTAAAGCGAACGCTGCAGCATCAGTAAAAAAGTATATATTTTTTCGACTACAAAACTTAATAGTAACAATATTCTTAACAATTTTTACAGAATTTGTACGGAAATATTAGTTGAACAAAATATTATTTTAGCAAAAACACTTTATGTATAAAATAATTCCGGCTCAACTTGACGGTACTCCCGTGGACTGAATTGACTGAATAATCACGTTCCGTTTAAATTCGTACTTCCCTTCTAGATGATTCGCAATCGAGGTCTTTCTGGAATACCCATTGCGATTTCCGCTTCCAGGCTTTCCTTTAGCGAACGGCGCCCAGCCGCCGTCATCAGGAATGAGTTATCAGTTACCATCGCCGTACATACTAGAACCCATAGACATCGTACCGGGGCGGCGTATGGGTTTCTTTCATAACAGTAGTTTGCAAGAATTTCGGGGATTCCTTGTCCTGATTTTGCAGTAATTTGAAAGAATCTCGAGAATCTCTTGTATCTTGGTTTCTCAAGTACTTTGAAGGAATTTCGGAATCCCTTGTATTGCTTTTGAAGTAATTTGAAAGAATCTCGGGGATTCCCTGTGTCTGGTTTTTGAAGTAGTTTCAACGAATTTCGAAGACCTCTTGTGTGTTGGTTTTGACGTAGTTTGAAAGAATCTCGGGAATACCTCGTGTTTGTTTTTGAAGTAGTTTGAAAAATTTTGGGGATTCCTTGTCTTGTTTTTGAAGTAGTTTCGAGGATCTCGCGAATCCTTTGTATTTTGTTTTTGAAGTAGTCGAAAAGAATCTCGAGCACATCCTGTGGGTCTCGCTTCTGAGGTACTTTGAAAGAATCTCGAGGATCATTTGTGTCTTGGTTTTTAAAGTAGTTTGAAAAAATTTCGGAGATCCCTTGACTTGCTTTTGAAGTAGTTTGAAAGAATCACGAAGACATCCTATGTCTCTCGTTTTTGAAGTATTTCAAAAGAATCTTGCGGATCCCTTGTGCCTGGTTTGGAGTAGTTTGAAAGAATTTCGGGAATCCCTTGTCTTGTATTTGAAGTACTTTGAAAGAAATCTCGGGGATCATTCCTGAGTCTGGTTTTTGAAGTAGTTTGAAAGAATTTCGTTATTCCTTTGTGTTTTTTTAAAGGATCTCGGGGAACTTTCTGTGTATTATTTTTTAAGCAATTATTAGAATATCGGAGATCCCTTGTCTTGTTTTTGAAGTATTTTGAAAGAATCTCGAGGACCTCCTGTGCAGCTGTGTTTTTGAACTAGTTTGAAAGAATCTCGGAAATCCCTTGTCTTGTTTTTGAAAAATATTGAAGCAATTTTGAAGAATTTTTGTTTTTGAATTAATTTCGAGAATCTCCTGTGCCTTGGTTTTTAAAGTACATAGTTTGAAAGAATTTCGGGGATCGCTCGTCTTGTTTTTGAAGTAATTTGAAAGAAACCTGGAGGACCAGCCTTTAGTCTGGGTTTTGAAGTAGTTTGAAAGAATCTCGGGGTTGCCTTGTCCTGTTTTTGAAATAATTTCAAGAATCTCGAGAATCCTTTGTATTTTGTTTTTGAAGTAGTCTAAAAGAATCTCGAGCACCTCCTGTGGCTCTCGCTTCTGAGGTACTTTGAAAGAATCTCGAGGATCATTTGTGTCTTGGTTTTTAAAGTAGTTAGAAAGAATTTCGGGGATCCCTTGTATCGTTTTTGAAGTAATTTGAAAGAATTTCTGGAACCCCTTGTGTTTTGTTCTTGAAGCAGTTTGAAAGAATCTCGAGAACCTCTTGTGGGTTTCGTTTTTGAAGTATGTAGTTTGAACGAATCTCGGGGACCTCTGTTTTGGTTTCAAAAGAATCTTGGGGATCCCTTGTCTTGTATTTGAAGTAATTTGAAAGAAACCTCGGGGACCACCCCTGAGTCTAGTTTTTGAAGTAGTTTGAAAGAATTTCGTTATTTTTTTGTGTTTTTTTTCTTGAAAGAATTTCTTTCTGTGTATTATTTTTGAAGCAATTTATCAGAATATCGGAGATCCCTTGTCTTGTTTTTGAAGTAATTTGAGAAAATCTCGGGGACACTTTATATTTTATTTTTGAAGTATTTTGAAAGAATCTCGAGAACTTCTTGTACAGCTCTTTTTTGAACGAATCTCGGGGACCCCTTGTGCCTGATTTGTAGTAGTTTGAAAGAATCTCGGAAATCCCTTGTCTCGTTTTTGAAAAAATTTGAAAGAATTTTGAGGATTCCTTATCTTGTTTTTTAAGTAGTTTGAAAAAATCCCGAGGATCTCCTGTATCTTGGTTTTTAAATTAGTTTGAAAGAATTTCGGGATCCCTTGTCTTGCTTTTGAAGCAATTTGAAACAATCTCGGGAACCCCTTGTATTTTGTTTTGTGGTTTGAACGAATCTCGGAGACCACTTATGTTTTGGTTCTGAAGTAGTTTGAAAGAACATTGGGGATCTCTTTTGCCTGGTTTGGGATAGTTTGAAAGAATCTCGGGAATCCCTTGTGTTTTGTTTTTGAAGTAGTTTGACCGAATATCGGGAATCCCTTGTCTTGTTTTCGAAGTAATTTGAAGGAAATCTTGGGGAACACTCTTGAGTCTGATTTTTGAAGTATTTGAAAGAATCTCAGGGTTACTTTGTCTTGTTTTTGATATAATTTTAAGAATCTCGAGAATGCTTTGTATTTTGTTTTTGAAGTAGTTTGAAAGAATCTGGGGGAGCTCTTCGGGTCCCGTTTCTGAAGTAGTTTGAAAGAATCTCGAGGATCTCTTGTGTCTTGGTTTTTAAAGTACTTTGAAAGAATTTCGAGGGTGCCTTGTCTTAATTATGAAGTAATTTGAAAGAATTTCAGGAATCCCTTGTGTTTTATTTTTGAAGTAGATTGAAAGAATCTTAGGAATCTCCTGTGGGATTCGTTTTTGAAGTAGTTTGAACGAATCTCGGGGACCTTCTATATCTTAGTTTTGAAGTAGTTTCAAAGAATCCTGGAGATCCCTTGTGCTTGGTTTGGAGTAATTTGAAAGAATCTCGGGGAACCCTGGTCTTGTTTTTGAAATAATTTGAAAGAAATTCGGGTATTCCTAGTCTTGTTTTTGAAGTACATAGTTTGAAACATTTTCGGGGACCGCCTGTGGGTCGCGCTTTTGAAGTATCTACTCTGAAAGAATGTCGCGGATCCCCTGTCTTAATTTTGAAGTAATTTGAAAGAATCTCGAGGACCTTCCGTGGATCTCGTTTGTGCCTAGTTTTTGAACTAGTTTGAATGAATCTTGGGGAACCTTTGTGCCTGATTTGGAGTAGTTTGAAAGAATCTTGGAAATTCCTTGTCTTGTTTTTGAAAAAATTTGAAAGAATTTTGAGGATTCCTTGTCTTGTTTTTGAAATAATTTCGAGGATCTAGGAATCCTTTGTATTTTGTTTTTGAAGTAGTTTGAAAGAATCCCGAGGATCTCCTGTGTCTTGGTTTTTAAATTAGTTAGAAAGAATTTCGGGGATCCCGTGTTTTACTTTAGAAGCAATTTGAAATAATCTCGGGAATCCCTTGTTTTGTTTTGTACTAATTTGAAAGAATATTGGAGATTCATTTTGCCTGGTTTGGAGTAGTTTGAAAGAATCTCGGGAATTTCATGTGTTTTGTGTTTAAAGTAGTTTGAAGGAATTTCGGGAATCCCTTGTCTTGTTTTTGAAGTAATTTGAAAGAAATCTTGGGAATCACCCTTGAGTCTGATTTTTGAAGTGTTTGAAAGAATCTCGGGGTTACCTTGTCTTGTTTTTGATATAATTTCAAGAATCTCGAGAATCCTTTGTAATTTGTTTTTGAAGTAGTTTGAAAGAATCTCGAGGATCTCTTGTGTCTTGGATTTTAAAGTACTTTGAAAGAATTTCGGGGATGCATTGTCTTAATTTTGTAGTAATTTGAAAGAATTTCAGGAACCTCTTGTGTTTTATTTTTGAACTAGTTTGAAAAAATCTTGGGAATCTCCTGTGGGATTCGTTTTTGAAGTAGTTTGAACGAATCTCGGGGACCTTCTATGCTTTGGTTTTGAAGTAGTTTGAAAGAATCTTGGGGATCCCTTGTGCTGGGTTTGGAGTAATTTGAAAGAATCTCGAGGAACCCTGCTCTTGTTTTTGAAATAATTCGAAAGAAATTCGGGATTCCTAGTTTTGTTTTTGAAGTAGGTTGAAAGAATTCCGGGGACCGCCTGTGG